ATTGAAGGCGGGACGAGCTGTCGACTCATCGACGAATTTCTTCAAAGCGACTTATTCTTCTTTTACAGAAACAGAAAAAGGATAATTCCAAAGTCTTAATTTGAAGCTTCCATTACGTGAAGATCCAACGATACAACGAAAAGTACTGAAAAGGCGCCTTCAAAGCTCAGTTAGGATGATGGTAAGTTTTTTTTGCGCCAAAAGTTACATAAATTAGGCAGCTCTTCGTCCATAACAAACCTCAAGCCTCGGTAAGCATAGAAATTTGTTTCAGATATCTCGAAAGAGACAGTTTCTTTGATACAGTACTCCAAAACGTAGCAAAAATCAGATCATGCAACTCACAATAGTTTTTTCAAAATAGCTGGCATTTCTGTTGCTCAGAAGTGTGAATTATCTCTTTGACTACCTAAAGAGTTTGGTATTTTTTCCTGTTTGATCCTTATTTGTAACTCACACATCTAGCCTCAGGGTCTTTAATCTACCAACACATGCAAAACACGGGGCAGGTATATCCTTAAAAAATATATTATAACAACAGGCGCCAACTACTCAAATTATTTGATATCACAATTTAATATTGGTTACACAAATGGTAAACGTGTTTATACGGCCGACTTAGGAATTCACGCATGGTCGATTAAGCCTATTCATAAAACATGTGCGACCACTCGAGGGTAAAATTAATTACAAGCATGCCAAGATTAGCACAAAAAAGACCGTTATTTCACATCTCACACCTTGGCTTTATTGGAGCTTCATGGCATAATGCCATTGAAAGAAAGAAAAAAATTTACTCTTATCTAACCTAACGAAATCTCTGTCGCTGTCAAAGAAGATTACTTAAGTGTGCTGGTTACAGTCTGTGTTTCTTGACTCTCAGACTGAAATATTGCAGTGGTATTTAATTTATTGCAGTCGGAAAATTTACGACCTGCTTACTAAACGAAGGCTAAACAATATCGCTAAACCTTCTCAGATATATACAGGATCTACCGACCAATCCAGTAATAAAATAACACTTTTTAGCATTAGATACTTTATCCATAAGATAAACGTATAGTGTGGCTTGTAGCAAAGTCATGGTTGAAATATTTTCAAATTTATTTATCCAAGTGAACTTTGCAGTTGATTAAATTTACAGTGTTTCTTCCCACTTGATTTTTTAGACGGAAAATTCGTAATGGGTGCCTTTCGAAATATTGCACTTTCATAATTAAGCTTTTCTAGAGTATGACGTCATCTAAACCCTTTTACATTTTATCAGGTTTTGGAATCTTCAATCTTTACAAATCAACAGAGCGGTACATTTGAACAAAGTTTAATTTCACAAAAGAAGACACTGCAAAGAAAAAGCTTTTCCAAAACGTTTTGTTCTTTAGTATAATTCATCCTGCAGTTGCTTAGAAACTATTGTAAACAGGAGCGCGTAAACACATTTAAGATAATAGATCGTAAAGTACTTTCTTTCAGAAAAGAACTCAATACAACTGTTATTAATGGTTCTCAATATTAGAAATATACCGCGTAGTCTTCATCTGTTCCACTGCTCGCAACATGGGGCACTTAAAACAAGTATGTAAAGCCGAAGTAGTTCTATTTCAGTACCATAACTCTGCGGTTTATTTCAATTTCCATTTAAGTGCGCAGATAGACCTGTAGCGGTCTAGAGATACAAACGAGGAAAAAACTATGAAACTTTTGTTTAGCAAACATAGAAAACATTTTAGAAACAAGACCATAAGGAAGAATGATCGAGTCTTCAAAATGATTTAATCTGAAGGGATCTTCAGACATCTTCTCAAAAATAGAACATCATCTCAAACAAGTAGATTTAACGCATTCATTTGAATGACCACTCCCACAAATTTTAAAGTTTGTTCCACGGACCATGCGATTAGAGCCTACTCGTACAGTATAATGAACAGTACAAAAGGAACGAGATACCATTAACACAAGGTGAAAGTCACCAAGTATTGGATGCTGTATCAGGGACTTCCACCTTGCACCATAGGGGACAGGAAATAATAGTCTTGCGCAAAAACAATTTCCGTAGAAATTGTAACATTTCTGTGAATATCCGCAACCACAACTTTGTAACCTTGTATATTTACTCGCCGCCTTTGAAGTAGCTTAATAGCCTCATAAAAAATTACGACACTTTCAGTTTTTCTTCTTGTATTTTTTGTCGTTGAAATGGCTCTGGATTCTAACTTACACTTAAGTTAAAAATGAGGGAGAAATTTTATAAACTAAGAGAAAAAGGTCAGTTTTACATTTTGTAACATCCCAGGCTTGAATTTGAGAAGAGCTCACTTTTGCTGAGGGTGCCTACACTCCAAACAGCAAGAAAGCTAGAGAAACTGAGAACTTTCTAAAATAATTTGTAAGTGTAAAAGTTGACAGACTTTTAATTTTGTTTTGTCGAGTTGTTAAAAGTGTTTTTTTTACGTATTCAGTATTTTCAAGGCAGAATGAAACAATTTTTCGCTTTATTCCGATGATACTCAGGTTCAAATTTAAATCAGTTCAAACTGACAAAAGATAATTTACTTGCTGTAGCTTCTGCTTGCTGCTATACCACAAAAATGCATTTCAAAAAAGTCAAAGTCAGCTTCGATGTTCTTCTTTCTAGAAGGAAACCTCTAAACTGTCATGGATTTCAGTCATAACATCATCTCTGGAAATACGTAATATTGGCACTTACATATTATATTGTTTTCAAATATTGCACGTTTGGGTTTTATTGCAGTGATACTTTAATATATGAGTGATAGCCAATATATGTACAGCTACGATAACATCAAGTAGGCATTTTAGTGTTGCATAACCCATTGGAGGCATTTATATCAGTATATCGAAATTATCCAATACAAAATTTGGCCAAAACAAATAATATCGAAACTCTGCAAAGAATACTAACCACCGATCTTGTGAATCAACGTTTGTTCTTTACACTTCAGTTCAGTGAATGTACTATAAGTAACATCCTTTTAGGAAGACAAGGAATGATTGCATGAATACACATGATTAATGTCAATGTTCAAAAATTGTTTGAAAAACCTTACTTTGTTTATAAATAGACTTACGGTCAATTAACCGCACAGCTTTTTACGTCATTTCGTCAGCACTCCTGGAATAAAAGACTCTCTGTGTTTGCAATAATGCAACGTAATACCAAAACAGTAGAAAAACAACGTTAGATTAAAAGTTCGTAAGATGAGAAAGTTCGTTCTATTTGTAAGTAACCATGGCGAATTTCCAGATTAGTTCAAGTGTAATTTTAAACACTTTCACAACATAACAACAAGTATTGCTCCTAGATTACCTCCTTTTTATTTGTACGAGACTCGAACCCGGCTACAAAATGATAATTGAAGAAAAGTCACAAGTATTTATGTCGAACGAGAGAGAAAATTAATGTAGTCACTCAACAAAGTTAGGGCCAATAAAATGCAAGCCATAGGCTTAAACGACAAAAAAGAGCTCCGTTTTAACTTATGTGGTCGGTGTTTTTTAGTTTTCTGTTAATATTGGCTATGAAAGTTCTCATTTTGCCTTTCTTCGACGAAAACTTAAGCTTTAACTCAAATTTTGGACTAGCTATAGAAGTTCAACTGGAAATTCCATCATGGTTAAAAATATCGTTTCATCTCTTGTATCTTCCCTTTTTTTCTTTTCTTGATAGTATTTTGGTATTTTCATTAGTTTGAAGATTTTTGGATAATTTTGTTAGATTTGACCTCCTTTGAAATAATCTGTATTAAGAACAGGATTTTCAATTAATCCATTTTCTGCTGAATGTTCATGAATAAGGAATGATCAAAGGCGATTTCATATCACCTTCACCTTTGAAACAAAAAACAAGGAACCACATGTTGCAGGAAGAGTAAAGATCGCAGCCGCGTCACTTCAAATTAACATAAGGCCAAAAGGAGTAAGCCTTCATTCAAGAACGACCAAACGTCTACCCTGTTCAACAGAATACTATAGAATTCAGTTTATCTGATTGAAACTAGGAAACCTGAATAAATATTTTTCTAGACGAATAAATTACTTGAGCAAAACTAATATATATTTTATACTAAACGCTCTATTAATCAGTCGAATATCATCCTAATCAATTTCATTCCTGCATTTTTAAGGTAAATTACGTCAATCTTCACGTTGGCCGATGAGACCTTAATTTTCAGGATAACGCCAAAAGTTACTGAGACTTTGATATCATGTGTTATGCGTTGTATTTACCTGTAGGTCGATAACATCGTTAAAGGCCTGATAAATCAAGTGATAAGTTAGATATTCGTTTTTGCCCTGGGCTCGACTTTTAACTGTTTCCAGAGCCGGGAAAAAAACTTACCCCAAGTAGAGTTCATTAGTTCTGATCCTTTTGTATTAAGATCGACGACACAAAGGTTTTTTTCTTCTTTTTGGAAACTAGTCAAAAGGTGCCGCGTATCCGTCGGGTTATTTGTGTGGTTTCCTTTTGTTTCTTTTCGTCTTTCAATAACCGAGTAAATAAGATACGGAAATAATAAGCTTTGTTTACAATTTCTTTCACGTAATAGCCATTAGTTATATTTGAGCATCTCTGCTAGCGGAGTGACTCTCAATAGTTGATCGGAAACTCAAAAGAGAAGGCCGATATCGAAAAATGTTTTTATATTTTTCATGTTGCTATTTTTGTTTTTTGACTTGCGTTGAATGGGCCATTTGGTATATTTTCGATAATATGGCTAATTCAAAGACTACGTAACGTGTATTGTGTGGGTGCAACTTAATACTACGGCGTATATTTGTTAGTATTTTAGTTTAACTATCATACATTGTGGTTGCAATCTCTGAAACTGAAACATTTAACAACTCTTAACACCGCGTATTTAGTGATAGCAACACTAAATTAACGTTTCTAATCAAAACTTTTATCGTGCTTAAAGGCATACTTCAACGAAAGTGTACATTTTATGTCAAAAAGACATTGTTGTCTATTTTGTTAAAAAATGCAGGCTTCTACGATCGAAACCCAGGCTCCTTCGAGGCCTTCGTTCATCTCTTCAAAAGTAAAACCTCAAAGCGACGGCAAACATCCAAGATATTTTGCATTCACGGAGAAAGATTTGTATAACTGCTTGCATCAGAAGAGTGGAAATGTGGAACCAATTGATTCTGAAGAAGCCAGAGGCAAGAAGCTGGAAGACAATAGCTTGCGAAAGGACACACGTTCTTCATGTAAGTGAGAGCATATCTTTTTCTTTTACAGAAGTTTGGTTGGTTTCGTGTTCGGTTGTGAGTTTTAAAATTACGAGAACGTGAATTGCAAAAGAACCTCACACCAAGAGAAGAGTGTTGTTTCTGATTTGTAATACTGTATAGCTTTCATTTCAAAAGACTGGGAATACTAAGGTACAAATCAGTGCCATGTTGTACAGCCATTTCTATTGAACAGCAGCTTCAATAAATTCCATCCACAAAAGCAAAGGCAGAGTAGTACAGCATAATAAACAGCACCACGCACCACAGTAGAGCACTAGCCGGTTTCAGTTTAAAAGGTCACACTATAGCACAGACTTAAAAGTTACAGCCACATTAAAAATAGGCTACTGAAAATTACAAGAGAATGGGAGTAGCAATACAGCGCGACCAAAAACTTGGCCCTGCCCCGCAAAGCAAGCAGAAAGGTCGTTTGAAAATGTAAGGGAATGCGGTATGGCGCGCACTGAGATTTACTATATTGCGCGAGCTTTTTTTCAAAGCAGAATATATTGCCTAATATCGGAAAGTTTATTATTGATTAAGAAGAAGCAGTGCGATGATATTTGTCACAGTAAGCTCTCAGGAGCTTGTCACTCAAAAAAATGCATAAGGGAATATATTGCTTTGAGAAAATTCATAAATTGATTTAGTCAGGAAGAGACAGGTGATTGAGTTTAATGTTTCCCTTTGCTTTATCATAGTCTGTAGAACCTGCAACAAAGTGTACGCGATCTGCTGTCCAATACACCCATCTTACAAATCCACCGATTCTGACTCCAACCTGGACTGGGACAGCTATGCCATCAAGTCGTTCCCGGATGTGGTTCAACTGTGCAAGTCCAGCGTGCCTGGAAAGACCTACGGAGTGTGCGCAAGACAGCACATCCCGGTGGGTACATGGATTGGTCCTTATGAGGGAAGAAGGGTCGCACCAGAAGCTATCAAGCCTGACATGGACTCTGACTATTTGTGGGAGGTGAGAGTTACTTGGAGCGTTAAGATACTCTAAGAGCCCATTTCCTCAGATTCATGACTTCGTCAAAAAAACTCTCAATAAATCAAAACGTAAAGGTAGTGCAAGCAATAGGGGACGACTGACATCATCAAAGTGTTTGAACCTTGAAAGCGACGACCAAATAGACTTTTTCTTTGAATCTAATTACCGTACTTGTTCCACTTTGTTAGTCTAAAAGATAATGGAAACTGTCGAGTCATGGACCCCTAGATCCTTAGAAAATGGAAGAATTCAATCTACTCACATTAGCTTCTTTTACTGAAATTTCGCTTTGCAAATTTTCGGCAAAATATCTATTGCCCGCCTATAACCACAAAATGTCAAGTGACAAACATGATTACTGATGAAACTTCCAGCCTTCACTTTACTCCTATGCTTAATAACAGTTTACGACGTTATTAAAAACATTGTCGCCCTTTCAATTCAGATCTACAAAGATGGAAGGCTCATGTACTATCTCGATGCTACCGACGAAGAATCTTCTAGCTGGATGAGGTTCATAAAGTGTGCACGCCATAGAAACGAACAAAACCTGTTTGCCTTCCAGTACTGTGGTAACATTTACTATCGAGCATTCAAAGAGATTCCTATAGGAACAGAACTGCTGGTGTGGTACGAGGATATCTACCCACAATACTTCGGCATCCCCATCAGCATACATGACTTAAACTCAATGGGTGAGTCAGCTGAGCTTAGATGTTTCTTCACGGCTGATGCGCAGACAGTAGTTCACGTTCGAACCCCTTGACTACTACTGCAATTTTTTCTGAGCCAAATGTTGCATAACAACCTTCTGAGTAAACAGTATTGAGAAGTAATAATCGCAATACTGTTCCACTGAGTGTGACTATTTAAAGGAAGGCTCCATGCGATACTTATCCAGGCGCTTTTTATCTATATGTAGTACAAAGTGGATATGTGTCCGAAAATTCTAAAGGCTCTGTAATTCTTATTGAGATCCACCCCAGAAAATTAAAACAATATTTTTATTCACGTTTTTTTTTCTCTAGGTTCGAGGTCTTACCCAGTTGTAGAAGCTTCATATCAAGACGGTCAAAAGGTCTCTTCAATGACTACTCCAATTTCAGTCACTGCAACAGAGGCAACCCAACATACCTCAGCACCGAGCCATAGAAAGTCACCCCACCACGCACCAGTCTCCCCGAAACAAAGATCCCGGCTGTCTCCTGGCCTGACGGAAAGAGAAATCTACGCAAGGAAACAGACACAACAGGAAACGACGTTCAAAAGAAAACACGAGGAGAACGACTCCACTGGTATTCCGAAAAAGTTCAAATCACAGCAGTCTTCTAAGAATATGACAGATGGTCATAAGGAGATGCTGCTGCAGTTAGAGGAAGCGCGACTCAAAGACAAAAAAGATCTGCCCTGTGAATGGCCTCGTGTAGCGGATGGGGAATTTATCTTGGAGAACGGCGAACCAAAAATATGGCATTGTGGTCAGTGTGACAAATCGTTCGCTCAGCGTGGTCTGCTTCAAATGCACAGTTGCTCAAAGAATACAAAAAGACCTTACCAGTGTGGCCATTGTGCTCAGGAGTTTGCACACCCCAATGAGCTGCGTACGCATGCTGTCATTCACTCAGGGAAAAAGCCATTTAAATGCGGATTCTGTGCGCGCACCTTTGCAGGAGCCACGACTCTAAATAATCACGTGCGCACGCATACAGGAGAGAGACCTTTTTCGTGTAACAAATGCCACAGATCATTTTCACAGGCATCCCAACTCAGCAAGCATAAGAGATCTCTCTATGACTGTTTCGCTTGAGAATTTAAAGTTTTCGTTTGTTTTGTAACATTTTCGTACATAAGTACATTTTCATTGGCTAGTCTAGGGATCCCCTTCATTACCTGTATATAAAACAGTTTCCCTAAAAGTTGAAAATTTGTGTTAATAGTTTCATCTATGGGTACGTAAACTGAAGGCTGAGATCTGAAATCAAGCTAATTGATATTTGAAAAATAAGCTGAAAGGTTTCCGCGTAAAAAAAAGCCAACACTGTTCACAAAGTCCTCGGGCAAAGTGCCTTAGTAGGTTAGTCGCTAGGCAATAATTTGAAAACACCCCATTTTCATGTAACTAGGCCAGAATTCGGCGGTGCCGGAGTACAAGGTCTCGGCCTAATATACATTTTAGTTTTGTATTAGTTCTTGACAATCCGCTGCTTTGTCTGCCCATACCTCCCTGCTAAGCTCACGTTCCAAAATGGAGTCTAACGGCCCGAAATGCAGTAAATATGCCGTTACAGTTACATATCGGGTCAAAGAGTAAACACAACACCAATTTGTTCAGGTACCCGGGCACTAGTACTCGGGCATCAAGTTTGACCGAACATAGACTGACTTAAGATTCCAGCACTACAATCTATTGTACGCCCGCGCCCTTGTATAGAGCAGCATTGTACAGAACTGTCTTCAAAAAACACCGTCAAAGTCGAAACTTAAATCTTATAAGTTTGACTCTTTTTTCTCAGTTTACGGAAGTGTTACTTGCGCAGGTCTCTTTGAACGTATCGTGTCTAAAAGGCGTTATAATTTCTTTCAGTTTTAAGAACAAAATATTTTATAAATGGTTAACAAAGTTTACGACGCATTCGTTCATTAAGTAGCTAGTATTTTTAAGTTTCGAAAGAAACAGAATGATCATTCGTGTTTAATAACCATGAGTTTTGCCTGCAATGCTACCGGGTTATAAGCTCACAATTATGTATTTTTTGTTGGCTTGCGGAGCTTAATAGTAAAAGACACTTTTTTCGTCTGTAGTTTAAAACACGCTTTGTCTGCATTAGCCATAAAACTAAATTACATACTCGACATTGTTTAGATTTAAATAAAGCCGGAGTGAAAAGAAGCATTATTTAATTTACAAATAGTAAACGTACATGTATAGTAGATTGTATAATTATCATCTACGAAAACCGACACTTGACAGTGTCTCAAAGGCAAGGATTGAAGTATATATTTATAGATGTGTTTATATTTGGATATTTGAAACCCATAGTGCCTTTCAAAAAGGTTCATTCACCCAGCGTCACATTAGTTTTAATAATGTGCACTTTCATGAAGATTATTTTGAGCTTGTAAGATATCTCTAGCCGTGTTTTATTAAAATATTAATTGTTGTTTTTGACGACAGAGCTTACTGATCTTTTTTAAATTTATTTCTTACTGGTTATAACTGCCTTAAACCCCAAAACAAACCAAACCTTTTAATGCTGCTGATCTTGCCTAAGCTCTGTTCACAGGCAAATCATACTTCCCTGGAGCACCAACACTAAAACTGAAGCACCTCTACACGCGAAGCAGAAAGAAAGAAGGGAAAGCACTTGGCTTGCTCGGTCACATGACCGAGAAAGGGGTGAACATAATGACCATTGACACCTTCATGAGACCCAGTACCCTTGCCTCTATCTAAATAAACTCAGGTCAGAGAGAGAGAGAGAAGACCAAAAAATTCCATCTGCAAGCGAAAATTTTGTTTCCTTTTTGCCCTTTTTCTTTAGCTAGAATAGTGTTATTGCAGTTCCAGTCTTTCCGCCACCTTTTCTGCTTCCCCACTCAGTCGGTACACTTCCATGTTGTCTTTCAACCAACCTTCTTAACTCTTCGTTCTTTTACCCCTGGGGGATTCTTTATCTGGGGGAGACCAGCCCGACAGGGGGCCTTTGTAATTCTAGCCGGATTTTTGAAAACACTGCCGCCAAATGGACCTTCTCCGTCCAACGCAGCCATTTGAAAAACTAAGTGCGCAACCATTGTTTTTTTCTCTTCTCCCTCTTTCCTTCTCCTCGCTCTTTCTTTTTCTCCTTTCCTTTTCCTTCGTTACTGTGATTTTGGAGCCGTTCTCGGGCTTAAGAAACCTGCCTTTTGACGCCTTTTCGCCCAAAAGACTGCAAAGTTCGTTAGGTTGGTTTTCAAAAAATCGGTTGGAATTAGATGTTCATAAATGTGTTAGTAGAGAAAGTTGCATGAAAGCTGGTGCAGAAAAGCAGGCGCGGATCCACATCGGCTTCCACGTACCGTTTTACGGAAATCGGTCAGACTTCTTATAATAAATATATTTTTGATGAAAAAAAAACTTTCCAAGCTGAAATCTGGAAAAAAAACGTTTAAACATGATTTTTTGTTTCAAGTTTCGGGCATTAGACGCGCTATAAGATTTTCAGCTGGAAATTCGCTTGTTGCTGTCTACTCCACGTTACACAGTCAGTAACTCAGAAACCTATGAAAGGGGACTTTAGGAAGTCAAAATCGTAACAATTTCCCGGGGGAACATGCCCCCAGAGCCCCCTAGAAGCTTGCGCCTTCGGGACTCGTTAAGGAACTCGATCAGTATTTATCCTAGATCCGCGCGTGAAAAGGAAATCTTTCTTTAAGAGTGATATTTAAGACCGCGATGCATAGGGATGTGGAAACGACTGAAATTAAGGAACGTGTAACCATTTTGTCCAGTTGCTCAAACGTTGGCTAACAACTAAATTTAAATTTTTAAATTGAGAACTAAGGGTCACACAACATATATACAGGGTGTTTCAAAAGTTCGTTCCGATTTTTTCCTCGCTCAAATTTCACTGATTATCAAAAATACCTGTTGTAAAACTTAGTATGTTATTCATTTAACATCGAATAACAGAAATATCGCTAACCAGAATGTCTTTCTTTGTGTTTTCTTGCATTTTATAAGTGGTAGGTATAGAATGTACGAGCTCCCAAAGTGTGTCTAAAGACACAGTTTTCCAGGCGAAGCATAGTCACTGCCTTAGCTCGTCCAGCTTATTGGGGGCAAGTCCTTTGTATGTTTTCTTGTCGACGGTAATCCAGATGGTCTCCAGAGGGTTCACATCAGGTGAGTTTGCTAGCCGGTCGCCCTTTGCTATAAAGTTTCAAATCCTTCTGACGCCATGTATGCATGTGCGTCGCCTTTTTCGCTTCAAGGCTTTCCAACCATTGCTGGTCGTATATCTTCATACTCTTGTGCTCGAAACTTTGATATTGTGAAGTTGAAGTTTTTTTTACCTTTCTGTCTTGAAGATTTATTACGCATATACTTCCAGCTTTTTCGATAACATTTCTCACACATTTAAAAAAAGACGACCATACACTCCTTGGTTTTTCTTCTAAAGTCTTCACTTTCGACCACTTGTTCACTTATATCATTCAGACTTTAGTCAACAGTTTAACAATTTCTTGGACTGAATGGCCAGAGAACCAAAAAAATAGATGCCTCAGCTTTAGCGCACACAGTGTAGGCCTTCATTTTTGTGACAGAGTGGAGAAAATTAAAGAAAACGGAAAAAAGACAAAAATAGAAAACCTACAAAATGGACAGGAAAAATATGGCGCGAAAAAACTCTCGTAGGTGCACATTTGGGCCAAAACTTCAAAAGTATTATAATTTCTTCAAATTTCAGTTTGAAATTGCTTTGAACGGTTATTTAGATAAATTTCTTACCTGAATCAGTTTACATTTGCCTAAAGAAGCATTAAATGCTTTGCGCAACTGAATACAATTACAATCGGAACGAACTTTTGAAACACCCTGCATGTACAATTTATCGATCTGGGGCAATCGTTTATACGGTCAGTTGCAACAACTATATATTCCTTTCGATTTAAAAGAAAATTATAATTTATTGTCCAGTAGAGTCAAACTAATTCTAGAGGTTTACGCTTTCTTTACGTTCATGCAAGAGGAGCGAAAAATTCATTTGAAAACCATTTGATGATTTTTAAATCGGTTTTTGCCATCCTAGTATCTTCATTGAAAATCATGAACGTACCGCAAAACACGTACGGCTCATCTTTTCTTGCTTTCACTTTTAATGTAACGTATGATCTTCGACCCGGCATTAGAACTAATCGAACTTAAATGAAGTTCGATTACTTTCGATTGCTTCTATTTTCTTTTAGAGTTTAACGATACTCGATTACGCTCGATAAGTTTAAATTGATTCTTGCAGTTAAAATTTACCCTACAGAGACCGACAGCACCTCCGGCAATGCGGATTCCCTGGGGTTAAAAATGCGCCCGAAATCTTTGAAGCTGTTTCACGATTATTTGGTATTGCTTTAAAACTGATTCTGGAAACACACTGGAATAAAAACAAACCCGAACCATTCTCGATGACAAGAATGAAAATGGATTGTCACCTGAACTTAAGACTGGGCCGACTTTCTTTAAGTTTATTAACTTTACTATTGTCGAAAAATCCGCATCAAAAGCTATGTGATCACGTTTTGTCTCCCTTTGGGAGATCACTAGGTATCTTTCTCTTAAAGGCCGTGGTACTAAACAATCGAGCGCCAGGTCAGTTTTGACCCAAAATGAACACTTCAAAAAAAAAACTTTAGAAAGCAATACGATTTAAGTCTAGAAAGTTCTTTTTATGAAACAAAAGCTTAGTTATTCAGGTCTTGTCCCGAATCAATGATCATCATTTGCAAATTTCATTGAAAAATCATTCAGCATGACTAGCGGATTGCATGATTAATAGTAGAACTATGTGGTAAGTTTTATTTGAATAGGTATAGAGCCAGTTATTGTTCAATATCACTTGACTTAGTACTTCCCGCGATAAGTGAACTTTCGTTTAAAAACAACCCAAGCAGAGCAATTCGTGAGTAAAGTGCTATATAGTTTGAATAAAACAAGAACTAAGAATGCTTGTGTAAACTGACCATTTTTCAATAAGTTTAGCTTAGATGTACTTAACTATATGGCACATTCTGAAGATTTAAACGGACACTTTCCTTGCGTATTGGTTTAAACCTCTTAATATACGAGACACACTGATAGTTAAATTCCCGTCTTGGTTCGCGCGTTATCAAAAGACATGCAAATCTGATATCCCTAATTAGTCGTCCGTTTTAAAAGCCCGCAATGGATAACTTGGAAACTCCTTTTTAAGGCGTTTCAATTCAGTATACGTGCAGTAGTCCTTCCGCGTATCATTTCAGTTACAGCTGGTACACAGTTATCAAAAATGGGCAAAAGGCCTTGTTTTTGATTACCAGTTGCAATGCTTGAATGACCTTAGAATTTCTAAAACAATAAACTAACTTTGGTTATGTATGCAAAACGTTTTTGTTAAAACACAGGCTGCACTAGAAGGTTTACCAAATGTGGGCACAAATGTTCTATACACATCCTTCTACACAGTATTATCTGATTCCTAAACATTAATTTTTAACTCAACATAGATGATCCTTTTTTCTGTACTTCTGCCAGGTGCAAAATTTCATGTATAAATAACTTTTCTAACAAAACAAGCTAAAGAAAAGTTAGCCAAACTTCAAAGGAACTCATCATTAACCAATCGCATTGCTGTAAACAGCTTATTTGGAAGCCAAGCGTGGATAAGTGACAGGTTTATGAAAAGAACATTTCGGAACTTTAAATCAACGCCCCTTATTCTCGCGTTATCAATTGCATACGAATTGCTCATATAAGTTCATTGGTGCATTTTTCCTGTTGCGTGGCACTGAGTAGCCAAAGTCGCTAAGCACACGGTTGCAGAGAAAATGTCGTCTTTGTTTAGCGAAGAGACTAAGAGAAGGCTAGAAGTGAATTTGGTATGTGTCTCTAATGATAATAGAATAACAAGTCATTGCGAATAAGTAGTTTTTTGCTTTCAACAGACTTAATTTGGACACATGTGGGTCAGGAATGTTCCGTTTTGTCAAAAGGGGTGGATTAACATATAGTGGGTAAATCTTGTTCTGTTTTCAAATTGTTAAATTAAATTGCACCATTTGAAGATCTCTTTTTGTTGAAAAAAACTTGTCTTATGCAAGGTTTGCATACTATTCCACTGATTCCTCATTTTTCAGGAAACGAAATTCCACTTTGCATATGCAATGAAGTTAAGGTCCCGTTTTAAAGACCTTAATTTGCATTGACTGTGATAATTGAATTGGAACCGTTCGTTTCTTAGTTTAAAGCGAAAGTTCTCTTGTAGCTTATCACTACGTGACTTATCTAAGGCCAGTATTTAATTTTTTTTCAGTTGAGTCAACTCGCAATGCCGGTCAATTTTGAGGCAGAACCACATCAAGAGGGGCGCTCAAGAATGTTCAGCGACAACGAGGTGTTCTCTTTCCTTTATGGCAAAACGAGACCACAGGCAGTCAATAAGGATGTTGTAAGCGCGCAGTCAGTGACACAGGCATCCAATACAGGTAAACTATGCTCTAACATCACTTTGCCGTGCAAACCCTCACTCACTCACGCGCAACTGCGCAAAGATCGATTAGAGCACGCGTGACACTCGCGACAAATTCATGCAATACTGGTAAATGTTGAAATACGAACATGCTTATGTTGATATTTACCCCTTCCACTTGAAACATGTGATACAGTTCGAACTTTTGAATTTGTAGACGAAATCCTATACCATTCAATGCAACTGATATTCCCCTAGCAATACTTTGAAACGGCGATAATAGTTTCTCGACATTTCACAACGGAACATTTGGTACTTTCCTTGTGTTTTGACATTCGTTTCTTTTAGCAGAGAGTTAACATTGACCCACAATTTCTTTTATTAATGGTGGTATTCTTATATAGACGTCAGCTGAACCGAGTTTAAGCAGTTAATCGTGATAATGTGAAGGTCAAGTTTTCCTTTATTCAGCTCAGAAAAATAAGTCAAGTGAGAATTCGAGAGCAAAAAATCCCGTTAAAGTCAAATCGCCGAAGACATGGAGACTGGCTTTTCACTAGTTCATGCAACTTTGAATCATCAGCAAAGACATTAAATTACTACGTTATCTTGATGTTACATTTAATTAGTCCGAGTTAAGCTCTAAAGGTTAATTGCGAAGACAGATCAACAACACAGAAAACAAGAGGAAATACAACTATATTTCGTGAACCATGAAGGATGTTGGGGTCGACACAGAAATTTCGACGCGTTGATTGGACTATTAATCTGTCTTTAATCGCCAAGTTTCTCGTGCTTGGTTCGATCGGTGATCACTGGTCATGAACGGTGAAAACTGAACATAAAATAAGCAAAAATGACAAATAAACCTAAAGAAAACCTAAATAAACCTAAAGCGACACTAAAGAGCGAAAACTACTTACATTCTGTGCGATGCAATCGATGAGAAATTCAAAACATTTGCTCTATAACACTACACTTGAAAACACGTGGTGATCTGTTCTTGCTGTGGTCATGTGACCATCCGAAACTAACATGATGTAAGTAGTCACGTAGTGTCCAAAAGGGAAGTGAACGCAAAAATAAATCAAAATAAAATTTGGACTAAACATTCCGCCGGCCTTGGGACAACCCAGTAGGTAGGCCCAACGTCACTAGCCTAGACTAATTATTCTCAAGATCGTTCTCCAGTAAGCATAGCTTCTGAATAGGTCGGATGAACACAGAGTCCTTTGTCTTGACTTTCGCTGTGCGCACCAGGCCGTCGGGGCCAGGGAAGACCTCTAGGACTCGTCCAAGTTTCCAGCATCCTCTCGGCACGTTGTCATCAACTAACAGGACAAGGGCCTTCGGCTTCAGGTTAGGTAAGACCTTTCTCCACTTTCCTCGGGCTTGCAGGGTAGGTAAATACTCACGCAACCACCTCTTCCAAAATAGGTCTGCCAGAAATTGTACCTGCCTCCATTTCCTTCTGTGATACTGATCTGCTTTCTCAAATATGCCAGGGGGTAGGCAGATAGTCTTCCTCTGCATTAAGAAATGCGCTGGCGTGAGTGGCTGAAGGTCATTTGGGTCGTCTGAATTGGCGGTGAGCGCTCGCCCATTTAACACTCGTTCAACTTCAGTCAACAGCGTCTGAAGAACTGCTTCCGTAACTACTTGGGTCCCTAGGATAGACTTCAGAACAGTCTTAGCGCTTCGCACCATCCGCTCCCAAATCCCAGACATGCTAGAAGCAGTTGGCGGCTGGAAGACCCATTTGCACCCTCGTTGTAGAAGCTCTTGCACAATTTGTTGCTGGTTCCACTGCTCGATCGACTCTCTCAGCTCTCGTTCACCGCCGACAAAATTTGATCCTCTGTCACACCTTAGTTCAGTCACTTCACCACGACGGTTCATAAATCGTCGCAGACACATTATGAAGTCGTTTGTGTCCATCGAGTGAACCAATTCAAGATGTACACTACGTGTCGTTAGGCAGGTAAATAAGCAGCACCACCGTTTGGCTGTTCCTCTTCCATGCTTGACGTATAAAGGACCGAATAGATCCATTCCTGTGTAGGAGAATGGGGGTTCGTACGCCATCATCCGGCTTCTTGGCAGGGGAGCCATTTGCTGAGTCATCGGCTTGGCATTCAACTTCTTACAAACAAGACACCGACCCAGGACAGAACGAGTTAACACCCTTATTTGTGGGATCCAGAACGTCTCTCGAACCCTTGCTATGAGGTGTTCACGCCCCAGGTGACCAATTGATGCATGGGTGTGGCGGACCATCAGGACTGTCGCTGGATGATCTCTGGGCAGTATTATTTGATTCCTGGCAGTGTCAGCAGCTGGTGGTGATGCTATACGTCCCTTGACTCTCAAAACACCATGGTCGTCTTGCATTGGGTTCAAACTAGCGATCTTACTGGATCCCCTGACTTCGCCCCTGGTCTTTAGATCCTTGATCTCTTGATCGTAGGCTGCGTGCTGGACGATCTTTGCGATGGATAAGGTAGCAGCATCGTAATCTTCTAAAGTCAGATGACCTGTGTGGACAGTCTTCCGGTCACGGATGAAATGAGTGAAGCGTGTGAGCCAAGCCACTTGACGTCTGAGACGGTTCCAATCAGAGGAGGTGCTTATTATTTGTTGCATGGTGGTCTCAACAGGTGTGGGGGGGCAATTAGACTGTACGCTTGCCTGGCGGGTCTTGACATTGGTGTTTATGTCAGTACAGTTAGCATGGGTTTCTTTCTTAAGCTCTAGGCCTTCATCGGGGACTTGTCGAAGGCTCGCGTTGGGCCAAAAGGATTCAGGTTGCCATAAGAACTCTGGTCCTCGTAGCCAGCGGTGATCAAGGTTTAGCTCAGAGGGGTTCAAGCCACGTGACGCATCGTCGGCTGGGTTCAAGACACCTGGCACGTGGTTCCAGTCGTCTGGCTGTGAGTTTCCTCTGATTTCTTCGACTCGATTAGCGACATAGGTCTGGAAACGACGCCTTTCATTCTTCAAGTAGTGGAGAACTATTTCGCTGTCTGTCCAGAACTTGGTGCTCTGAATAGGAAGGTCCAACTCTTCTCTCAGCATCTTATTCAAGCGTGTAGACAGAACAGCAGCTTGGAGTTCTAGCCTTGGAATGCTTGTGAACTTGACAGGTGCATTTCTTGCTTTCCCCACAACAAACGAGCAGTGAATAGACCCATCTGGATTCTCGACTCTTAGATACGCAGATGCACCGTAGCCAATTTCAGAGGCATCAGAGAAGACATGCAGCTGTAGTTTGCATTTGGAAGCATCTGTTCCAGCTGGCAAGTAGCAACGTGGGATGCGCAGTGCAGAGAGGGATGACAGCTGTGAGGTCCAAGACTTCCATCTGGCTAAGAAGTTTTCTTCGAGTGGCTGGTCCCAGTCTACCTTAGCCTTCCACATATCCTGGATAATTACTCTGGCAGTAAGGGCCACAGGCGCAGCAAACCCAAGAGGGTCATACAGGGAACATACGGCGGACAGTACTCCACGCTTTGTTTCGGGTCGATTCAAGTTCTTGATGTCAAATCCAAGCTCATCTGTTTCAGCAAACCAGCGAATCCCTAGCGCCCTTTCCACTGGCAGTTCGTCTAAGTCAAGATTCAGATCTGGTGAGGCTCTTTTCTCGGTGGGAATGGTTGCCAAAACATTCTTACTGTTCGTCATGAATTTTGTAAGGTTGAAGCCACCGTGATTCAGGATTTTCACTAGGTCCGATGCTACAGTAGATGCTGCATTCTCCTCACTGAAGGATGGCAGAGCATCGTCAACATAAAAGTTCCTGTCAACAGTTGCAACAACTTGCGGGTTGAACCTTTCAGCATTGTCACTGGCTGTTCTTCTCAGGGCCGAATTTGCAACGCAAGGGGACGAGGTTGCTCCAAATATGTGTACTTCCATAACATAGACATCCGGGGTTTGTCGTAATCATCTGTCCACCAGAGGAATCGTAGAGCTTCTTGATCTTGTTTACGCACACGCACTTGATGAAACATTGCCTCGACATCAGCGGCTACCCCTACATGCCCCTGTCGAAATCGCAGCAGCACACCAACGAGACTGTTTGTCATGTCTGGCCCTTGAACGAGATTCTTGTTTAGAGATGTTCCTTCATACTCAGATGCGGCATCGAAGACGATACGGAGCTTGTCAGGTTTGTTGGGATTGGTCACTGGATGATGAGGCAAGTACCAAGTTATCGAGCTTTCTCTAGCTGCTTCTTCAGGGGACAATTTGCGTGCATAGCCCTTCGAGATGTACTCAGTCATGACTCCACGGTACTTAGCAGCCATTTGCTCATTTCCTGCTTTGGTCAGGCGTCGTCTAAGCAATTCTGCTCGTCTTTCAGCTAAAATGCGATTGTTTGGCAGCTTTGGCTGATCTTCCTTCCATAGTAGGCCAACTTCATAATGCCCGTCTACAAAGGTAGTAGTTTCTTCAATGATTTTTAGGGCTCGTTTGTCTTCCACAGATAAGGGCTTCTCTCCTGCTTTCAATGTTCCATAGTCTTCGATCTTCCAAAACCTTTCAACAAAGTCGTCAGGTTTGTGTCCAACAGAGATGAAATTGAGCTCAGCTCTTCTTGTCCCAGCGATAGTCAATGGACCTGAAATGCTCCAACCGAGAGGGTACCGATAACCGTAGAGGCCGCTCTTGTTGTCTTTCGGGATTCTGACTTCCTTCTGCAAGTGTGCAACAGGGACGTTACTCCCCCACAATGATCGAGACTCGTTTAAAGTCCACCACTGGGAATGTAAGGTCTTGAAGGTGCGGATACTTATGGACATCTACTGTCCCCGGCAAAACTCGTTCTGATTGATTCAGGTCAGGGAGAACGTAAGCTTCATTAACATCAATGTCTTCACCATATGCTTCTACAGGACTGAGAGTAAAGGAAACGCGTCGACTCTCCACCAGCTCCTCACTGTTCGTAATAGTCTTAATCCCGATTTGCTCCGAGATCCCTTTCAGGTCAAGATGATCAGCAAGCTCTTTGTCAATGAGGGTATCGGTACACCCATTGTCAAGAAATGCATATGTAGAAAGGGAACCACCGTTCTCTGCAGTAATGGTTACAGGAACTACATTTAACAAAACTTGGGCTCTTGTGGTGCTGACACCGGCAGATGTAATCGAAGTCTGTGGCCTGTCGCTGGGCGGCTGTCTTGTGCCTTGCTCCATTTGTGGTTGCCGGGTTATTGGGTCAGCAGTCGGAGTACTGTATCGGTTAGTGGGGTTATGAGTGTTCTTGTTTCCAGGAGTTCTGCGTCCATTGTTGTTGTCCCTATGCAGTATTGGTAAGTGGTGTCCAGGACACAGAGAACAAGCTGGTGGCTCAGGACAGGAAGTACCACTGTGATCGGGATTATGGCAACCACAGTTAAAGCAGAACCCATACGATGCTGCGTATTGTCGACGCACGGCTACACGGTCACACTGTTTGACGATTGGGCACTCCTGGAGTCGGTGGGGAGTAGACTTGCAAATTGCACAGTTTGCAGAGTTCTCTTTCTTGGGGGCGTTCTTAAGCGATGTGGCGTTGATCGTAGCGTTTTTCGTGGGCAGGTCCGATCCTTTAGAAGCTTTGGGGGGACTTGTTTGTCCTGTTTTCTCCCCTTTGCGGCTGCATTCCAAACACTGGGTCATTCCTTATTGACGCTTGCCTTTTCACGAATTTTGCAATGTCCTTTAGTCGTGCAGTTCCACCACGGCTAACAATCTCGTAGTTTTCGGTCTGCCACTTGGTGATTAAATCATTTGGGAGTCTGTTTACGATTCTTCTTAAATTGGTAGCTACGCTTGCTTCGCGTTCCACATCTCCCTTCAGAACCTTGGTTGAAGTGTTCAGCTTCTCGGCAAAATTAAGCAGACCCATGTTGTCACCATAGGCAAGTTTGGGGCCTGAGACTAACTCTTCGATGCAGGCTTGCGTCACCTGAATAGGGCGACCAAAGCGTTCCTCTAAGATCTTCATTAGCTCACTATAGGAGGAGCCTCGGTTTCTTTTGATGACCTCCAAGGCTTCTCCTTTCAGGAACTTCGGTAAGTACTCTACCCGCTGCGCATCAGTTAGTAGCTCACTTTCAAGGTGAGTATGTGCTTGTTCTTTGAAGAACGGGAAGTCTGCTGGGTTGCCATTAAAGGGTGTAGGAGAGATTCCGTTCAGAAGCTGTACCTTCCACATGGCTGCTACATGGTCTTTAGGGGCTTGCTCTATTACTTTGTCTTCTGGCTGAGACTTAGGTCTATACTGGAAGGTTCGTGGGGCTTGGTATGGTGGCTGCTGGCATTCAGTGACTGGCAGTGCTCCCTTGTTTGCAGTATCGGCAATATTGGATTTGACCTCAGTGGCTGGCTTTTCCTTGCACGAACCAGGTGCTGTGTCTTGGGGGTGGAGCAACTGACAGGTATAAGAGGCAGTGAAGGTTTGGGTGTCGGTGCTGGGATTTTTTGGTGTTCGGGGTTCTGAATCATCAAGTTGAATTTGAGGTGACTGTCCCAGTGGTTTCTCCTCAATGGGATAGGTTGTCTGAACAATATTGTCCACACCATTAACAACACCAGTTTCCTCGTCGAACTCATTTTCAATCTTCCAATCCAGTTCAGCTAGAACGGCTTCGTCCTCGAGTAGTCTCAATTCCTTCTTTGCGCTCCGCTCATGCTCTGCTTTGACCAATTCGGCTTCTTGTTGAGCCTTACTCTTCGCCAACTCAGCTTCCTCTTGTGCCCTACTCTTCGCTAACTCCAATTTCTTTTTGCTAAAAGCATGGCTCTAAACCTTTCTTTCCGGGACGACGAAGAGGATCTTGAAGTAGTGGAGCTCTGAGACTGGTGCGACTTGTGACTTTTAATGGAGCTTTCATCATCACGTTCTTGTGTTTCTTGATCAGTCCGTATTTGCGTTTCGCATTCTTCTATTGTAAACATCATCTGTTCTTTGAGGGACTTGAACCTTTGCTGTACTTCTTGTAGTCGTTTGCTGTCACGTATGCCTGGCAGGTACTTCGAGTGTACAGTCTCAAAGGATTTCCAAATGATAGCTAAACGATCTACTATTTTGCGGGCGGACAAGTGCTCCCAATTAGTGTAGAGGAGAGTTTGGAGCTGCTGTGTTTCAAAGGCAACTTCTTTAGATTCCTTGTTCCACAAAGATGCAAGTCTGCGTTGTTCGCTTATTTCGCGTTGATGCACAAGTTCACTAAAATCAATTTGAGTATTTGGTACGGGGTCCTGGCGTAGGGAGTATCCAACTGCTCCTCTCGCTGAGTCCTCAGGGTCCATTCCGCGATCCACTATCGCGCGGTCCAGTCCAGAGATTCCTGCGATTCCGTTCGGTCGGTTCTGAGCGTTCGTTTTCTCGAAAATCCAGGTGAAAACACAGTTTTCTCTTCGTACTTTGCAGAATTTTTCACAATGTTGGGGTCGACACAGAAATTTCGACGCGTTGATTGGACTATTAATCTGTCTTTAATCGCCAAGTTTCTCGTGCTTGGTTCGATCGGTGATCACTGGTCATGAACGGTGAAAACTGAACATAAAATAAGCAAAAATGACAAATAAACCTAAAGAAAACCTAAATAAACCTAAAGCGACACTAAAGAGCGAAAACTACTTACATTCTGTGCGATGCAATCGATGAGAAATTCAAAACATTTGCTCTATAACACTACACTTGAAAACACGTGGTGATCTGTTCTTGCTGTGGTCATGTGACCATCCGAAACTAACATGATGTAAGTAGTCACGTAGTGTCCAAAAGGGAAGTGAACGCAAAAATAAATCAAAATAAAATTTGGACTAAACAAAGGAATATTGCGAACAGACGTATCGTAACGTCAAAGTAGTCAAACTTGACATTTTTCATATACGAGCGGTAGTTGAATGTGGTGCTCTGTCAAGGGAATATGTCTATTGGCTAGAGTTTGAAAAGAAGTGGAAAAATTCGAGATTAGCGAGACAAACTTATAGACAGATTGGTATGTATTCAAAGAGCATTTTATCCGCCCGTTTTCTAACCCCGTAATAACATAGTGTTATTTGATTTCCATTGTATGTAAAGCTTTCCCTAGAGCTCTGTACAGTACCACAAATGATCCGCGACAATTGTCGACCGCAAATGATCCCGTGAAAAGCAAATGGAATTTAGGCATTGATGGTGAATGGTGCTTAGAATTTCAACAACGCTTAAAACAATAAAAAGAGTAAAACGATAAATAACCGATTTGTTTCTCCTCAATCGTTTCTCCTTTCTTTCAAGCATTGGATTAATTAACAATTAATGAATGAGGCTGAGTATCTTATGAAGAATTATGGAGATCGAGGAGGGTGTTATCCGTCGAGTCCTTAGGCCGAGGTGGATAACACCCTCCGAGATCTCCATAATTCTTCTTATGATACGAAAGCCGAATTCAATAATTGTTTTATTATTCAATCAAAACAATTCCTAGTTTAAAAACATAGCTAACACATGCATCGACGTTAAGTTCATCGTTGATAGTGCGCGTTCAGGGTTGTTCAGCTCTGCAAATATTCTCCAAATAGCAGATGCCGCCCTTCGAGTTGTCTTCTTGTTGTTCTTGTCATGTTTTTAGTATTATTTCGCCTAGTTCTTACTCTCGAAATGAGTGAAATGTCTGCCATTTGTGTTTTCACAACCAAAACAACTCAACCTCTTCCCCAGGTCTTCGTGGTTAACGGTGTATTAACCTGCAGGGAAGCTGCACTTTTGACTTCGTCGGTTGATTAATTTCAAAATTCTTCAAAATTTGGTCATCAGTAGCTGGTTATGATAAATCATGCGTATGCTTTTAGCCAATCAGAATCGGGGAAATATTTTGAATGAATAATACTGTGTTTTAATTCCATCTTTCAGATTGCGATTTCTGTCGAGCGATGCCGCACGGGAGCTGTCTCATTCACAGGCATCCCAGTCCACTGCTGCCTGAAAAAGCGCTCACTTATGCAGTAACGTCAATACCACCAGCATGTAAGCTGCGTGCATCGAATGTAGGGAAAGGATACGGTGTTTTCACCAATCAAAACATTCCCCTTGGGACCTGGATTGGCCCGTACGAGGGCACACGAATTCGTCCAAGTGATGTCACACCTAATATGGATACATCACACATGTGGGAGGTAACATACACTTTGATAAACATTTTTTGTTCACCTTAAGTGAAACGAAAAAATCATACAGTCTAAGAGTACAAACATAAAGAGACTGTGAAAGAAATGAAAAGTCGAAGACACGTATCCATAAACATGATTCAGTTTTTACACGTTTTTGCGAAAGGAGATCAAAAGCGCCATTTTTTTAAACCAATAGCCCCAAAACTTGACAATCAATCGAAGAACCGACATATTTACCATTTTGAAGCTAACACAGTGTCAAGTTACTGTTTCCTTTTGGTTAAATTCCAGTTCACCATGGCCAAGCTGTCCTTAAATTACATTTATATTCAACAACTAGAAGACGAGCTCCAGATTCTTATCGTCAAATAGTTAGCAAAAGAGAAAAACAAGTACACTTTTTGATAATTTTTACTCGGTAATCATAGGCTAAATTCCCTACTCCCCATCCGTGTCACTCTATGAGCTGCTAGACAGCGAGTACCTCAGCCAATCAGATTGGAGGATTTATATCAGCAAAAAAGCTTGCCAGCGAGATCCATGCTCTCTATGGATAACAGACATCGAAAAGGGACCCCTAGTCCTAACTCTTACCTAAACGCAAGCATTTTAAAACATGAATTCCTATTATAAATAATTGCGTCTAATATGAAGGACCCAAGGTACGAGTTGAGTGCATTTCAGGACATAAGTAGCCTCCCACGCAGCCTAGTATGCCCCTTCCGCGTCTCGAGGCCAGGAAATAACTACGAGATTTATATCGCCACTTAAGAGACACTGTTTGCAAAGAGTTAGCAGTTAGTTACCAGCGCGTCACCAGTAACGATCCCAGAAGTCTTTGCGAAAGCTAACTGGGCCCAGCTTCGATATGGTTTCTAGAGCGGCGAATAGAAATGGAGCACTTTAAGAGAATTGTTCTTTTCAACAGATCTATGAAGGCAACACGCTATCGCATTACATTGACGGAAGTGACGAGAACGTTGCAAGCTGGATGCGTTTCATCCGTTGTGCCAGGCATAAGGAAGAACAGAATCTCTTCTCTTTTCAATACAACGGGAATATATACTACCGAGCGTTCAAGGATATTCCATGTGGCACAGAGCTGCTTGTGTGGTATGACGAGAAGTATCCCATGTACATGGGAATCCCCCTGGGAATGGAAGTGGGCGCTGTGTACGTTCCCACCACCACCACCACCACCACAGCTCAGCGTAAGTCAACAGTCAGTCAGTTAGTCCGTAAGACAGTTTGTTCACTCATAGTCAGTCAGGGAGGCAGACAGATGAAAAGTCAAATGGTCAGTTTGTTATGCAGGGAGTCTGTTTGTTGAGTACCAATGTAATGGATGATCGGTACAAAAAATCTATTGGCAGATTAGCCTGTGTCGCAGACGTAATTAAACCTCGGTAAGTAACGTCTGCGAGGCAGCGCCCACGTCCTTGTTCCGGGCCCCCAACGGACGCTACGAATTACCGGAAGAGCGTTCCGAATTTCTTTTCATCTTGATTGTCAAATCGACAGTGGTATTTTTAACAAGCCAGTCATGGCGTGTACTTAAATCCTGGTACACAGGGCGCCCAGAACAAGGATTTCGGCGCTGTTTCGCAGACGGACTTAACCAGAGTTTAGCCTCGCCTACAGCGCAGGCTATTGGCAGATCAGGGTCAACATTCTGAACTCTACCAAAACATGGAAAGAAGCAATTCTCTCCACTTCTCTTGTCTATCAGTCATAGCTGTAGAATTGAGGTTTTACTGAGTAAGTCATGGAGAAACTGGAGTCACAGACACCAAACAGTCAACAAGTTAAGACAATCAAACTTTCACTGAGCCGATGACAGTTTGTCATTTGCTTTAATCTTCACACTAATTTGGTAGGCTTCAGATGGCATGCAATCGTTCACATGACACAACTGTTTAGTTAATGGACAGTTCGACCATTAATGAATTAACCATTAACTTTTCATCAAGTCAATTTTGTGACTAATTGTTATCTTTGACTATTGGCTAGTCGCTCTATAAACGGATTAAGTACCCAGTCACTCTTTCATTTAACTTGTCAGTCCACTAGTCGTTCATTGATAAGATATCCTCTTAACAGTTTTTTTAAAATCTCGACTCCACAACAACATTCTTAATCCAACTTGCAGACCAGCCCGAGAGACAACAAAATGCCACAGCATTACAGCGGTCTGACCGATCTTTGGATAAAGAATCTCCACCAATCAAACCTCAAGATACAGCAGGGCAGTATTCCAACACAGCTACTAGCTCCAGGCTCACTCCGAGCACAAGCCCTTCAAGGAGTTACCAAGGTAACGAAATTGTCCAATTATTTAATTTCTTCACTGAGTGTTGGTCAATATGGAAGCTGCCTTTTCGTCCATTTTTTAACAGAGCCTCTCAAAAGCTACCTTACAGTTAACTTTTAATAACGGATTCTTTATAAATCGTATCTGGTGGATGTATTGTCCAACAATAAGCACGTTTATAATTACACTGAATGATCTATTCAGGATGTAATATTTTGAATTTAACCTTTATATCAATATTAAAAATCCTTCGTTGTCTTTATTGATCTAGTCTCAAATAGAACTTCTGAAATTGCTCTCACTTTATTCATTCGTTCGTTCGTATTCATTTATTCAAGTTGAAACTAATACAGTCATAACAAAGAACGAGCGTCCAGTTAGTGCTGACAACTCAAGAACAATAAAAGAAACTTCCTGGCCCACACCATTAAGACCTTATGATACACGATTTATTTGTTTGTCCGTTTCCAGATTCAAGATCTCCACAAGCTGACTCAAAGAATTTGCCGCCACTTATCCCTACAAAGTCTCTGCCAAAGAGATCTGCTTCTATTGACAGTTTACCTCCAGATCAACGAACGCCAACAAGCAATGAACCGAATTCCCACCTTCAGCTAAGCGAATTAACCTCTTGGCAGTGCCAGCAATGTCATAAGACCTTCACCCAGCGACTGGCTTTACAAATGCACGTGTGTCAAAGCCAACCAACCAAGCCTTTTCAGTGTGGACAGTGCGGTAGCACTTTTAATAATTCTTCAGAACTGCGCACACATGTGGTTTCCCATACCACTGAACGGCCTTTCAAATGTGGCTTTTGCTCGCGCACATTTGTTGGTGCGACAACGCTGAACAACCACGTTCGTACACACATGGGACAGAAACCTTTTAGCTGTGAAAAGTGCGGAAAGGCGTTTTCACAAGCCATGCATCTCGCGAGACACGCATGCGAATTAAGTAGCGGTTCAAGTGGAATTGAATCAGCTATTCCTCACTCATTAACGAGCTGAATATGAATCAAAGTTGCGCTTTCTTTTGTTAACGGTGTTGATAAGGTTACAAAATTTCCTCTTGCTTATGGTACAAAAGACGTTAAGTTATGATTAAGTTACTGTGAAGCTAGTTTGGCCCCGCTCCGCTTTTTGCTATGTAAATAGTACAGCATGGTTGTAAATAATAACATGCAACCTTTCTGATCTTGCAGGTGCTTATAATCCGGGTGTAAATACAGTTTCCGTTGGTTGCCAAACATAGTGAAATACAACGATGAACATTTTATACAGCAGCAGTCTTAGGTTCAGATGATTCAAACAATCATCTTTTCTCATAACGAGACTATTTTAACAGACAGACACAATGCTAGTCTTTACTTTTCACGGAATTCGCAAATTTGGCCCGTTGTGCAGTGATTTTGTTACAAATAGTTATGGTGAGTCCTAGGACTCATGTAGAGAAAGATAACAAGTCCCAGTCCAGAACCAATGAGTCCCAGTTTGAAAACAACGAGTCCCAGGGCCTTTATGTAACCACACAGTTAATCTGAAGACAAACTCCAAAACTCTGTACTACAGTTTACTGAAATAAAAATATAGTCCTTCTATTGTCAAGCACAACAAAGACTAAAAGACATATACGTCGTTAAACAACAGCCAACAAGAAACAGGATATTCTACAAAAACATCTTCCGATCGATTAATGGATCTTTGCGTCTTAAGGGACGCAAACCACGCTATGCGCATACCATGCGTCAGGGACGCAGGACGCAGAGGTAACAAAATCACTGTTTGTGTCTGTGCAGCAAGGAGCTACTAAACCAGGACCGAGTTGCTCGTAGGACGATTCATTCAAATCCAGGTTTCGTTACCATGACGACTCATATGCTACATTTATAGTTATATGATTACAAAAGTAAAGCGCGCGCTCCGATTGGTCAATTAAACATTTACTAATTACCCATGAGTGAATGCTGACGAAAGCTAACGCGTGCTCAACGCAGTGCGCGACTGTCTTTTGTTGTTAACTCAAGAAACTTGAGGTAACCACGCTTCCCTCGTGTTTAGCAACTTCCCTTCCACTCCGCGCCGCCCTCCCCACCCTCAACCCACGCATTGATGACCACCGGTAGTTGAAACGCTGTTGTAATACTGTAAAAAATGCATTAAGGGGAGCCCATATTGAGAGGTCACCCTTAACTCAGCGGGGAGTAGTCTCCGTCATTACTGCTCCTGAACTTTCCTTGCCATATTTCAGTAAAACTGACTCGTCAGTTTAGCGGACACAGGAGAGAGAGCCGCGATTCATCCGGGTGACCTCCCGACACAGGACTACCCGTAGCCGATATCAGATTGTGTTAAGATTCTAATAGAGCAGGACTATATCAATAACCGATATTTTTGCAGTCACGGTTGATTTATGCCTAGGCACATTAGCATCTCTTTATTCATCCCATGACCTCTTTCTTTTGATTTTAGTCGGCATAATATGGTAATTGTGTTCATCAATGGACAAACTGTTTGTCTGTTGTGAAATGCAAAGCAATCTGAGAAGCAAAACGCATATGTTCGCTGTTTAGTGCTGGGTTGTCGGTGATATCTCTCTAAGCAAAACAACTTTAACACACTTTAGAGCACATAGTTACCGAAAGTTAATTCTTTCATTTTAACGAAAAAAACAAAAAAAACAAAAAACAAAACAATTTCTTCAAAAGGCTATCCACTGCACATGGAATATCACATCTAAAAGTTCTGTTGACACGTTTGAATCAGTTTCAATTAATTACTTCTGCTAGTAGAGTTCGCGTCGTTTCTTAACTATATAAATGTAAAGAATGTTCAGCTGAATATTGCCTTTTGAGCTCAAAAGACATTAAGTTTTATTTTTATATTACACTTTCTGTTTGTTCTGATAATCTTTTGTTGTCTGCGACACAAAGTTCAAATCCAAGCACTTCACGGAGTGGTGAATTCTTTCTGGAAGACCGAAGACCGGCTAGTTAATGAAGTTTCTCATATTAGCCGCTGTCTGGCAAGACTGGCCAATATAATTTTGGGTTCCGATTTTTATAATTTATTGGTAGTTAAATAAGAAGCATTTCCTTCGTTGGGCGATAATAAATAAATGTTTTTCTTCTCCTTTCCGGCCTTTCAAAAAAAAGTAAGGTAATGCTAACATAGCTGTAAGTAATCGTATCCTCAACTTTTTTCAGTTCTCACAAAAGGCATCAAGATTCAAGAAAACCTCTTGAAGCGAATGGTCACTGCTATCAGGAGCAGATTAGGATTATTATTATTATTATTCTCTTATATATTTTATGCAACAAAACACCACAAAAACAAACAGAAAAAATGTTACATGAATTCCGCCAGAAGGATGTGAGGACTGGTTTTGGTTAACAATTATTTGAGAATCGCAAGTAGAAATTTAATTCTGTTTACAGGTAGTAAATAGAAAATATTGCGAAAAAAAAAAACCGACATGACCTTTTTTCTTAAAAGTTGTGTTGACTAAGAATAATTTAACACCAATATTTCAGTAGTTAGGTACAGAATCTAGCCCACCCCTGGAACGCTCCAGGCAACTTACATAAAGATGCACAGTAGCAATGATGTCACCGATTTTTATACACGAGTAGTTTTATAATGTATGATAACTTAGGCGATGCTCATTTGGCGCTAAAGGAATCACTTAATAATTTATGATAAGAAAGGTGTATAAGACTAGTTCAAAAATTGATCATTCAAAAAAGACAAGATAGATTGAGTGAATTCATCTTTAACAGTTCGCTATGTCATTCTTTTTCCATTTTAAAATGTCTCGCCCTCGAGCCTGCCATTACACGTTCGGAAACTTTGATGTAATAATTTGTTTTGCTCCAAAATGGCGCGAATTTAGCTCTACTGTCAATATAAATTACCAAATAGAGTACCTCCCTTCTATTTTTCAAAGTACAACGTGATTGACACTAATTATCATGACAACAAAGATCTTTTCATTGAAGGACCTTTAATTTATCACAAACGCGCCAAAATATTAACCGTCCTTGAGCGGTTTAAATTAAAATATTGCAATACACCAGAGCGTGTGTCATGCTGACGTCTCTCTAACTTCTCTAACAATATAAAGGACATTTCGTTGTTGAAACAAGAATTTACCCCGGCAATTTTGATAAAACGGACAAGGCGAAACGATAATGGATATACTTAAGGATCATGAGGTAAGCAGATTTCGCTTAATGCCAAAACATTATATAGAATGAACGCTGAGGCGCATTATACGATATAGCATACCAACGTGATAGTTATTAAACAGCTGATATAAAGATATTTAGATTTAGTAGCAGATGGCTAGAAGTTAAAGCAGGTATAACTCGGCTATAAAACACAGTAATCTAACCGTTTACTTTGCGCAACTTTCGAACGGATTGGCATTTTCTACTCGGTACAGAAATCTACAACCGTTAAACGTTCGCTGACGCCAGTAAACACGAACAATGTCAAATCACGCTTCATTAGCCCCCATGTTTACATCTATTCCATTTCACTGCATTTGCAAACCGTTTTTATTCCAACGTCTGGAGAGTAAACGGTTGGAACACAATAGCCACGCAAAAACATCTCAGTTTATGTTGTCACTTTATCAACTTGGATCAAATTTAGTACATTTACTACAGTCGAAAAGTCAACATGCGACGTTTCAAGCTTATAAAGCCCTTTGTTAGAGCGAAGCAGGAAGTTCGAACAAAACTACTTCCGACGGCCGAGCATAACCTTTGTTAACACCCTCCAACGGAAAATAATATTCAGGGGCACGCAACGACTTCTTTCTGTAAAATAACTGTTCGAAGCAACACTATTTTCTAGAAATTTCGCAAAAATCGAGAAAGGCTAAAAGATTTTGGATAATTGTTCCATTCGCGTAAGATATTTGGAGTTTTTCCATTGACTTACCTACGATTTCCCTTGCTTGTATTTTTCACATTTTATTACCAAGATGTTGCGATTATTTTCAAGAAAGGTCGCCCAATGTAAGGGAATCTGGATTCCTCGGAGTCCTCGAAATTTTTTCTTGTGGAATTCGGAATCATGGAAAAATTTGCTGTGGAATCCGGAGTCCTGGGCTTTGGAATCCGGAATACAGCTCGAGGAATCTGGAATCCCACTAACGATTGGAATCCGGAATCCAAGTTCCACTGACAAAGAATCCGGATTCCAGTACCTGGAATCCGGAATCCGTGACGTGGAATCCAGAATTCAAGAATGTCTTGGATTCCCTTACATCGGGCGAAAGGTCTCCTAAAAAAAACCAGTATAAAGGTCAAACGAACCCTGGAATCTTCTAATAAAAATACGGCTACTTCCCGGCCTCGAACTTTTGACCGGACCCACATTAGCCTGTGCCAGGCTCTCAGATAGTATAATGGGGACGTATTAAAATGAGCAAAGCGAAAATATGACGCGCGCGACTTTTACTGAACGACTTTTCACCACTATCTTAGCCTGTTCCGCCGCCAACACCCCCTTCCCGCGTCTTATTTTCGCTTTGCTCATTTTAATACGTCCCCATTATACTATCTGAGAGCCTGGCACAGGCTAGACCCACATCTGAGTAGGTAACAGTTTCGGATGAGACGAAAAAGCCACTTAAAACTTTCGAGATGACCAAATTTCCTCCAAGGCATGCTCATCCGATCAGAAAATAGCTTTTAGGGCAGCTCCAGATTAAACATACACGCTTCTAAAGCATATAGCTATAGAAAACCATTTGAGACACTTCTGACGTATATGGAAACATTCGGTCGTTGGTTGGCCCTGTGTATTGACCCAGAATATGCTAAATCACTGCAAAAAACTTTAAGGGCCAGCTATTTAAACAGCGTTTAGCCAGTGTTTAACAAAACCTCGTTCTAAGCCATTTTCACCGCCGAACGCTTTTAGGCAAACACCATTTACGGTGAACAGTTTCATGAAACCATATACCGCAAACTAGAAACGCATTTTTCTACTTACAATAACTCACTAAGGAAGAGATCTGGAGAACCAAAGATTGACTAAACCGCGGTCTTAGATAGACTTCCTTCAAATATCCGACCCTAAGCGTCCAGGCTCCAGAGATTCCGTGTCATTTCACGCACTGGCTGCCTCTGGTTTGACGTTACTGAATCAAAGTCGCTCAAATGTTAACTTGATTCAGAGGGAAAACACAAATAAATAAAAAACAACAACAATAACAACTATTTTAGTGCCCCAGTGCAAGGTCGAGAACTTGAAAACGGGCACTGTTCGTGATAATTTGCGGTCTCGGGATCATTTGCAATACTGTACGGATTTCGGTTCCACTACGCCGTACAACATGAATAGAAAAACCATTAGGTCTATTTTGGCTGTTTCGGCCGAGCACCGCAGATAATAACAATACGTTATGCAACAACTCCTATTACATTCGAACTGAACAGAGCTGAGTGACAGTTTACAAAGAATACTGTCAGAGCGGAGGTCAGAAAATACCTGCGGGAAAAAAATCCAGTAAGGAAAAAACTCAACAGGAAATCTGGGTAGGATCCACGGCTCATGCTCTGAAAAGCCCATCCTACGAAGACTACACGGCTGGAAGCTCTCTGCCCACATTTGTTAAGCATGTATTCCAACAAGCACGGTAAATTGGAAATAATTATTCGAAACGAAAACAAGCTCAAACCCTTGCGAAACTCGAACTGTCACTAATAAATCAAATATATACTAACAGTAAATAAATCAAAAATAACGTGAGCTAGACGAGGTGTCGGCCTAGAATGCTTTCCCACGTGATAAGCATCCCTTTTATAGCACTCCATTCTACCCATACTACACTTCAAATGAAACCGTCCCAGTAGTACAGTGTATGGGGGTACGAGCGCATTTTCCATGTTTTGGATTTGACCTTGGGATCCGACCACCTGGCCACGAGAGTAAACTCATTTTTATTGTATAATTTTGGAGAAATTGTAAATGCAGAGACTAGGAATGTGTTCAAATAACTTGAACTATACTTGCAAAATACGACATCACGTCCTTACCACATTCGACGCACGTATAAGAAATGTAAAATGTAACAATAAAGAGGTTCTAGAAGTTTTAAAACGTTTTTAAAAAGTTTTTTTAAACTTCTAGAACATTTTATATTGACATTTTACATTTCTTATACGTGCGTCGAATGTGGTAAAGACGTGATGTCTTATTTCGCACGTAGTTCAAGTTATTATATAATTACATTACATGAATACTGATTAAAACCAACAGTTGAACTGACAGTTGAACTGGTAGTTGAACTGTTGGTTTTATACAGTATTTGTGTAACCTAATTATATAAAAAAATGAGTTTACTCAAGTGGCCAGGTGGTCTGATCCCAAGGTTATATCCAAAATATGGAAAATGTGCTCATACCCCCATATACTATACTACTCGCCTCAGTTCCCAATGCTCCCGTGCCGCAGAAAAATTTCATTTCCGGCTAATTCGTATCCACTCAAACGCCGAAAATTCTATTTTACGTAAAGAACAAAACAGTCAGACCTGACCAGTGCTGTCGTAATATTTCGAATTCATTGATGAGTCGCAATAAGTCAGTATTTTTCGATGTACCAAATTAGCTTCAAATGAATGAAAATAAAAAAAAAACACTTTGGCAAAAACACCTGAGAAAATAACAAAGAGGGCTGCGGCAAGTGACAAAGAACGAAGGACCGATTATGTCTTTGAAGAATATTGTACACTGCTTACAAAGAAAATGAAAATTAAGATGTAGACGAGGTGAACCTCCTTCAAGTCAACAAAACTGACGGTTTGTTCTAAACCACTGCATTGTAACAGCTCTCTTCACCTTTAGAATGTACTGAGTAACAAAGAAATTCGGCTAAAATTTTATGTCTTTCTTCATGTTTTAAATTAGACAACGGCTACTCGAATAACTCGCTTGAATTACAATCCTTAGATGGTTAATACAAAGACTTATGAAATATTATGTTCTCTTGTACTTTCTTTTATTTTTCCATTTATTATTTATTTATTGATTTATCGCTTTGCTTTCCCCTGATGCAGGGCAAAATTACAGATCAAGATCGGAAAAATCTTTCTCATCACCCAGCAAAAAAACGTCGTGGTACATTTCTGTTCCCAGAACCAACTGGCCCTCACCCTCAACGCAGGAAAAATCACGATAGTTCCAGTGCCTCCTCATGCGTCACTACAACAAAGGAATTTACTTTCGAAGAACTGCAGAGACTTCTTTTTACTAAAAACGACATTCAGGAGATCAGTGTCAAGCGTCCAGTGGAATCACGGCAAAATGAGTGCTTTTGTGAGTATATAATACCCGACCGGGAAATTTAAATGCCTTAGTTAGTTTCCACCAGTGATAGAGAGAGGGCAGCGCAAATGAGAGATCATCTTAAATTTAACGGCAAGGTGAAAAACATTAGCTGATCTGGGAACACCTCTGGTTTTCGAACGCCATTTTGAAAAATGTGAATGTCTTCCCTTTTTTGTGCTTACCGAATGGAACTATGGGTAGAAACACCAAGTCAAACCGAACAAATAACGAGCAAAGCCGGTGGGCATACGAAATTATCCGATTTCTGAAATGGCCGCCATGACGTGAAATAACAAGGTAGTTATCAGTGGGAAAAGGGGGTGTATACAGTCCCGCACACAAGTCTTTCCTTGGAACGACGAGTCCCATCTGAATACAATCGATTTCGCCACTTCGCCTACTCTAGAATTATGAACTAGAGGTTAAAAATTGTAAGTATAATGTGGCGAGCAGATGCTGGGCAGTAAAACATCATCTGAGAAACGATGAACTAACATATACGTTTTGCTAATTACAAACCCTTTTATATGGCCGATTTATAGTTGTGGATAAACGACTTCAGGGGAGCGCCAAAATCACCAGTTCTTTGTGATTTGGGTCTTCATTGGCCAGTTACAATCATACCAAAATAATTTGAAACTGTTTGTGCGCGCCACAGGACACAGCGACAGGACAACCAAGGAACCAAAGGAGACCCAAAGATTAGGCTGCTGCTCGCCTGGAGGCGCGCAGCCATTATTATCATCATAATGGTATTTTAATTCTGTTTCAGGGTGTGATGCAACTAAGACAAATCCAAACTTTCAATGTCCCATGCATAAGCATGACAAAGCAGTCGTGAGGAAGACTTCACAGTTACCACTGGCTCTGAGATCACTTCCGCCGGAAGTTGGTTTGTGTACCTCCACTATCCCCGGGCAGGAATGTGGTATTTGCGCCAAGCGAAAGATTCCTGTTGGTGCGTGGATTGGCCCTTATGAAGGAAAATTTTTGAAGCCGACAGAGCTGTCTTCAACAACCGACACATCATATAGGTGGGAGGTATGTTTAGGAAAGAGTGGTTATTTCAGTATTTTGCAAAAAAAAAGTTTATTTTGAGATGCGACTGTTCAGTTACAAATTAAAGAGGTCGATAAAATGTGACAAGCGCAAAGGGTGGACTATTTAACGAGCAGTAGGAGAGTTCGTCATCTATCAAAACAAAGCCGTAGAATTTTCATAGCATATTGTATAAATTTATTTTTGTTTTGTGCACACTACCCTCTCTACCAGCAGAGCCTCTCTTTCGTAATCGAGAAAGACTCCGCTTGAATCTTTTTTGAGCTTGCGCTGAATCTTGCTACTGTACAGTTTCGAACCCAGGCCTAATAGCCGTGCGCTTGGTACAGCGGGCTTAGTTATGAACATGGGGTTACCAAAAAACGTATGCTGGCTCTCGGAAAAGCCAATTTAACGAGAAAACAAGGTTGACAAGTCCAGAAGTTCGGACTGCGGCGTCTTCAAAGACTTCACTAGATTCAGACAGAGCTTCCTTTTCTCCAGAACCATCAAAAAAATTAACTGTGTCCATCCATTCAATTTTCAGATTTTTCAAAATGGTGAACTGACAGGTTATATTGATGGCAGTGATGTTAAACTCACAAGCTGGATGCGATTCATTCGTTCTGCTCGACACAAGAGGGAACAAAATCTATTTGCGTTTCAGTACTTGGGCAGAATATTCTATCGTGCATTCAAAGATATTCTACCTGGAGAAGAAATGCTAGTATGGTACGATGAAAAATACCCACAATACCTTGGAATTCCATGGACAATATTTGACCTAGCAGCTGCAGTTCCTCCTGGTAGGTGGTCCCAAGGTTACCATTCTTCGTTCTTTTTTGTGTTATCTAATCTGAAGAGAGATAGCATTCAGTTTACATTTTTTTCAAAATGTAAGTTTTATTCCCGCTGCATGAATAGTAGCCTCAGGGAACCTCCGTTACCCTTTCTGGGACAGTTTAAGAGGACGATAAATCAGATACCCTGCTGGGTACGAGAGGTTTTCTTTCTCGCGTGCGGCAGGATGCTTCTGAAGCGGCGGCAGCACGAAGTTACGAGCGGCGAAGCACTGGAAACCGCACATGACAAGTCTCTTGCACCGAGAATATAAATCCCACGATATTCCCCAAATCGTCCCTTAAAAAAGGCCTGTTACTAGGGTTACGTGTTTGCAGCGTGGGGTTCATTTGAATTTCTGAAACGCAAACGCAACGAAGGCGCTCGAATCAGACCCCGCCCCTCCCACACAATTATATATGTCGGTACCTAGCCGGCGTAGCAAGCGTTTCCGCGCGAGTTGGTCGAGGAAGCTGGAACGATAGCGGAATAAAGTCGTGCGGAAACACTTACTACGCAGGCCTGTCGGCGCCAAGCGAAAGCAAGGAGTCATATATTGATTCTGGGACACATAATAAGTGGGAGGGAAAATTTTTGTGCCTATCACTAGGAGATTTCTAAAAAACCAAACGCAAAATCACTTTTCATATCATACATCAAATCATTAAAAGGAAAAAAACCTATGCTTCATATCTCTCAGTTTAATCTAAGTTAGTAATTTTACGAAAAAAGAGTGTCAAACCGACTATGGAGCCAGTACACTCTACAAAAGAAACGGAAACAGCTCATGTTACAAAAAGTATCTCTTTGACAACTACTAATTTAGAATTTGCTTAAATTACCTCTTTAGGTACCAGTTCTCGAACCGATGAAGTCATAATAATGTCGCCCGTCGGCAAAAATGATCGACCGCTGAACATAAGCACCCAAGAATCGATTTTCCCTAGTCCTCCTCCGTCACCGCTTTCGAAGCCCAGCAGTCCATGGAAACGAGTGTCAACGTCGATACAAGTGAAACGCTCTCCTTTACATCCATCACGGGACGAAAGACTGTGTTATAGCAAGTCTGTTGCGAACCTTGGGGAAAATCCAGTAAAGCATATTCAGAAAAATGGGAATCCTCCAACAATTACCAAGAAGTGTAAATATTCCTTATGTAAAAAGAGAACAAGCGCAACAACCAGTTGTTCTCGTGGTAAAAATGCAAAATCACCGCATAGAGCCTACGGTGCCCAGGTCCCACAGAGGCCGTATCGCAGCACTACCCCCGTAGTCTCGTTTAGAGCAACCAATCAACAACGTACATATGCTTTCAGTCAGGGGAATGACAGCGGTTACTGCTCAAGGTCTTTCAATGATACGGTAACTATGGATAACCACATTCGTTCTCAGAACTCAAGAGGACAAATATTTGCCCATGAAATGTCTAAACTAAAAAAATAAGGTCTTTGACCTATTAAACTTACGACAGAGATTGAAATTACGTTTTGTTTAGAATTAGAAAATCAGCTGTATCAACTGTATGTAAATAGGAGCTAAACGCAAAAATATAAAAAGTTACATAAGCAACTAAAATAAGTTTAAGCAAGCTAAGTAGCTACACACATCTGTTTTTGTTTTGAAAAAACTCAAGGCACAGTAATTCGCCACGTAATTTGCGTTAATTTCTATTCAAAACACGAAAAGCTATAGTTTTCTTTAAAAAAGTTAGTACTTAGCGCCTGGCACGTTCACTGCTAGCAGAGGTCTCTCACGACGAGGCAAAAATGAGAGAAAGGAGAGAGAAAGACCTCTGCTAGCAGGGAACTGGCACGGAGCATGCGCGTTTCATAAGATAATGGCAAGAGATTGAGTCAGGCTTGTCACCAGGGTCTTCTTGTTTTTCAATATGGTGGCGAGAAGCCCCTGGCCTGGAGACGAGGATGGAGATCGAGTCCCTTGAAGAGCGGATTAGTTTCACCATTTGTAGGGACAAAAAACTTGTGATGTAAATTTGATGATGGATTTTGAATCTTGTGAATATATTTATCATTGCTACCTTTTATTTGTTACTTCGTGTTTTTCAATAGTTGATTTTACGTATGTCTACTACGCCTTTACTTTTCCTTGGACTATGTTAGTCAACTAAAGAAATTATTCAACAGAAAATACTGAAAATATTCTACAAAATACGTCTACGAACACACCATCTGAGTACGACCATATCAGTAAATTTTGGTCAAACCACGTCAAGTGTACCTTTATTGATTCTATTATTTAAAAAATTGTATGAATCCGTTAGTCAGTCGCCAGGGGGGTACTCAACAAAATGTTAGACGGGGAGGCTCCGTCCCGAGGTCCAACCTCTTACCCTTTTATAGACCATTTTTTGCAGAAAAGGCACCCCTTTCATATACCTTTCACTGACAAATGGTACCCCTTCCACATACCTAGTTTAGAAATTTGCATCCTTTTTCACTGCTTTAAATGCACTGCCTTTTAAATATGAATAAATAAAAAACCAGAACGTTTTCTCGGCTTTTTAAAGCCATAAAATTCCTCTGTTAGCAACTGATTTTAGGCACTTTTACAGAACGAAATGACAGATTTCTGTACCCTTTCATATACTCCAACCAGTGAAATCCGTACCCTTTCATAAACCTTAAGCCTTAAAAAAGTATCCATTTCGGCTGGGGCCTCCTCGTATAGGCCACTATAGGGAGTACTCCCCCACGGGGGTCAGTCGTCGCCACTGCATGCATAGTGAGCAGTGGAAAAAGAGAACGAAGCCATCTTCATGAACGCTATATACATGACTCAAGACAATAATGCTGATGAAATAAGATATAAATTAAAATATAAACCGAATGACTCAAAATCGCAAAGGCAGCAAGGATTTTTGACAGAAATGTCTCAAGCAATTGACCTTTCTATATGGCCCGAGAAATTTTGCCCCAGTGTCCCTTATGCATGATTACGTCATGAAAGAAAAATTCTTGGCATTTACACTTGCTGTTCTTGGTTATTCTATTCTACTCTACCGCCTGGGGAATTTTTTTATGCAAAACTTCGCCACTTTACAATGGGCCATTTCCGAGTTCCCCGGGGCCTCTGTTTCAAAACGGGAGTAGGTACTCGGCGTTTGATATGGAAATCATTTTTTATTGTCATTCATTCTCCTATTACATTTGAACTGAACAGAGCTGAGTGACAGTTTACAAAGAATACTGTCAGAGCGGAGGTCAGAAAATACCTGCGGGAAAAAAATCCAGTAAGGAAAAAACTCAACAGGAAATCTGGGTGGGATCCATGGCTCATGCTCCGAAAAGCCCATCCTACGAAGACTACACGGCTGGAAGCTCTCTGCCCACATTTGTTAAGCATGTATTCCAACAAGCACGGTAAATTGGAAATAATTATTCGAAACGAAAACAAGCTCAAACCCTTGCGAAACTCAAACTGTCACTAATAAATCAAATATATACTAACAGTAAATAAATCAAAAATAACGTGAGCTAGACGAGGTGTCGGCCTAGAATGCTTTCCCACGTGATAAGCATCCCTTTTATAGCACTCCATTCTACCCATACTACACTTCAAATGAAACCGTCCCAGTAGTACAGTGTATGGGGGTACGAGCGCATTTTCCATGTTTTGGATTTGACCTTGGGATCCGACCACCTGGCCACGAGAGTAAACTCATTTTTATTGTATAATTTTGGAGAAATTGTAAATGCAGAGACTAGGAATGTGTTCAAATAACTTGAACTATACTTGCAAAATACGACATCACGTCTTTACCACATTCGACGCACGAATAAGAAATGTAAAATGTAAAAATAAAAATGTTCTAGAAGTTTTAAAACGTTTTTAAAAAGTTTTTTTAAACTTCTAGAACATTCTATATTGACATTTTACATCTCTTATACGTGCGTCGAATGTGGTAAAGACGTGATGTCTTATTTCGCACGTAGTTCAAGTTATTATATAATTAGATTACATGAATACTGATTAAAACCAACAGTTGAACTGACAGTTGAACTGGTAGTTGAACTGTTGGTTTTATACAGTATTTGTGTAACCTAATTATATAAAAAAAATGAGTTTACTCAAGTGGCTAAGTGGTCTGATCCCAAGGTGATATCCAAAATATGGAAAATGCTCATACCCCCATATACTAAAGTTCCCACTGCTCCCGTGCCGCAGAAAAATTTCATTTCCGGCTAATTCGTATCCACTCAAACGCCGAAAATTCTATTTTACGTAAAGAACAAAACAGTCAGCCCTGACCAGTGCTGCCGTAATATTTCGAATTCATTAATAAGTCGCAATAAGTCAGTATTTTTCGATGTACCAAATTAGCTTCAAATGAATGAAAATAAAAAAAAAACACTTTGACAAAAACACCTGAGAAAATAACAAAGAGGGCTGCGGCAAGTGACAAAGAACGAAGGACCGATTATGTATTTGAAGAATATTGTACACTGCTTACAAAAAAAATGAAAATTAAGATGTAGGCGAGGTGAACCTCCTTCAAGTCAACAAAACTGACGGTTTGTTCTAAACCACTGCATTGTAACAGCTCTCTCCACCTTTAGAATGTACTGAGTAACAAAGAAATTCGGCTAAAATTTTATGTCTTTCTTCATGTTTTGAGTTAGACAACGGCTACTCGAATAACTCGCTTGAATTAAGTTCGACGTCTGAAACCAAGTCGTGTAAGAGTGGTGCTACAATCGAGCCACCTTAGATGGTTAATAGCAAGACTTATGAAATATTATATTCTCTTGTACTTTCTTTTATTTTTCCATTTATTATTTATTTATTGATTTATCGCTTTGCTTTCCCCTGATGCAGGGCAAAATTGCAGATCAAGATCGGAAAAATCTTTCTCATCACCCAGCGAAAAAACGTCGTGGTACATTTCTGTTCCCAGAACCAACTGGCCCTCACCCTCAACGCAGGAAAAATCACGATAGTTCCAGTGCCTCCTCATGCGTCACTACAACAAAGGAATTTACTTTCGAAGAACTGCAGAGACTTCTTTTTACTAAAAACGACATTCAGGAGATCAGTGTCAAGCGTCCAGTGGAATCACGGCAAAATGAGTGCTTTTGTGAGTATATAATACCCGACCGGGACATTTAAATGCCTTGGTTAGTTTCCACCAGTGATAGAGAGAGGGCAGCGCAAATGAGAGATCATCTTAAATTTAACGGCAAGGTGAAAAACATTACCTGATCTGGGAACACCTCTGGTTTTCGAACGCCATTTTGAAAAATGCGAATGTCTTCCCTTTTTTGTGCTTACCGAATGGAACTATGGGTAGAAACACCAAGTCAAACCGAACAAATAACGAGCAAAGCCGGTGGGCATACGAAATTATCCGATTTCTGAAATGGCCGCCACGATGTGAAATAACAAGGTAGTTATCAGTGGGAAAAGGGGTGTATACAGTCCCGCACACAAGTCTTTCCTTGGAACGACGAGTCCCATCTGAATACAATCGATTTCGCCACTTCGCCTACTCTAGAATTATGAACTAGAGCTTTAAAGTTGTAAGTATAATGTGGCGAGCAGATGCTGGGCAGTAAAACATCATCTGAGAAACGATGAACTAACATATACGTTTTGCTAATTATAAACCCTTTTATATGGCCGATTTATAGTTGTGGATAAACGACTTCAGGGGAGCGCCAAAATCACCAGTTCTTTGTGATTTGGGTCTTTATTGGCCAGTTACAATCATACCAAAATAATTTGAAACTGTTTGTGCGCGCCACAGGACACAGCGAGAGGACAATCAAGGAACCAAAGGAGACCCAAAGATTAGGCTGCTGCTCGCCTGGAGGCGCGCAGCCATTATTATCATCATAATGGTATTTTAATTCTGTTTCAGGCTGTGATGCAACTAAGACAAATCCAAACTTTCAATGTCCCATGCATAAGCATGACAAAGCAGTCGTGAGGAAGGCTTCACAGTTACCACTGGCTCTGAGATCACTTCCGCCGGAAGTTGGTTTGTGTACCTCCACTATCCCCGGGCAGGAATGTGGTATTTGCGCCAAGCGAAAGATTCCTGTTGGTGCGTGGATTGGCCCTTACGAAGGAAAATTTTTGAAGCCGAAAGAGCTGTCTTCAACAACCGACACATCATATATGTGGGAGGTATGTTCACGAAAGAGTGGTTATTTCAGTATTTTGCAAAAAAAAAGTTTATTTTGAGATGCGACTGTTCAGTTACAAATTAAAGAGGTCGATAAAATGTGACAAGCGCAAAGGGTGGACTATTTAACGAGCAGTAGGAGAGTTCGTCATCTATCACAACAAAGCCGTAGAATTTTAATAGCATATTGTATAAATTTATTTTTGTTTGGTGTACACTACCCTCTCTACCAGCAGAGCCTCTCTTTCGTAATCGAGAAAGACTCCGCTTAAATCTTTTTTGAGCTTGCGCTGAATCTTGCTACTGTACAGTTTCCAACCCAGGCCTAATAGCCGTGCGCTTGGTACAGCGGGCTTAGTTATGAACATAGGGTTACCAAAAAACGTATGCTGGCTCTCGGAAAAGCCAATTTAACGAGAAAACAAGGTTGACAAGTCCAGAAGTTCGGACTGCGGCGTCTTCAAAGACTTCACTAGATTCAGACAGAGCTTCCTTTTCTCCAGAACCATCAAAAAAATTAACTGTGTCCATCCATTCCATTTTCAGATTTTTCAAAATGGTGAACTGACAGGTTATATTGATGGTAGTGATGTTAAACTCACAAGCTGGATGCGATTCATTCGTTCTGCTCGACACAAGAGGGAACAAAATCTATTTGCGTTTCAGTACTTGGGCAGAATATTCTATCGTGCATTCAAAGATATTCTACCTGGAGAAGAAATGCTAGTATGGTACGATGAAAAATACCCACAATACCTTGGAATTCCATGGACAATATTTGACCTAGCAGCTGCAGTTCCTCCTGGTAGGTGGTCCCAAGGTTACCATTCTTCGTTCTTTTTTGTGTTATCTAATCTGAAGAGAGATAGCATTCAGTTTACATTTTTTTCAAAATGTGAGTTTTATCCCCGCTGCATGAATAGTAGCCTCAGGCAGCCTCCGTTACCCTTTCTGGGACAGTTTAAGAGGACGATAAATCAGATACCCTGCTGGGTACGAGAGGTTTCCTTTCTCGCGTGCGGCAGGATGCTTCTGAAGCGGCGGCAGCACGAAGTTACGAGCGGCGAAGCACTGGAAACCGCACATGACAAGTCTCTTGCACCGAGAATATAAATCCCACGATATTCCCCAAATCGTCCCTTAAAAAAGGCCTGTTACTAGGGTTACGTGTTTGCAGCGTGGTGTTCATTTGAATTTCTGAAACGCAAACGCAACGAAGGCGCTCGAATCAGACCCCGCCCCTCCCACATAATTATATATGTCGGTACCTAGCCGGCGTAGCAAGCGTTTCCGCGCGAGTTGGTCGAGGAAGCTGGAACGATAGCGGAATAAGTCGTGCGGAAACACTTACTACGCAGGCCTGTCGGCGCCAAGCGAAAGCAAGGAGTCGTATATTGATTCTGGGACAGATAATAAGTAGGAGGGAAAATTTTTGTGCCTATCACTGGGAGATTTCTAAAAAACCAAACGCAAAATCACTTTTCATATCATACATCAAATCATTAAAAGGAAAAAAACCTATGCTTCATATCTCTCAGTTTAATCTAAGTTAGTAATTTTACGAAAAAAGAGTGTCAAACCGACTATAGAGCCAGTACACTCTACAAAAGAAACGGAAACAGCTCATGTTACAAAAAGTATCTCTTTGACAACTACTAATTTAGAATTTGCTTAAATTACCTCTTTAGGTACCAGTTCTCGAACCGATGAAGTCATAACGGTGTCGCCCGTCGGCAAAAATGATCGACCGCTGAACATAAGCACCCAAGAATCGATTTTCCCTCGTCCTCCTCCGTCACTGCTTTCGAAGCCAAGCAGTCCATGGAAACGAGTGTCAACGTCGATACAAGTGAAACGCTCTTCTTTACATCCATCACAGGACGAAAGACTGTGTTATAGCAAGTCTGTTGCGAACCTTGGGGAAAATCCAGTAAAGCATATTCAGAAAAATGGGAATCCTCCAACAATTACCAGGAAGTGTAAATATTCCTTATGTAAAAAGAGAACAAGCGCAACAACCAGTTGTTCTCGTGGTAAGAATGCAAAATCACCGCATAGAGCCTACGGTGCCCAGGTCCCACAGAGGCAGTATCGCAGCACTACCCCCGTAGTCTCGTTTAGAGCAACCAATCAACAACGTACATATGCTTTCATTCAGGGGAATGACAGCGGTTACTGCCCAAGGTCTTTCAATGATACGGTAACTATGGATAACCACATTTGTTCTCAGAACTCAAGAGGACAAATATTTGCCCATGAAATGTCTAAACTAAAAAAATAAGGTCTTTGACCTATTAAACTTACTACAGAGATTGAAATTACGTTTTTTTAGAATTAGAAAATCAGCTGTATCAACTGTATGTAAATAGGAGCTAAAGGCAAAAATATAAAAAGTTACATAAGCAACTAAAATAAGTTTAAGCAAGCTAAGTAGCTACACAAATCTGTTTTTGTTTTGAAAAAACTCAAGGCACAGTAATTCACCACGTAATTTGCGTTAATTTCTATTCAAAACACGTAAAGCTATAGTTTTCTTTAAAAAAGTTAGTACTTAGCGCCTGGCACGTTCCCTGCTAGCAGAGGTCTCTCACGACGAGGCAAAAATGAGAGAAAGGAGAGAGAGAGACCTCTGCTAGCAGGGAACTGGCACGGAGCATGCGCGTTTCATAAGATAATGGCAAGAGATTGAGTCAGGCTTGTCACCAGGGTCTTCTTGTTTTTCAATATGGTGGCGAGAAGCCCCTGGCCTGGAGACGAGGGTGGAGATCGAGTCCCTTGAAGAGCGGATTAGTTTCACCATTTGTAGGGACAAAAAACTTGTGATGTAAATTTTATGACGGATTTTGAATCTTGTGAATATATGTATCATTGCTACCTTTTATTTGTTACTTCGTGTTTTTCAATAGTTGATTTTACGAATGTCTACTACGCCTTTACTGTTCCTTGGACTATGTTAGTCAACTAAAGAAATTATTCAACAGAAAATACTGAAAATATTCTACAAAATACGTCTACGAACACACCACCTGAGTACGACCATATCAGTAAATTTTGGTCAAACCACGTCAAGTGTACCTTTATTGATTCTATTATTTAACAAATTGTATGAATCCGTTAGTCAGTCGCCAGGGGGGTACTCAACAAAATTTTAGACGGGGAGGCTCCGCCCCGAGGTCCAACCTCTTACCCTTTTATAGACCATTTTTTGCAGAAAAGGCACCCCTTTCATATACCTTTCACTGACAAATGGTACCCCTTTCACATACCTAGTTTAGAAATTTGCATCCTTTTTCACTGCTTTAAATGCACTGCCTTTTAAATATGAATAAATACAAAACCAGAACGTTTTCTCGGCTTTTTAAAGCCATAAAATTCCTCTGTTAGCAACTGATTTTAGGCACTTTTACAGAACGAAATGACAGATTTCTGTACCCTTTCATATACTTCAACCAGTGAAATTCGTACCCTTTCATAAACCTTAAGCCTTAAAAAAGTTCCCATTTCGGCTGGGGCCTCCTCGTATAGGCCATTATAGGGAGTACTCCCCAAGGGGGGGTCAGTCGTCGCCACTGCATGCATAGTGAGCAGTGGAAAAAGAGAGCGAAGCCATCTTCATGAACGCTATATACATGACTCAAGACAATAATGCTGATGAAATAAGATATAAATAAAAATATAAACCGAATGACTCAAAATCGCAAAGGCAGCAAGGATTTTTGACAAAAATGTCTCAAGCAATTGACCTTTCTATATGGCCCGAGAAATTTTGCCCCAGTGTCCCTTATGCATGATTACGTCATGAAAGAAAAATTCTTGGCATTTGCACTTGCTGTGCTTGGTTATTCTATTCAACTCTACTGCCTGGGGAATTTTTTTATGCAAAACTTCGCCACTTTACAATGGGCCATTTCCGAGTTCCCCGCGGCCTCTGTTTCAAAACGGGAGTAGGTACTCGGCGTTTGATATGGAAATCATTTTTCATTCTCATTCATTCTCCTATTACATTTGAACTGAACAGAGCTGAGTGACAGTTTACAAAGAATACTGTCAGAGCGGAGGTCAGAAAATACCTGCGGGAAAAAAATCCAGTAAGGAAAAAACTCAACAGGAAATCTGGGTAGGATCCATGGCTCATGCTCTGAAAAGTTCATCCTACGAAGACTACACGGCTGGAAGCTCTCTGCCCACATTTGTTAAGCATGTATTCCAACAAGCACGGTAAATTGGAAATAATTATTCGAAACGAAAACAAGCTCAAACCCTTGCGAAACTCGAACTGTCACTAATAAATCAAATATATACTAACAGTAAATAAATCAAAAATAACGTGAGCTAGACGAGGTATTGGCCTAGAATGCTTTCCCACGTGATAAGCATCCCTTTTATAGCACTCCATTCTACCCATACTACACTTCAACTGAAACCGTCCCAGTAGTACAGTGTATGGGGGTACGAGCGCATTTTCCATGTTTTGGATTTGACCTTGGGATCCGACCACCTGGCCACGAGAGTAAACTCATTTTTATTGTATAATTTTGGAGAAATTGTAGATGCAGAGACTAGGAATGTGTTCAAATAACTTGAACTATACTTGCAAAATACGACATCACGTCTTTACCACATTCGACGCACGTATAAGAAATGTAAAATGTAAAAATAAAAATGTTCTAGAAGTTTTAAAACGTTTTTAAAAAGTTTTTTTAAACTTCTAGAACATTTTATATTGACATTTTACATCTCTTATACGTGCGTCGAATGTGGTAAAGACGTGATGTCTTATTTCGCACGTAGTTCAAGTTATTATATAATTAGATTACATGAATACTGATTAAAACCAACAGTTGAACTGACAGTTGAACTGGTAGTTGAACTGTTGGTTTTATACAGTATTTGTGTAACCTAATTATATAAAAAAAATGAGTTTACTCAAGTGGCCAAGTGGTCTGATCCCAAGGTGATATCCAAAATATGGAAAATGTGCTCATACCCCCATATACTATACTACTCGCCTCAGTTCCCACTGCTCCCGTGCCGCAGAAAAATTTCATTTCCGGCTAATTCGTATCCACTCAAACGCCGAAAATTCTATTTTACGTAAAGAACAAAACAGTCAGACCTGACCAGTGCTGTCGTAATATTTCGAATTCATTAATAAGTCGCAATAAGTCAGTATTTTTCGATGTACCAAATTAGCTTCAAATGAATGAAAATAAAAAAAAACACTTTGGCAAAAACACCTGAGAAAATAACAAAGAGGGCTGCGGCAAGTGACAAAGAACGAAGGACCGATTATGTATTTGAAGAATATTGTACACTGCTTACAAAAAAAATGAAAATTAAGATGTAGGCGAGGTGAACCTCCTTCAAGTCAACAAAACTGACGGTTTGTTCTAAACCACTGCATTGTAACAGCTCTCTCCACCTTTAGAATGTACTGAGTAACAAAGAAATTCGGCTAAAATTTTATGTCTTTCTTCATGTTTTGAGTTAGACAACGGCTACTCGAATAACTCGCTTGAATTAAGTTCGACGTCTGAAACCAAGTCGTGCAAGAGTAGTGCTACAATCGAGCCACCTTAGATGGTTAATAGCAAGACTTATGAAATATTATATTCTCTTGTACTTTCTTTTATTTTTCCATTTATTATTTATTTATTGATTTATCGCTTTGCTTTCCCCTGATGCAGGGCAAAATTGCAGATCAAGATCGGAAAAATCTTTCTCATCACCCAGCGAAAAAACGTCGTGGTACATTTCTGTTCCCAGAACCAACTGGCCCTCACCCTCAACGCAGGAAAAATCACGATAGTTCCAGTGCCTCCTCATGCGTCACTACAACAAAGGAATTTACTTTCGAAGAACTGCAGAGACTTCTTTTTACTAAAAACGACATTCAGGAGATCAGTGTCAAGCGTCCAGTGGAATCACGGCAAAATGAGTGCTTTTGTGAGTATATAATACCCGACCGGGACATTTAAATGCCTTAGTTAGTTTCCACCAGTGATAGAGAGAGGGCAGCGCAAATGAGAGATCATCTTAAATTTAACGGCAAGGTGAAAACATTACCTGATCTGGGAACACCCTGGTTTTCGAACGCCATTTTGAAAAATGTGAATGTCTTCCCTTTTTGTGCTTACCGAATGGAACTATGGGTAGAAACACCAAGTCAAACCGAACAAATAACGAGCAAAGCCGGTGGGCATACGAAATTATCCGATTTCTGAAATGGCCGCCATGACGTGAAATAACAAGGTAGTTATCAGTGGGAAAAGGGGGTGTATACAGTCCCGCACACAAGTCTTTCCTTGGAACGACGAGTCCCATCTGAATACAATCGATTTCGCCACTTCGCCTACTCTAGAATTATGAACTAGAGGTTAAAAATTGTAAGTATAATGTGGCGAGCAGATGCTGGGCAGTAAAACATCATCTGAGAAACGATGAACTAACATATACGTTTTGCTAATTATAAACCCTTTTATATGGCCGATTTATAGTTGTGGATAAACGACTTCAGGGGAGCGCCAAAATCACCAGTTCTTTGTGATTTGGGTCTTTATTGGCCAGTTACAATCATACCAAAATAATTTGAAACTGTTTGTGCGCGCCACAGGACACAGCGACAGGACAACCAAGGAACCAAAGGAGACCCAAAGATTAGGCTGCTGCTCGCCTGGAGGCGCGCAGCCATTATTCTCATCATAATGGTATTTTAATTCTGTTTCAGGGTGTGATGCAACTAAGACAAATCCAAACTTTCAATGTCCCATGCATAAGCATGACAAAGCAGTCGTGAGGAAGACTTCACAGTTACCACTGGCTCTGAGATCACTTCCGCCGGAAGTTGGTTTGTGTACCTCCACTATCCCCGGGCAGGAATGTGGTATTTGCGCCAAGCGAAAGATTCCTGTTGGTGCGTGGATTGGCCCTTATGAAGGAAAATTTTTGAAGCCGAAAGAGCTGTCTTCAACAACCGACACATCATATATGTGGGAGGTATGTTCACGAAAGAGTGGTTATTTCAGTATTTTGCAAAAAAAAAGTTTATTTTGAGATGCGACTGTTCAGTTACAAATTAAAGAGGTCGATAAAATGTGACAAGCGCAAAGGGTGGACTATTTAACGAGCAGTAGGAGAGTTCGTCATCTATCACAACAAAGCCGTAGAATTTTAATAGCATATTGTATAAATTTATTTTTGTTTGGTGTACACTACCCTCTCTACCAGCAGAGCCTCTCTTTCGTAATCGAGAAAGACTCCGTTTGAATCTTTTTTGAGCTTGCGCTGAATCTTGCTACTGTACAGTTTCGAACCCAGGCCTAATATCCGTGCGCTTGGTACAGCGGGCTTAGTTATGAACATAGGGTTACCAAAAAACGTATGCTGGCTCTCGGAAAAGCCAATTTAACGAGAAAACATTCAATTTTCAGATCTTTCAAAATGGTGAACTGACAGGTTATATTGATGGCAGTGATGTTAAACTCACAAGCTGGATGCGATTCATTCGTTCTGCTCGACACAAGAGGGAACAAAATCTATTTGCGTTTCAGTACTTGGGCAGAATATTCTATCGTGCATTCAAAGATATTCTACCTGGAGAAGAAATGCTAGTATGGTACGATGAAAAATACCCACAATACCTTGGAATTCCATGGACAATATTTGACCTAGCAGCTGCAGTTCCTCCTGGTAGGTGGTCCCAAGGTTACCATTCTTCGTTCTTTTTTGTGTTATCTAATCTGAAGAGAGATAGCATTCAGTTTACATTTTTTTCAAAATGTGAGTTTTATCCCCGCTGCATGAATAGTAGCCTCAGGCAACCTCCGTTACCCTTTCTGGGACAGTTTAAGAGGACGATAAATCAGATACCCTGCTGGGTACGAGAGGTTTTCTTTCTCGCGTGCGGCAGGATGCTTCTGAAGCGGCGGCAGCACGAAGTTACGAGCGGCGAAGCACTGAAAACCGCACATGACAAGTCTCTTGCACCGAGAATATAAATCGCACGATATTCCCCAAATCGTCCCTTAAAAAAGGCCTGTTACTAGGGTTACGTGTTTGCAGCGTGGTGTTCATTTGAATTTCTGAAACGCAAACGCAACGAAGGCGCTCGAATCAGACCCCGCCCCTCCCACATAATTATATATATGTCGGTACCTAGCCGGCGTAGCAAGCGTTTCCGCGCGAGTTGGTCGAGGAAGCTGGAACGATAACGGAATAAGTCGTGCGGAAACACTTACTACGCAGGCCTGTCGGCGCCAAGCGAAAGCAAGGAGTCGTATATTGATTCTGGGACAGATAATAAGTAGGAGGGAAAATTTTTGTGCCTATCACTAGGAGATTTCTAAAAAACCAAACGCAAAATCACTTTTCATATCATACATCAAATCATTAAAAGGAAAAAAACCTATGCTTCATATCTCTCAGTTTAATCTAAGTTAGTAATTTTACGAAAAAAGAGTGTCAAACCGACTATAGAGCCAGTACACTCTACAAAAGAAACGGAAACAGCTCATGTTACAAAAAGTATCTCTTTGACAACTACTAATTTAGAATTTGCTTAAATTACCTCTTTAGGTACCAGTTCTCGAACCGATGAAGTCATAATGGTGTCGCCCGTCGGTAAAAATGATCGACCGCTGAACATAAGCACCCAAGAATCGATTTTCCCTCGTCCTCCTCCGTCACCGCTTTCGAAGCCAAGCAGTCCATGGAAACGAGTGTCAACGTCGATACAAGTGAAACGCTCTCCTTTACATCCATCACAGGACGAAAGACTGTGTTATAGCAAGTCTGTTGCTAACCTTCGGGAAAATCCAGTAAAGCATATTCAGAAAAATGGGAATCCTCCAACAATTACCAAGAAGTGTAAATATTCCTTATGTAAAAAGAGAACAAGCGCAACAACCAGTTGTTCTCGTGTTAAGAATGCAAAATCACCGCATAGAGCCTACGGTGCCCAGGTCCCACAGAGGCCGTATCGCAGCACTAGCCCCGTAGTCTCGTTTAGAGCAACCAATCAACAACGTACATATGCTTTCAGTCAGGGGAATGACAGCGGTTACTGCTCAAGGTCTTTCAATGATACGGTAACTATGGATAACCACATTCGTTCTCAGAACTCAAGAGGACAAATATTTGCCCATGAAATGTCTAAACTAAAAAAATAAGGTCTTTGACCTATTAAACTTACTACAGAGATTGAAATTACGTTTTTTTAGAATTAGAAAATCAGCTGTATCAACTGTATGTAAATATGAGCTAAAGGCAAAAATATAAAAAGTTACATAAGCAACTAAACTAAGTTTAAGCAAGCTAAGTAGCTACACAAATCTGTTTTTGTTTTGAAAAAACTCAAGGCACAGTAATTCGCCACGTAATTTGCGTTAATTTCTATTCAAAACACGTAAAGCTATAGTTTTCTTTAAAAAAGTTAGTACTTAGCGCCTGGCACGTTCCCTGCTAGCAGAGGTCTCTCACGACGAGGCAAAAATGAGAGAAAGGAGAGAGAGAGACCTCTGCTAGCAGGGAACTGGCACGGAGCATGCGCGTTTCATAAGATAATGGCAGGAGATTGAGTCAGGCTTGTCACCAGGGTCTTCTCGTTTTTCAATATGGTGGCGAGAAGCCCCTGGCCTGGAGACGAGGATGGAGATCGAGTCCCTTGAAGAGCGGATTAGTTTCACCATTTGTAGGGACAAAAAACTTGTGATGTAAATTTTATGACGGATTTTCAATCTTGTGAATATATGTATCATTGCTACCTTTTATTTGTTACTTCGTGTTTTTCAATAGTTGATTTTACGTATGTCTACTACGCCTTTACTGTTCCTTGGACTATGTTAGTCAACTAAAGAAATTATTCAACAGAAAATACTGAAAATATTCTACAAAATACGTCTACGAACACACCACCTGAGTACGACCATATCAGTAAATTTTGGTCAAACCACGTCAAGTGTACCTTTATTTATTCTATTATTTAAAAAATTGTATGAATCCGTTAGTCAGTCGCCAGGGGGGTACTCAACAAAATGTTAGACGTGGAGGCTCCGTCCCGAGGTCCAACCTCTTACCCTTTTATAGACCATTTTTTGCAGAAAGGGCACCCCTTTCATATACCTTTCACTGACAAATGGTACCCCTTTCACATACCTAGTTTAGAAATTTGCATCCTTTTTCACTGCTTTAAATGCACTGCCTTTTAAATATGAATAAATACAAAACCAGAACGTTTTCTCGGCTTTTGAAAGCCATAAAATTCCTCTGTTAGCAACTGATTTTGGGCACTTTTACAGAACGAAATGACAGATTTCTGTACCCTTTCATATACTCCAACCAGTGAAATCCGTACCCTTTCATAAACCTTAAGCCTTAAAAAAGTATCCATTTCGGCTGGGGCCTCCTCGTATAGGCCATTATAGGGAGTACTCCCCCCCACGGGGGGGTCAGTCGTCGCCACTGCATGCATAGTGAGCAGTGGAAAAAGAGAACGCTATATACATAACTCAAGACAGTAATGCTGATGAAATAAGATATAAATAAAAATATAAACCGAATGACTCAAAATCGCAAAGGCAGCAAGGATTTTTGACAGAAATGTCTCAAGCAATTGACCTTTCTATATGGCCCGAGAAATTTTGCCCCAGTGTCCCTTATGCATGATTACGTCATGAAAGAAAAATTCTTGGCATTTGCACTTGCTGTGCTTGGTTATTCTATTCAACTCTACTGCCTGGGGAATTTTTTTATGCAAAACTTCGCCACTTTACAATGGGCCATTTCCGAGTTCCCCGGGGCCTCTGTTTCAAAACGGGAGTAGGTATTCGGCGTTTGATATGGAAATCATTTTCCATTGTCATTCATTCTCCTATTACATTTGAACTGAACAGAGCTGAGTGACAGTTTACAAAGAATACTGTCAGAGCGGAGGTCAGAAAATACCTGCGGGAAAAAAATACAGTAAGGAAAAAACTCAACAGGAAATCTGGGTGGGATCCATGGCTCATGCTCCGAAAAGCCCATCCTACGAAGACTACACGGCTGGAAGCTCTTTGCCCACATTTGTTAAGCATGTATTCCAACAAGCACGGTAAATTGAAAATAATTATTCGAAACGAAAACAAGCTCAAACCCTTGCGAAACTCGAACTGTCACTAATAAATCAAATATATACTAACAGTAAATAAATCAAAAATAACGTGAGCTAGACGAGGTATTGGCCTAGAATGCTTTCCCACGTGATAAGCATCCCTTTTATAGCACTCCATTCTACCCATACTACACTTCAACTGAAACCGTCCCAGTAGTACAGTGTATGGGGGTACGAGCGCATTTTCCATGTTTTGGATTTGACCTTGGGATCCGACCACCTGGCCACGAGAGTAAACTCATTTTTATTGTATAATTTTGGAGAAATTGTAAATGCAGAGACTAGGAATGTGTTCAAATAACTTGAACTATACTTGCAAAATACGACATCACGTCTTTACCACATTCGACGCACGTATAAGAAATGTAAAATGTAAAAATAAAAATGTTCTAGAAGTTTTTTAAAACGTTTTAAAAAGTTTTTTAAACTTCTAGAACATTTTATATTGACATTTTACATTTCTTATACGTGCGTCGAATGTGGTAAAGACGTGATGTCTTATTTCGCACGTAGTTCAAGTTATTATATAATTAGATTACATGAATACTGATTAAAACCAACAGTTGAACTGACAGTTGAACTGGTAGTTGAACTGTTGGTTTCATACAGTATTTGTGTAACCTAATTATATAAAAAAAATGAGTTTACTCAAGTGGCCAAGTGGTGTGATCCCAAGGTGATATCCAAAATATGGAAAATGTGCTCATACCCCCATATACTATACTACTCGCCTCAGTTCCCACTGCTCCCGTGCCGCAGAAAAATTTCATTTCCGGCTAATTCGTATCCACTCAAACGCCGAAAATTCTATTTTACGTAAAGAACAAAACAGTCAGACCTGACCAGTGCTGTCGTAATATTTCGAATTCATTAATAAGTCGCAATAAGTCAGTATTTTTCGATGTACCAAATTAGCTTCAAATGAATGAAAATAAAAAAAAAACACTTTGGCAAAAACACCTGAGAAAATAACAAAGAGGGCTGCGGCAAGTGACAAAGAACGAAGGGCCGATTATGTATTTGAAGAATATTGTACACTGCTTACAAAGAAAATGAAAATTAAGATGTAGGCGAGGTGAACCTCCTTCCTTCAAGTCAACAAAACTGACGGTTTGTTCTAAACCACTGCATTGTAACAGCTCTCTCCACCTTTAAGAATGTACTGAGTAACAAAGAAATTCGGCTAAAATTTTATGTCTTTCTTCATGTTTTGAGTTAGATAACGGCTACTCGAATAACTCGCTTGAATTAAGTTCGACGTCTGAAACCAAGTCGTGCAAGAGTAGTGCTACAATCGAGCCACCTTAGATGGTTAATAGCAAGACTTATGAAATATTATATTCTCTTGTACTTTCTTTTATTTTTCCATTTATTATTGATTTATTGATTTATCGCTTTGCTTTCCCCTGATGCAGGGCAAAATTGCAGATCAAGATCGGAAAAATCTTTCTCATCACCCAGCGAAAAAACGTCGTGGTACATTTCTGTTCCCAGAACCAACTGGCCCTCACCCTCAACGCAGGAAAAATCACGATAGTTCCAGTGCCTCCTCATGCGTCACTACAACAAAGGAATTTACTTTAGAAGAACTGCAGAGACTTCTTTTTACTAAAAACGACATTCAGGAGATCAGTGTCAAGCGTCCAGTGGAATCACGACAAAATGAGTGCTGTTGTGAGTATATAATACCCGACCGGGACATTTAAATGCCTTAGTTAGTTTCCACCAGTGATAGAGAGAGGGCAGCGCAAATGAGAGATCATCTTAAATTTAACGGCAAGGTGAAAAACATTACCTGATCTGGGAACACCTCTGGTTTTCGAACGCCATTTTGAAAAATGTGAATGTCTTCCCTTTTTTGTGCTTACCGAATGGAACTATGGGTAGAAACACCAAGTCAAACCGAACAAATAACGAGCAAAGCCGGTGGGCATACGAAATTATCCCATTTCTGAAATGGCCGCCATGATGTGAAATAACAAGGTAATTATCAGTGGGAAAAGGGGGTGTATACAGTCCCGCACACAAGTCTTTCCTTGGAACGACGAGTCCCATCTGAATACAATCGATTTCGCCATTTCGCCTACTCTAGAATTATGAACTAGAGGTTAAAAATTGTAAGTATAATGTGGCGAGCAGATGCTGGGCAGTAAAACATCATATGAGAAACGATGAACTAACATATACGTTTTGCTAATTATAAACCCTTTTATATGGCCGATTTATAGTTGTGGATAAACGACTTCAGGGGAGCGCCAAAATCACCAGTTCTTTGTGATTTGGGTCTTTATTGGCCAGTTACAATCATACCAAAATAATTTGAAACTGTTTGTGCGCGCCACAGGACACAGCGACAGGACAACCAAGGAACCAAAGGAGACCCAAAGATTAGGCTGCTGCTCGCCTGGAGGCGCGCAGCCATTATTATCATCATAATGGTATTTTAATTCTGTTTCAGGGTGTGATGCAACTAAGACAAATCCAAACTTTCAATGTCCCATGCATAAGCATGACAAAGCAGTCGTGAAGAAGACTTCACAGTTACCACTGGCTCTGAGATCACTTCCGAAGGAAGTTGGTTTGTGTACCTCCACTATCCCCGGGCAGGAATGTAGTATTTGCGCCAAGCGAAAGATTCCTGTTGGTGCGTGGATTGGCCCTTATGAAGGAAAATTTTTGAAGCCGAAAGAGCTGTCTTCAACAACCGACACATCATATATGTGGGAGGTATGTTCACGAAAGAGTGGTTATTTCAGTATTTTGCAAAAAAAAAGTTTATTTTGAGATGCGACTGTTCAGTTACAAATTAAAGAGGTCGATAAAATGTGACAAGCGCAAAGGGTGGACTATTTAACGAGCAGTAGGAGAGTTCGTCATCTATCACAACAAAGCCGTAGAATTTTAATAGCATATTGTATAAATTTATTTTTGTTTGGTGTACACTACCCTCTCTACCAGCAGAGCCTCTCTTTCGTAATCGAGAAAGACTCCGCTTGAATCTTTTTTGAGCTTGCGCTGAATCTTGCTACTGTACAGTTTCCAACCCAGGCCTAATAGCCGTGCGCTTGGTACAGCGGGCTTAGTTATGAACATAGGGTTACCAAAAAACGTATGCTGGCTCTCGGAAAAGCCAATTTAACGAGAAAGCAAGGTTGACAAGTCCAGAAGTTCGGACTGCGGCGTCTTCACTAGATTCAGACAGAGCTTCCTTTTTCCAGACAGGGAACGGGGGGGGTTTTACACAGAACCATCAAAAAAATTAACTCTGTCCATCCATTCAATTTTCAGATTTTTCAAAATGGTGAACTGACAGGTTATATTGATGGCAGTGATGTTAAACTCACAAGCTGGATGCGATTCATTCGTTCTGCTCGACACAAGAGGGAACAAAATCTATTTGCGTTTCAGTACTTGGGCAGAATATTCTATCGTGCATTCAAAGATATTCTACCTGGAGAAGAAATGCTAGTATGGTACGATGAAAAATACCCACAATACCTTGGAATTCCATGGACAATATGTGACCTAGCAGCTGCAGTTCCTCCTGGTAGGTGGTCCCAAGGTTACCATTCTTCGTTCTTTTTTGTGTTATCTAATCTGAAGAGAGATAGCATTCAGTTTACATTTTTTTCAAAATGTGAGTTTTATCCCCGCTGCATGAATAGTAGCCTCAGGCAGCCTCCGTTACCCTTTCTGGGACAGTTTAAGAGGACGATAAATCAGATACCCTGCTGGGTACGAGAGGTTTTCTTTCTCGCGTGCGGCAGGATGCTTCTGAAGCGGCGGCAGCACGAAGTTACGAGCGGCGAAGCACTGAAAACCGCACATGACAAGTCTCTTGCACCGAGAATATAAATCGCACGATATTCCCCAAATCGTCCCTTAAAAAAGGCCTGTTACTAGGGTTACGTGTTTGCAGCGTGGTGTTCATTTGAATTTCTGAAACGCAAACGCAACGAAGGCGCTCGAATCAGACCCCGCCCCTCCCACATAATTATATATGTCGGTACCTAGCCGGCGTAGCAAGCGTTTCCGCGCGAGTTGGTCGAGGAAGCTGGAACGATAGCGGAATAAGTCGTGCGGAAACACTTACTACGCAGGCCTGTCGGCGCCAAGCGAAAGCAAGGAGTCGTATATTGATTCTGGGACAGATAATAAGTAGGAGGGAAAATTTTTGTGCCTATCACTAGGAGATTTCTAAAAAACCAAACGCAAAATCACTTTTCATATCATACATCAAATCATTAAAAGGAAAAAAACCTATGCTTCATATCTCTCAGTTTAATCTAAGTTAGTAATTTTACGAAAAAAGAGTGTCAAACCGACTATAGAGCCAGTACACTCTACAAAAGAAACGGAAACAGCTCATGTTACAAAAAGTATCTCTTTGACAACTACTAATTTAGAATTTGCTTAAATTACCTCTTTAGGTACCAGTTCTCGAACCGATGAAGTCATAATGGTGTCGCCCGTCGGCAAAAATGATCGACCGCTGAACATAAGCACCCAAGAATCGATTTTCCCTAGTCCTCCTCCGTCACCGCTTTCGAAGCCCAGCAGCCCATGGAAACGAGTGTCAACGTCGATACAAGTGAAACGCTCTCCTTTACATCCATCACAGGACGAAAGACTGTGTTATAGCAAGTCTGTTGCGAACCTTGGGGAAAATCCAGTAAAGCATATTCAGAAAAATGGGAATACTCCAACAATTACCAAGAAGTGTAAATATTCCTTATGTAAAAAGAGAACAAGCGCAACAACCAGTTGTTCTCGTGGTAAGAATGCAAAATCACCGCATAGAGCCTACGGTGCCCAGGTCTCACAGAGGCCGTATCGCAGCACTACCCCCGTAGTCTCGTTTAGAGCAACCAATCAACAACGTACATATGCTTTCAGTCAGGGGAATGACAGCGGTTACTGCTCAAGGTCTTTCAATGATACGGTAACTATGGATAACCACATTCGTTCTCAGAACTCAAGATGACAAATATTTGCCCATGAAATGTCTAAACTAAAAAAATAAGGTCTTTGACCTATTAAACTTACTACAGAGATTGAAATTACGTTTTTTTAGAATTAGAAAATCAGCTGTATCAACTGTATGTAAATAGGAGCTAAAGGCAAAAATATAAAAAGTTACATAAGCAACTAAAATAAGTTTAAGCAAGCTAAGTAGCTACACACATCTGTTTTTGTTTTGAAAAAACTCAAGGCACAGTAATTCGCCACGTAATTTGCGTTAATTTCTATTCAAAACACGTAAAGCTATAGTTTTCTTTAAAAAAGTTAGTACTTAGCGCCTGGCACGTTCCCTGCTAGCAGAGGTCTCTCACGACGAGGCAAAAATGAGAGAAAGGAGAGAGAGAGACCTCTGCTAGCAGGGAACTGGCACGGAGCATGCGCGTTTCATAAGATAATGGCAAGAGATTGAGTCAGGCTTGTCACCAGGGTCTTCTTGTTTTTCAATATGGTGGCAAGAAGCCCCTGGCCTGGAGACGAGGATGGAGATCGAGTCCCTTGAAGAGCGGATTAGTTTCACCATTTGTAGGGACAAAAAACTTGTGATGTAAATTTTATGACGGATTTTCAATCTTGTGAATATATGTATCATTGCTACCTTTTATTTGTTACTTCGTGTTTTTCAATAGTTGATTTTACGTATGTCTACAACGCCTTTACTGTTCCTTGGACTATGTTAGTCAACTAAAGAAATTATTCAACAGAAAATACTGAAAATATTCTACAAAATACGTCTACGAACACACCACCTGAGTACGACCATATCAGTAAATTTTGGTCAAACCACGTCAAGTGTACCTTTATTGATTCTATTATTTAACAAATTGTATGAATCCGTTAGTCAGTCGCCAGGGGGGTACTCAACAAAATTTTAGGCGGGGAGGCTCCGCCCCAAGGTCCAACCTCTTACCCTTTTATAGACCATTTTTTGCAGAAAAGGCACCCCTTTCATATACCTTTCACTGACAAATGGTACCCCTTTCACATACCTAGTTTAGAAATTTGCATCCTTTTTCACTACTTTAAATGCACTGCCTTTTAAATATGAATAAATACAAAACTAGAACGTTTTCTCGGCTTTTTAAAGCCATAAAATTCCTCTGTTAGCAACTGATTTTAGGCACTTTTACAGAACGAAATGACAGATTTCTGTACCCTTTCATATACTCCAACAAGTGAAAACCTTAAGCCTTAAAAAAGTACCCATTTCGGCTGGGGCCTCCTCGTATAGGCCATTATAGGGGGTACCCCCCCCGGGGGGGGGGGTCAGTCGTCGCCACTGCATGCATAGTGAGCAGTGGAAAAAGAGAACGAAGCCATCTTCATGAACGCTATATACATGACTCAAGACAATAATGCTGATGAAATAAGATATAAATAAAAATATAAACCAAATGACTCAAAATCGCAAAGGCAGCAAGGATTTTTGACAGAAATGTCTCAAGCAATTGACCTTTCTATATGGCCCGAGAAATTTTGCCCCAGTGTCCCTTATGCATGATTACGTCATGAAAGAAAAATTCTTGGCATTTGCACTTGCTGTGCTTGGTTATTCTATTCAACTTTACTGCCTGGGGAATTTTTTTTATGCAAAACTTCGCCACTTTACAATGGGCCATTTCCGAGTTCCCCGGAGCCTCTGTTTCAAAACGGGAGTAGGTACTTGGCGTTCGATATGGAAATCATTTTTCATTCTCATGCAAATAAAACTCATTTTCACAAGAAAGGTTGTGCACGTAGCCTCATTTTGGAACGAGGCTTGGTGCTGAAATTTGCTCGTCTGACGTAAACATGCATAAGGGCTATTATCTTATGGAGTTCTTCCCGTAAGCCACTGTAACGAAGCAAAGTAAAGCAAAGTTTGACTGCTCGCCCGATGTGAGGGAATCTGGGACAATCTTGGATTCTGGATTCCACGCTGGGGAATCCGGATTCCAGGTACTAGATTCCGGAATTCTTGTCAGTGGAACTTGGATTCCAAATTCGAATAAAAAGTGGGATCTGGATTCTTTGAGGTTCTGGATTTCAAAGCGCAGGAGTCCAGATTCCACAAGAAAAAATTTCCGGATTGCGGATTCCCTTTCATGGGGCGAGACTGCAGCGATCAGTCCACAGGTTATAAGATGATCATTGGGTTGTAAAGAGATCGCAAATCAGTTTGAAACAAAGTCCATTTCTCACTTTATACATCAAGATACAGGTTACAGTTGCAAGTCTTGCGGATACTTGGCTATTATAGACACCCCGATAATACGGAAAGCGCCGTAAAAACAACCAGTGTTAGTCGAAACTTGTGACGGATACTCCCTAATAAGGCTCTTGGTATAATGGACACTTTATAAGATCCAGAAAGTGTAATTTTCTCTCTTTATATGAAAAAAGACACCGATAGGATAACATACTTTTTTTGACCAGTAAGTGACAGTTAAAACTTGTTTTCTTTTTGGTTGGGTTTACGATTTCCTTGTTACGCATCACTCACAATAGGCCATTTGCACGATGGCGCCTTATTACAACCAATACCAGAATCCTTCAGGGTTTTCTTTTCTTGTGAAAATTAGGACTTATTAGATACGTGAAAGAAAATACTAAATGGATTCTAGTCTTAGGGCCCGTTTACATGGAGGTGGGGGACCCCAGAAAGGTGAGGCAACCCGCTTAGGTGGAGTCCGCCTGTCCATATAATCTCTCATTTTAATTTCATTACGTTTACATGATAGGTGAGGTAACAATATGACATATTAGGGACCTTTAGCATCACGTTTTTCATGGGAAACTGCAAACCGCAAACCGCAAAATGTCACATGATCAAGGCCTTGCGGTCACGTTTGCAGTTTGCAGTTCACGTTTGAACGGGCGTCGATAAAAGCCGGAACATGGAACATTCCGGAACATGAAAAAATAATTAATTAAATAATAATAATAATAATAATAATAATAATAAATGATAAAAAGAACAATAGATAGAAAAGAATTTTTGCAGAAATTTATAATAACAAAATAAATAACATAACATAACATAAAAACGAAAAATAAAGAAACATACAAAGAAAGAAAGAAAAAGAAACTGGTCTCCGAGTATGAAAAAACAATATTTTGTCGCAATGAATTTTTTGGGCGAGTGAGGGTCCATTCAAATGGCAGTAATGAGTGAAGGCTTGCTTGTAAGTTCAAAATGTATTAAAATGGGTCGCGAGGAGGGGGTTTTCAAGCTTTCCTCACACAGCCACCACTTGTAAACGTTTGCCATGCGGTTTACCGGTTTTCCATTTACGGCTTTGCGACCGTAAGAAGAGCTTAGTGGCTTGTCGCTTTGGACTTGGATAATTAAATTAAAGATTCACGTTGCAGTGGCAGTGGCAGCGCAGCGATAGTTTCTAACTGTTATCAGTTAGCCTGAATTTTAGCCGTCCCCCCGCAAACTCCTCTTGCGACACGAGGAGACGTCTGAAATATCATGCTGACTGTAAACAGTATAGAAACTACTACGAATGTGAGTATTGCCCACTAAAATCCAAACACAGGAGCTCCTATACTCTTAGCCGTCCCCCCGCAAACTCCTCTTGCGACACGAGGAGACGTCTGAAATATCATGCTGACTGTAAACAGTATAGAAACTACTACGAATGTGAGTATTGCCCACTAAAATCCAAACACAGGAGCTCCTATACTCTTCTTAAGTTCACAGAGCCGCCTAGTCTGTAAGTAATTCATGTCAACCTCAAGTGAGGCAAAGCACCCCAAGTAAGCAAATGTCGGTTAATATATATAAGGAGACTATATGTCGGCTTGAAATGAGCTACTTACCGACTTGGCTTGACATGAAATACTGCACCGACATTTCAGACCATTGCAGAACCGTAAATGTTAACCGCCAAATGATTAACTTATGGCAAACAATTACAAGAGGTGACTTTGTGAGGAAAGCTCGAAAACCCACCTCCTCGCGACCCATTTTAATATATTTTGAATTTAGAAGCAAGCCTTCACCCATTACTGTCATTTGCATGAACCCTCCATCACTCGCCCAACAAATTTTAATTTTTTGCGACAAAATATTGTTTTCTCATACTCAGAGAGGATACCAGTTTCTTGTTCTTGATTTTTTCATCATTTTTCGGTTTTTTTGTTGTTGTTATTTTACGTTATTATTAATTTTTACAAAAAATATTTTATTATTTTTATTTTATTATTATTATTTTTTTCATGAAAATTATTTTTATTTTTTCATGTTCCGGAATGTTCCGGGATGTTCCGGAATGTTCCATATTCCTGGTTTTATCGACGCCCCGTTTGAACCGCAGGAAGGGCTTCCAGTGGTAAGTGATTTACGGCAAGGTTTTTTGCCACAAAAAATTGTACAACCTCGCGTTTAAAGGTATGAACTAGCTTTTCATATCCGTTTGCGATGTGCTTATTGGATTTTTGATCTCCAATCAATGAATTATCGCTGATTTTTGGGCGATTAAAGTGATGCACTTCGACTTGATGAAAACAACATGGCGGCCCTAAACAATGAACGCGTAGTTCGAATCAATTTTATGTTCCTTTCTGCCGTACAAACAAAGGAAAGTATTCTGTTCCAACCCAGAGTTAATTTTTTTTTTCTATCTTGTAACTGAATTCACACTTAACTCAGTCTCTGTTTAGTTCCTATTTTTAACGTATCACTCCGCGAATTTCATTTTATGTTGTTTATTTCTTTGAAACTGGGGAGCCCAGGCTTCATAAAGCCTTCTGGTTTCTTCTGGGCTCCCTTGCAACCTTACAATTCCTACATGTATTCTTGTGCTGTATTATATTTTGACTAAATAAAAATGAACTGAACTGAACGCCTTACTAAAGTTTGAAATCTCGGCAACGCGAAACTGCAAACGCGTATCTGCGGCTTGCGGTTTGCCTGATGCTAAAGGTCTCTATTATACGGACACACGGGTTACCCCAGCTAAACCGGTTACGTAACCTATCTGGGGTCCCCCATCTCCATGTCAACAGGCCCGTAGCAGTAAAAAATACGTCATCGCGCAAATTGCCTATTGTTAGTGAAGTAAATACACGTTACCCCCATACTAAAGACTCTCGCTATTAAAAAAACTTCTAGTAACTCTTCGTACCACTCTTCGTACCACTCTGTTGATTCATGCAAACTAGCCTGTTTACATGGAGGTGGCGGACCCCAGGTAGGTGAGGTAACCCGCCTGCCCATGCCCCATGTCTCATATGGTTACCCCACCTATCATGTACACGTGATTAAATTAAGAGACATATGGACAGGCGGACTTCACCTAAGTGGGTTACCTCACCTACCTGGGGTTCTCCACCTCCACATAAACAGGCCCTAAAACATTTTATCAAACAAAGGGAACAATACAAATTACTTTGCCGCAGAGTATACCCAGTCTGACCATGATTTGCATCATAAATGAACGCAACACCCGCGTTGTTAAAACGATTGTCCATAACCTTTGCAACGAGGATATATTTTTAGCCTGCGAATACAGCCGTCTCTATTCGTTTCTTTTCGGTAATGACGTCCCTGGCGGGAGAGAACGACGAGAGATGGCTGTTTTTACAAGCTAGATATAACCAGAATAAAAGTGTTTTGTAGAGAGTCTCTCCATAATTCATCAAAGCTTAGTAAGCCTATTATGCTTGAACGCATTAGTTCTGGAGGACATAAATGTGTAAATGTAAATGTAAATGTAAATATCATATTATCCACTCCCCTCAGGGCTTTTCAGGGATAATTTACAACACTGGTTAGGGGACTTTGCCAGACATAAACAAAGGGAATGAATAAACATGTTTGCAGTTTGTGTCCTCCAAGACTCGCGACATGCTGAATTTTAATTCATCGAAAGTGGGCTATTCTAGTTAACTCTTTAGTTAAAATTCATCTAGAGACTCCATGCATAGAATCTGCAAATCAGTGCTCACTGGATTACAAGAAAAATCGCCCAAAAAACTGCGACTGGTGCACCACTAATATTTCGACGCCCTGAATCTAAGGTACTTTATGATGTTTCCCTGTTTTACAAGGAGGAACTGAAACAGCTAGCAGAGCAACTCGGCTTGGATGAAGCATAACTGGACGGCTCATAAAATCAACTTCATTTGACAATTGAAACACTGACAATAGATTTTCAGTGAAGCATACTGAAATATCCAGTGAGGGTCACTCTCCCGTGAAATAATCTCAGCAGAACCATTGCCCACACTGATGGGGAGAGACAGCTTCTTTAGGTCCTTGTACGTTTTCTAAGAGTCATTAAACACTGAAACGCGCAAATCTCCTTAAATTGTACTGTGTATCCAAAATTACAAAGCGCAAGGTACTGAAGGCTAATTCACACTGCAAAAACTGCATTCTGTACACCGATCAACCATCGTGGTGGTAAGTACAATTTTTAATGTATGCTCACTGAATAACTTTCAATATGGGTGTTTACATTCACTTCTAAAAGAAAATGATACCGAAAGGACTGCTTCTAATGTTGGGTCTTTGAGAAGGTGATTTGGCCATGTCTTTGGGTGAGTAAGGATCCGCTTTCACTAAAACGCAGATCATGTAGACTACTAGCCGGTCGTTTTTTTAATAGTACGTAGTCTCTCTCGAAATATTCCCTTTTGGCCAAAGAAGCTCAGAGGAGAAAAACAGGGACGAGAAGGATTTAGTGTCGCAGGGATCGACGAGTTGACGGACATAACGAGAGTAGACAGACTGTAACGAAGGAGTCTAACAAACATATCACACCATTCCTTGTTATACAATAAACTTATGTCAGTTCACTTCTGGACAATCCAACGCACACAGCATTTGCAGTGAGAAGCATTCCAAAGAATGCAACGGTGTTCAAAGCAAAACTGGTCGTTGAGAGTTATTACTAATCATTTTTTGCTTATGTAGTTGAAAACAACAATCTCACGATCATCATCATTTTCATTTTAAAGGGTCGGAAGTTCCTTTGAAATTGTTCATTTAAATTCAACTGTGGAACTTCTCACGCAAAATTTGCATTCCTTTATCCACAGTTTCGCTTGGTTGATTGTACTCACACAGAGTTCTGCCCAGCCGTTCACGGGAAACAAAGTTGATCCACAAAGAAACGTAATTTGGACTTATGCGGTTAGTAGTTTATTATGTATTCTAGGTTCCTAGGATATCTATTCTAGGAATGAAGTGTTCTCTAGATGACTCTTCGCATAACGCGAGGATCCATTTTTCTGTTTATTTGTGTAACCCGAAGATACACAAACGAATTCGTTCTTGTCGAAAATCCAACAGTGAAAAATGAAACTTTGTAAAGCGTGAAAAGGTTATTCAGAGTTTAAGGAAAAAAAACAGAGAGGTTACGGATGGATATCCATCTAAGTTGGTTTGGACATGGTATATGTTTGATTTTAACAATCAGATATTAGTTTAATTTCCCTTAATTACGTCAGTGTTTCGTCAAGGCATGCCGTAGGACTTTGGGCAGATGTAAAACTTTCTTATTGCTTTCTTGTTGGCCGGAATTTATTCGATTGGGCCAATAAACGCCTCAAGTAGATTCTGTCGCTTCGTTCCATCAAATGGTACATGATTTTTGTTCAGTTTATAATTGGAGAGCTACTTGGAACTCACTTGTATAATATATTCACAGCTTTCATTGTTATTCCACGATTTTTTCGTTTCGGTCTATAAGAACTTATAACGAAACTTCTGCTGAAACATCATTTCTAGAGCTTAATGTATTTGAATTAACTTAAACATCTGAACAAGTTTCAAGTTCAGATGGTTTGATTTTTAATTTCAGATGAGTCATGCTGGTGCTTCAAGAATGAAAAGTACAGTCGAGCGATCACAAACTACTCAAGAGATACCTAAGTTTAGACATCGCGCTGCAAAATCTGCATTTTTCACGCAAAATGATCTTCATCGATGTTTGTACGGGCGAAATCAAGTCATGCTTGTGAGCAAAGACGAATTAATATATTCTCTTCTACATGAAGAAGAGGTCAAAAGTTATTGTAAGTTCTTGGTTTCAAGTTTAGTAAGTAGACATTTTAAGGAGAGACAATCTCCTCAATTTGCAAATTTCTTGTTCAGAATTTCTCAAAAAATCATAGCTTGTCAAATGTAGTAATATAGGCCTTTCGTTATGCAAGCCATTGCATAACTATTTCCTTATCAGTGGTTCGCTTCGCACAATCTGTTATCAGAAATGATGCATTTCGATACAGTCAAACTAGGTCGTGACAAAGTACAATGCGTTGAACAACGTTTGCTGTAAACAGGAAAATGCCGACTTATAGGCTTTTTCGTCTTCTATGTCCAAATTTCTCTATCCTTAGGTCCTAGCTTAACCACCTCCAGAACTTATATAAGCGGCTGAAAGGTACTCTCTTGACGATATGAGGAGCACCAAAACTAAGTAAAAAACCTCCCATTTAATGTAGAAGGGAACTACATGACTTGACTAAAGCTATAAACAAGTAAGCTAGAAATATAATTCATTTGGACACTCTTTGCAAAAATCCCGTGCCAGAATGTGAAGGCAAACCTCCTGTGGGTGGACTACAACAGTGGAAAGAGAAGTAGACTAACTCAAAAGAACGGAATTTCGCGACAGTTTGTATGTGATCAAGTTGAAATGATTCCACAGGAAGGGTAAAACCAACTCCTCCTCCTGACTGGCAGTAACAGTTATTTTAACGCCAGATTTGGAGGAGCGAATATGGAGTATTCATATGGAGGAAACAACTCCCCTACAACGGATTATTCTGAGGCTTAATTTTGGAGTTAAAACAACTCCCTGTCATTATGCAGTACGAGGTGGTCTCAACTTATGAGTTTGTGGGAAAAATTCTATCGAAAGCTACAAGGTCGTACCTTTAATCTAAAACGTTTGTTATGGCGGGAAGTTGTAACGTTTGAGTCTGAACATGCTTCATTAATATCCTTGAAAGAGGTTAAGTAGGATTTTTCCCTTGGTAAAACTTTAAATTGAAAACATGAGAAGCACATCCAGTGAAATGTCAGGTTAGTTTACCTGGCACCACAATTGTCTTGTTCAAAAGGTTGATAAGGAAAACTCCACCTGCGATTTATTACTATCCACTGAATATCACAATTCTTGTTTTCCGTAACACCAGTCCACTGGATAGTGATTAATCCGGTGGATAGCGTTATCCAACTTCTGAACAACTGGGGCCTGGTGCTACAATGAACTTTTGTTTCTCAAGGCGAGGTTTTTTATATTCGCGTCGCGAAGAGATTTTTTAATCGGCCGAAATTGCTTAGTCAAGGGAAGAAAAATAACGTGTTTCTTGCATTTAAAATTTTGTGTTAATTGACAACTGAAGTACTACAGTAAAATATTTCGAAGGATCGGAGATGGAAATTATTTCCTCCTTATGGTTAGGGGCGCGTTAGCTCCGGCACAGGCTAGGTCTACCTTTTTTAGACACCCTATTTTTGACACCCAAAGCATTTTTGGCTAAATGATAAACAAACCTTTTGTCTTGTCTTAGGGTGTAAAGCTTGTAAACAAGAACGATTAGAGCAGTGTAAAATCCACGGACCCCACCAAACCCTCAGGGTGACAACAAAAGTAAACAACAACAACATTAATGTAAATAACAACAACTTACAGTGGACAAATGCTGTGCAGTCGTTTCCAAACGAGGTTGGCCTGTGCAGGTCTGGTATCCCTGGGGCCGGTTATGGAGTATGCGCCAGACAGCTAATTCCTCTGGGGACCTGGATTGGACCTTATGAAGGAGAAGTCCTAAGACCAGAACAGGTGCCACTTGGGACAGATGCGTCGTACATGTGGGAGGTATTTTCGTCTCTACTTTGACTTCTTTGTTAGTTGGTCAGTCATGAATTTATTGCTTTCTACAGCTAAAGGGAAGGTTGCAGAAGACAGTTTAAATTAAAGGCGCACATAAGTCTTAGTGATAATTAAATGCCGCTACTAATTTTACAATCAAAGCCGTTACAACATTGTAAAATTAAGATGGTAGGAAAAAGCAACCAGGCTCTGATTCTGCGAGATCCTTTTGCCAACAGACTCTTGAAAAGGCTTTCAGTTCAGGGACCCACCCTGTTCCAGACTTTAAATAGTGAAATTGTACTATACCCTTTTTAAGATTCAAAACCCGAAAACAATACTCTGTTCCGCAACAATATTTTGGTCAACACCCACTCTCATCATTGCTTTGAGATGGCGAGGTCTTAAGAAACCTTTAATCTTGAAGAATTGAAACTTTGTCACAAAATCGACACAACACTTCTTTTGTTCTCGAAATGAAGGCAACGTTGAAACCGATTAACGCGTCATTTCAACTGTCAGCTTTGTTGTCGTATTGTTAGCTGATGATAAACTTGATATTTGTTGTTGAGAAAATGTGGCAAAGTTGAACCCGGCATCGTCACAATATCTCGCAAAATATAATTTTTCAACATAACGTTGTAAGAATGTGAAGACAATAAAGCAAACCGAACATTATGTTATGTTTGCCTGAACACTGTTGTCATTACGGTCCGTCAAATATGACCATTGTAGAATATGCCTGTGGACACTTACTGAAACCTGGCCCCAGTAGTTCAAAAGGTGGAAGGCACTATCCGATGGATAAATCTCCATCCAGTGGACAACGCAATCGGTTTCCCTAATACTTATCCACTGGATAGTGATTTATCCAGTGAATAGCGCTATCCAGCTTTTGAACAACTGGGGCCTGGTCAATAATTTTCGCGGAGTTCAAGTTTTTTGAAACAATCTTCCTGCCAAGTCAAGAAATTTTCTCGGAAAAGTGTCTCCTACATTTTCGCAAAATTAAGTGCCTACATAAAGATGACAAGGTAAGGTTAAAAGTCTTAAATTAAAGTCGTTTTTGTTCAGATATATCACGAAGGAAAGTTGCTTTACTACATTGACGGACAAGATGAGAACAAATCAAGTTGGATGAGATTTATCCGCTGCGCACGTTATGGTGGCGAGCAGAACATGTTTGCTTTTCAGTACAGCGGAAATATTTACTACCGAGCGTTCAAAGACATCCCTGCCGGGACAGAGCTCTTGGTGTGGTATGACGACAACTATCCACAGTATATGGGAATTCCCCTAGAAATACGCGAAACCTGTAAAGGGGCTACTTCTGGTGAGTAAGATATCTAGTGAGAAATATCTTGAAGCCTTTGAGCACCTTCAAAACTGAAGCTTTATTAAAACATTCTATCTTAGAGCTTACCATGGACAGATACCAGGTATATAGTGATAGCGTTTGAATGTACAAACCAGGACCCTCCTAGGACTCCCACGGACTCACCTTAGGGTGGGGGCCTTGTACGGAGCTTTCCCCCAAGGGGTGAGAGGTTATACAAGATCCTAGCCATCTTCTGATCTTGATGGACACATATTTTTAACCTGAAAATTTGACATGAGAGTTAAAACCCTTCCGTTTTCAGGCAAACTGGACAGACACTATTTAGTCTTACTCTTATCTACCATTGTTGTGTAGTGATAGACAGGGGGTCATTTAAACGGGGGGGGGGAGTAGAGAAACACGTCATCATTCTTTCCGGGGACCTCTGAGTCCTATCTTTGTACAATGGTTTTGAACACTTTTCTTAAAAGACACCTCTATATAGAAAGGAGACCCGCTAAAATGAACAGTAATTTTGGTCCCTACCTCTCAATTTTCGTGAGATGTCTCATGGCCCTCTGTAAAGAGGACCCCTCTCTTTGTACTCTACACTCGATTGTGTCCCATTTGCTCCGTTTCGTTCTGTTAGGCGCCACTTTGAAGCGTAATCGTAGCAGGGATCTATGGGTACGAAAGAAGCTGACAGTGGTCACAGTGCTTGAAACTAACAATGACGGAAAACGTATTCACACGGGGCCCCACTGCCACTTTGGCACTCGAGTACAACGTCTCCACTTTGTACTGGGGCACCGGCACCTTTCCCGAATTCTCTGGTGGGTACTTTAAAAAAGTTTGTTCACACTAGTCCCTAGCAAAAATCGTACTCAGGCACCGTGTTTGGGAGCCAAGCGTGAACATAACCTTGGAGAGAAATGACTAGTGAACTAACCGTTCATATCAAACCTCTTTAAGAGTAATTTCAAGCATATTTCATTTTGAAGTATTTCACAAAACGAAAGTTGCTATATTTTTGAACTTGGATTTTCGCGTTAATATTCAATTTCCAAGGTAAAAGCGCGTAACTTCGGATAATCGTCGTGTAACGTGTCTTATTATACGGCTATCAAATGGCTAGTTCCGCTAGCCAGTAATTTTGGGTATTGAGTTAATCCTCTGATTAATCCAGTATAAAATACTGACTTCAGTTACGTAATATTTCTTTCAGGATTAAAACAACATTCTGAGATGGTCATTGCAGTTCCACGAGAAAATTATCAGCCAGGGTCACCATACGGCTATTCAACTTCCCCAAGACTCGTGACCGACAATTCCCAGCAAGTCTTCCACTCATCACATGTACGGTCAGCGACATCTACTACCAGAGCAAGCACCCTATCACGTGTCAGGCGCCGCTCTAATCGGAGAGATAGGTCAGGAAGCGAGAGTTTACCTACAGCAGATGGTTATAGTCAAGCACATCAAGGATCAAGAACATACGAAGACTCAGGCGCGTCCTCAAGGCTAAATGCTCAAAAAAGGGTAGAATACGCTTTAGAAGAGACCAATCTCTTACCCGAAAACCCAGTTGTTTCTGTAGGAACTACGAGTGGTGTTGCGCAACACACGAAAACCAATGGTCATCATGACGTTAGAGGTTATCGTGGTAGCCTTGCTGATGATTCCAACGTGACTAATCCAGCAGCGAAGGATGGCCAGGTCAGGTCAGCGGATGAAGATGAAAACAGCTCAGATGGTTCAGATGCCAGTCTTTTTAACTGTGGACAGTGCGGAAAAACATTTGCCCAGCGGTCAGTATTGCAGATCCATGTCTGTCCCAACATGCCTCAGAAGCCCTATCATTGTGGTCATTGTTCCCAGTCCTTTGATCAACCAAATGATCTTCGCATGCACGCTGTCATTCACGCCGGCGAGAAGCCATTTAAGTGCGGCTACTGTTCTCGATCTTTCGCTGGGGCGACAACGCTGCACAACCACGTGCGCACGCACACTGGTGAAAAACCGTTTATATGCGAAAGGTGCGGAAAGACTTTTACCCAGGCCTCGCAGCTACACAGGCACGCGGGATTACCAGGAGATTGTATTCCATATGACAGTTCGCACGCTTAAAGCTTTTTAGGACTTTAGTTTAAAAAAAGAAAGGGCAAAGAATAATACATTGCGAGGACAGGAAAAATTGATATTAGGTTAAGTGTGAGAGATGGTAGCTGCTCGTAGTGATCATATATGTGTTCTGAAGAAAACTCTATTTTACTTGATGTATTTCTTGATGTATTTTCGGGAGCAAGAGTGTTTTTTTTTTCATTTTCACAGTGCACTGCAAAATGCAACTTACGAAAATGGATCAGTCGCCTTTATTTTAAGAGTGAACATTTTCTTCGACTGCTCTTGTTGTAATTCGGAAATTGTACTTGAAATCTCTTTGAATTAAGTAAATGACCCTGGATTGTTCACAGGAGAAAAACCTTGTGCTCGATATTCTTAAGTGACCACTTAATCTTAGCATCTTGGATAGTCGACTAGGGTAGGCTCGACAGTACCATATTTTTTATGGTACTGCCCCCTTTTAAAATCTCTTTCAACATGGTAGGTTGATTATAATATGGTGAGACGAACTTAGAATTGGCTACGTGCTTGGATACCACTAAGCGACGGTTCACTAGATGGCAAGCGATACAAGCATTCATTCAGACATTAAAGTGTGATCGAGAGCATTCCTAAGTAAATTCAAAAGTCTTTTAACAACAAAATTAAACTAGGAATGCTTTGCTCGATCGCACTCGAAGCTTTGTGATCGAAATGAACGCTTCGATGGCTTGCCATCCAGCCAGCCTTTGCTAATTGGTATCCAAGCACGTGACCAAGTTATGCAAAGATTCTATTGGTCATTTTGAGGCTGCGCGTGAGACTGGGTCAGTGTTGTGCCGAATTGGCCCATGGGACTGTTTTGGAGACGTCATCGCTTCTTTTGTTACCCTAATCATAACCATTACAATTTCCTCAAATTTGATTGGTGCATTAACTGCTTAATTTTGCACTAATCATTGTGTAGGGTTGTAATCGGAAAGTTTGCTGTAATCGGACAGTTACCTCAGCCAATCATATTAAGTGCACTCAGCTAAATCCACCAATCACAGAAGTTATCACAATAATCTCAACAACCAAACTGGGGATTTTCCAAAATGGAGGAATTTGTAACATTAGACAGTGTCTCCGCCAGTGATATTTTCCCTAATTTTGGACATTTGGTATTCCATCGCTGTTGCACCAAAAAAAAAATGCATTCATTTTCTTGGAAATTATCACGGTTATGATTAATTGGTAACAGGAGTTCAAGTTGTCCAAGTCGGTCTGTAATCATACTCGTGATTAAACAAATCGGCCTCCCGCTTCGTGGCCGTCCGATTTTGTACGTAAATCATATGATCACAGACCGAATTATTACCATTATGTATTAAAAAGTTGCGCCGGAAACTGGGTTCAAATTTGTCCGCAAAACAGTCCCAGTCGCTCGCCGCTTGATAAAGGGGCTGTGTCACAGTTTCCACAATTCCCATCTAGGACTCAGAATTTTTTCTGAGTTCTCCTCTCCACATATATCATATTCTATTTATTATGTGTCACGTTTGTCTGATTTATTTTGTTAATAATGCCAACAACCTCGTCCCCAACGCGCTTTTCCATGGATTTGGGGTGGGGCGGGTGGATGTCCCCACCTCCAAAGCCAGGGAAAAGTGCCCTGGGGACGAGGTTGTAATTAACAATTATTCCTCGAGCCCGAATGGGCTCTAAGTCCTTAAAAAAAAGTCAATAGCCCATGAGGCCGAAGGCCGAATGGGCTATTGACTCAGGGGCCATGAGGGCGAGAGGAATAATTGTTTTAGTAAAATTTAACTAGTTGGTCAAAAAAATCGAGAATAAAAAAAATTTTAGCTAATTAAAGCTAGCCTTCAATCCTTTTTTGCCGCCAAAAAGCCCGCGCTTTTCGCTACTAGTGGGCTATAACATATAGCCTAGTAGTAGCTCAACCAATCAGAACGCAGCATTGATAACAGACCAATAGCTGTATTTTATTAATGCCAATTATGCGTCCTTAATTGCTATGGAACTTCAGAAATTACTGGAAAATGGCAAAATCACAGCTTCGTGTCAAAGAAATTTGTCTTTGAAAAAAACACAATTGCAACCCGTTTCAATATTTTTAATTTTTTTCTTTCCGTTCCTCCTTTTGTATTTGCTGTGTTATTTATACCTTCTTTTCATGTTTTGAGCAGTTACTGTATTTCTGTTTCACTCAGTTTGGTGGCAGTTCCCACTGTTTAATTTTTGATGAAATTTCATGACACAGCTCCTTTAAACAACAAAATTTGAACGATAGAGCGATTTTCGTCTGACCTTGAAATGAAAACGGGCGAACAAAACAGAAACAACAAACGTACGGAAATAGAGCGATTTGATTGGTTTATCTAAAGGACACAAACGCGCGTGGCTTTTTTGGTTGGTTAAATGAACGCTCGGGTGAAAAAACTTCATGCCCGAGAACTATCTAGAAATCAACCGATACCTCGCTTTGACATCATACTGCAACACGATTGGCCAATCGAACAATGCCTTCTCCATATTAGGTTTTTCTTTGGCGGGAAAACGAAGAGGCCATGTTTTGATCTTTTCATTCACTGGCTGATAAAACAAATAATGAACACTTGCCGAAACCATTTTTCAAAGCCATACGACACTAGACACTCAGTTTGGTGGCGGCTACCACTGATCAAATTTTTGATAAAATTTCATGACACAGCTCCTTTAAACAACAAAATTTGAACAACATTGGACCGTGTAATACTCTGCGTAGACGCTGTTTAAAATGATGTTGAACATTCAGCCTGGTGAAAAGAATAGGAAAAGCCTTTCAAATTTACCGCGATTTGTACTTCTCTTTGAGAATACATAGCCACTCCAAAATACATCTTGAAAATGCGAGTGGGCACGTGCCGGGCCACTAATAAAGCTCTATTCAGAGATTTTTGCCAACTCATTCCTTTGGTCACAAACATCAATTATGTCAATGTAGATCATTAATTTTTCTTAGCAATACTAACATACTTTTTTATATACAACATCTTTCACGAATTCAAAGGATTCAGATGCTAGGGAAGAGAAAAATCTAAGAATGGTGATAACGCCCTTAAACTACACCAGAGCTAGTCAGCCAAATATCAATTGCCGATCGAATTCTTCGCTAAGTGCGGGCGCCACAAGGACATGCTGCTGTCGATATTGGAAGCTAAGGACGATTATGCTGAGGCACCAGTTTTACTTAGTTCAAAGTATAAAAAATTACTAAATAATGACTATATTCTTCAAAATAAATGATCTGTATCCTTGCACTCTTCATTGGCTAGACTTAATTTAAAATATAAGCTAATTTTTTCCTTGACCTGTTATAGCCAAATAACTGTAACACTGAACGATGTATTGTGGCTATATTTAGGTGTTTCTTGGGTGCTGCGGAAACCATTGTGGGTTGGCTTTTGTGCTGTGATGTGGGTTCTGCTTTGTATTATGTCATTCAATGATTGCACCCGTCTGCAATACCAAGTAACTACCCACATTTTCTTGAATTAACCTCATTTATTGAAAACGCGAATTTTTAATTAGCAGTATTAAGCTCTATCACCTACTTAGCCCGCTTAGATATTTGCAGGCAGTACTGTATGTAAGAAACTCGCTAAGGGGAGGGGTAGGTGGGCAGTTTCCCAGTTTCCCAGAAACGCATAAAGATCCGAAATTCCTTTTTTAATGAAACAATGGGTGTGATAAGAAAGGACTTGATAGAGACTTGACGAAGAATGCAAAGCTGAGTAGCCAGTTTCATCATTGTCGGGAAAACAGGCAAGAAAAATGGGCACGTATAATTCACTTGTTAAAGAAATAGAGGAAAAGGAAACGGATTACTTTAGAACATCCGTTTCCCTAAATTGCCACGACATTTTGGATTCTGTTTCCCAGGAAACGGAAACGCATATTTGACGGGTTGTGAACTGGGACAATGATCTTCATTTTGCAGCAGGAGCTATTCACACAGCTGATATCGGGCCTAGAGTTTATGGTGCATAACCACGTGAAATTGAAATCATCCAACATTTTGCTGAAGAAACTTGAGCAGTTGTCGTGATAATTAGGGCCTTTCACCGTCTAAAGTTGTCAACAAGGGCCCCAGCACTACTGAAACCCTCAATTTTTTACGTCCGAATATAAAGGACCAGTTCTCTACGCCTAAAGTGTTTTTCCAAGATTTATTTTAAGGATTAGATGCCACGCAACATTAACCTCTCCGCCTTTTTCTAGATTCATATGATAATTGTGAGAGATTAATTACGAGGGCTGTTGCGAAACGATGAATAGGTGGAAATTGGCAGTGAATTTTACATGCAAATAAACCTTCCTTTAATTGCGTCGGCTTCTTTGAGAGTAGCTCAAAGCAATCATTGTATTGAGAGTTGATGAAAGTCTCGTACTTATCGACCTTCTCTTCTTGGCTTCTCTTAGAGAACAGAAGAGGTTTTTCAGTACGAAAAAAGCAGAAAAATAGAAATTGTCATAACAGAGGGACTGTACTTGTCGGAGTCATTGAAACGGAAAGCTTTTTTAAGATTAAGACATTTAAATGCCTTGGCTGAATGAGCAGTCTATCGGAATGCATCCCCCAAGGAAGAGAAATAAAGGGGTTAAGAAGCGTAAAAGAAAGGAATTTGAATAAAAATAGGCTCATTCAAGTTCATAGATCTGCAAAAGCATAAGCTGTGCAAGCTTTAGAAAAGGCTTTCACACAATTATGTTGTTTTTTCAGCTGTTTTGCACGAAAAAGAGCAAATCGAATTACTCTGAGCTGGAAAAATGCCCCATTTCATTGCAATGATTATATTTCACGGTAGCAGGCTTGAAAATGATTATCTCCTCACGTTTCCCAACTTCTCGATTGTTCCATCATCCGCTCATATATTCGTGGCGTTTTTATCTATATTCTCGGATACCTTTTCGAGCCCTACTAATGTTACGAGAGGAATACTTGTAAAAGTTAGGACTCCGATATGATATTTTAAGGGAGTGAGGAGTTAAACTTTGTCCGCTGCGATGGTGATCTCTCGCGCGAGAGAAGAATATGCCCACGCGGGCTGAAGAAAAATAGTAATGTGCTCGTAAATTCACGCGTGTAGATTCGAGCGACAGAACAGAGCTTGCGTGTTTGGCGACTGGAAGAGACATTCGTGTAAAGACCATAGTATAACTCACAGATGAATATATTTAACTAAAGTCGTATAATTTCCAAGCTATGTTAGTTCTTCTTACAAAACGTCATATTTACAACTTCAATTTTCTGCATACAGCAAAAATGTTATGCAAACGAGGAAATGTCTCTTCTTATGAAATAACAAGATATGTACAATTTTGTCCATGTGAAAAGCGATAACTTCACACACTTACGATAAAAGGTATTTGATCTATTGAACGAATTTTTTCCTGAAGAAAAACATAACTTACGTTGTTTCTTGCTAAAAAAAACTGAATGTTTTAAAAGTTTTAGCAGATTCGCGAACTCTTCACGGACTTAATGCTAGCTTTGCATTCACAGTTTTCACTAGAAGAGGTCATGTTTCTTCTTCTTGCGTCTGTCTTTGTCGGCTTCTTATCCTTAAGCTTCTGGAACGCAATCACCAGGAATTCTTTGGTGTCTGCTAAGCTGGGATCCCTGTGTGAAATTCTTCCCGCATTTATCGCACACAAAAGGTTTCTCGCCGGTGTGTGTTCTCATGTGATTGTTCAAAGTGGTCGCCCCTGCAAAAGCGCGGGAACAGTAGCCGCACTTAAATGGCTTCTTACTGGCGTGACTGACCGCATGAGCACGAAGCTCAGCTGGGCGAGAGAAGCTTAGCGCGCAGTGACCGCACTGGTACGGTTTGTGAGGAGACTCGTTACAGACATGAACTTGGAGCATGGTCCGCTGTGGGAATGACTTGTTGCACTGACCGCATTTCCACAGGCTCAGCTCAGTGGCATTGGAAAACACAGTCTGGTTTGGTTTCAACGGAGCGTTGTGTCCGTCTTCGCTGGTGCTGGGCGAAGAAGTATTACTTCTAAGACTCTCTGGTGAGGGCAGCGGAGGCGATTGTGGGTAATGTGGAGCGGATGAAAAGTCGAAAGCGGAAGGTACTTCACTTTGTAGCCCTGTCAAGGGTTCTCCACTGACAGCTTTAGAAGGAGAGTGAAGCTGATGAGTTTCGGGTGAGAGTGGACTGGAAGGTGAAGGTACAGAGCTCGGAGGGGTGGGTGGCAATTGATTTGTCTCAATTGACACACACTCCTTCATTTGTGGAAGAACCGTCCCTGATTTTTCCGGCATCCCCTTAGGACCTATCGGAAATAAATACGCAAGAAATGTTAAAATCTCATGTGTCAGGTATTTGGTGAAAATCAAATAAAATTAAAAGAATTAGTAGGTGCTCCTTTCGCCTATGTTACTAATTACACTAGTATAGCACGCTTATATATTACGTTCGCCGTCCTACAAGTGGGACTGGTTATTGCTCATAAAAACAAGCAAAGGTGGGCGAATGACCGGACTAAGCTGAATACTTTGCACTATAAACTTTAATACTTTAATTTCCGTTTTTTTTCTCTAACAATGTTGTATTTAGTTTTTGAAGACGGTACTGAAGTTTATCATCATGATGATTAATTTCATTACGTGATAATAAAGTTTTGTCCCGCTCTGGGGAACACAAAACAAAAGAAACCTACCCCACTAGACCAGGGTCCCTCACTCCATGTACACAGGGTCATAATTCTAAAACTCGTACCTTTTCTAGTAACTGCACCCAGATCGAATATAGCGCTAGGAATCCCAAGATACTGCGGGTACTTTTCGTCGTACCACACCAACATTTCTTCTCCAGGCAAGATGGCCTTGAATGAACGGTAATAAATTTTTCCCAAGAACTGGAACGCGAACAAGTTTTGTTCCTTCTTGTGTCTGGCGCAGCGGATGAAACGCATCCAGCTCGACACCTTTTCGTCACTTCCGTCAACAAATCCTGCTAATTTACCGTCTTTAAAGATCTGCAACGTAAATATCAGCCTTTTTAGATTGCTGCAATAAGAACTTTAAGCTTTTTTTTCCCGAGCATTATAGTTTACGAGTAGTCCTGAAGGAAAAGCAAACTAAGTTGCGAGCAAAACACTGCGCGAAATATCGCCTCTCGCAAGGTCGCACGAAGCGCGGGGTCTTACACACGCTTTCAAGTGCGCCATTAAGTTTTCGTCATGTTTTCGAAATTTGTGAAGACAAAAAGAGTCGTTCCATTTTTAACCTGTTATTCTTCGGGAAGTTTGTAAAGATGAAAAGTATAATGAGTGTATGGCTTGCCCTGCTGAAGAGGACTTTAAGCATTTAAGTTTTAATATATAATTAATTCCATAGCCTTTGTATGGGCTCGTTCGAAAGATGCATTGGATTAGAGGAGAGAGAAGGGAGGGAGGGGTTCAAAGAAGAGAACTTTATACTTCTAACCCTCCCCCTCCCCCTGGAGCATGCAGGATGCTAGGCAAGCCATTTCTCGCTGATACTCACTTCTAATTCAAAAAATAAATCTCACAACATACCTCCCACATGTACGATGTATCCGTTGATGAAGAAAGCTCCTCAGGTTTAAAAAATTTTCCTTCATAAGGACCAATCCACGCACCTACTGGAATGGTGCGCTTGGCACAAATGCCATACCCAGCTCCCGGAATACTGGATGCACACAACCCCACTTCCGGCGGAAGTGATCTCAAAGCTAGAGGAAGCTTCGTAGTTTGCGGAGATGCGGGTTTGTTGTGCTTGTGAGTGGGACACTGGAAATTTGGATTGGCTAAACTTGCATCACACCCTGAAATAACAATAATAATCACGAATCAGGACGATACAGTTGTTAAATTAAACTTGCATGATGAATAAAATGGAGCGTTATGTTAGCGTGGAAAAGTAACCATCATTGCGCACCCAAATGCTTACACAAAACTGTTAATGAAATTTTATTTATTTTACAGTAGACCCTTCCACGGTTTTTTCAACTTTTGACATAAAAAAGTAAGGGAAAATCCGTCGACACCAATGAAAAGAACGTCGTAAAATTAGCAAAATTGCCAAGTTTGAAAGTGATTTGTTGAAAACTAACGAAGATATAGCTCATCAAAGTCGCGAAATTTTATAGAAGTTAGTGTGGTGGGGTAACTTGCCCCCCACCATATAAACGTCAGCAAATTTTCACATTTGAAAGTTTTACTAATTTTAAGGTGTCCTTTTTAGTGGTGTCGACAGATTTTCCCTAGTTGTCCATGTCAAAAGTTGAAAAAAAAAATCGTGGGAGGGTCTATTAACTACATTATGTATTTACACAAACATTTCTTTTGAGACGAAGCGTTTGTTGACTACACTGCGCCTTGTGTGATATTCGTTGTTGATTAAACTATTCATTGAAATAAAGGGGATAATTTTGAACAGAGACCAGGCCAGGAAGAAAACATTTATGTTTAACGATGCATTAAGAAATACAATTATATCTATCAACTGATAAACTTCTTACTTACAGAAACAAGTATTTTCCTGTCTTTTGGCAAGCAAGTGTTGCATGTTAACTGGACGAACACTTGTCGTCTTAAAAAGGCATTGCTGTATGTCATCAGCAGCAAAGCTTTGTCTAGGAGACTGCGTGGGTATCACTTGTAGAGGTGAGGCCACTTTGGCTCTCTTAGCAGCTGGTTCATGGAGCCCACTAGTCTTAAACAGATTCCCAAAGACAGGATTTTCGACTTGCAGTACCTGATAAAATATAAATTTCATGTGGTTAGAATATATATGAACGTCCGCGAACGGTACATAGCGCGCGCGAAACGCGGAAAAATTCTGCCTTGTATGTTTGGCCTGATTTGGTGCGCTGTCTCTCTTTTTAATCGATAGAGAGGTACTTTAATATCCGAGAAGATGGAGAAGGCGCGTATTGACATTGAAATACTGTTTTGTCGGGTTTAATATCGTCTTAACAATTTAATCAAATCAAATTCTTGCTATGCACGATACGATTAAACGCACGCTAAAAAAAAATACACGAAAAAGAAGCCACTCTGCTTGTAACATTCTTTGACCAGAATAATAAGCGAATCAATGTTTGATCTTCTGGTTAAACTTTAGCGATCAAAACCTTTAACAAAATCAAAATTGTCCGCGTGAGACAGAACTATATTAAATATTCACAAACGTCTCATTTGCTTTTAAATTACCCTAACCAGTGAAGCAAATCGTCTTTTTCAAAATAATAAGGGTGAATACACATTGTCCTGAAGTGTTGTTGAAATTTTTCTCCTAACTCTGTTTCCTTCTCGTCAGAAAACGACCTTTCAACTTTCCAGAAGGTAGAGAAGATCTGAAAACATTCAAGACCCTCTTTCGAGTGAAAATGTTCCAAAAATTTTCATAAAATCACGGCAATTTTTGTCCTTTTGTTTTTCCCCCTTTGAAGTGGGTTCCTTGCATAACAAGTTGCGCAAACATTTTCGCACAATTTCAACACATTTCCCTTACTGCAAGATCGTAAAAATGAAGCCAAAAAGCGATTTTTCAAGTTATGTAACTGCTTTTAAACGGGAGATAACGAAGATTTTCCCTACTTTGACGAAAATCCAGCGATCGCGGTAACTTCGCAGGAAACTCAGTTCGCTGATGCGTAACTGCTGCAGTGAGTGAAGGAACTGCAAAAATCTATCAGAAACTGTGCACTATTTTAAAAACTGAATTTATCTAAATAACCAGAAATTGCGCAAAAAGTCGAAAATTCCTACCTACAGGTGTTTTTCTTGCACTTCCTGAGCAAAAAAGGCGCATTTTTTGGAAAATTCCTTCGTTATTTGTCACATCCCGAGAGCCAAAGTGAGCAACTCCAGACAAGAGTAAACTACTTTACCTTAAAACACTTACCTTGTTTTCGCCCTCCATTTCCAACACTTCAAACATCGAATGAATACAGTCTGCACAGATGTTTAAATGGCGCTGACTTTTTTTGGTTTGAAGCTGCTGCTGGTTCTTTGGCTAGTTTTACACGCTTTCTCGCGCTTCCACTGGAAGTCCGAATAAGTGATTAGTTTAAAGCGACTGAAAACCAATTTATTGAAAGGCTCTTTTTATGCCTACGCCTGTTTATGCAATATTGACAGCTTCTAAAGACAAATAAAATGAATTATTTTCACGGAGAATTACCACCAATAATGCGTCGGAAGACAAACAGCTAAAGAGTTTCATTGTTAATTCACTTTGCGCTTGGCCGCTGTACCGAGTTATTTTACAACACACACAAAACTTTGTATTTTTCACGTTTTCGAAGTATTTTGACGTCAAGCGGCTTGCAAAAATCAACTTTGAAACAAAACTGATGTTTATATGAACGTCTTGATGCGCCTTCGTCAAGAACCGCATAAGATTACAGTGGTCATGTCATGCGTAGATCGACGTGATTGCTCATGTGTAAAACGCATAACTGACCAGCCGCTGTAAAGGCAATCACGATAGATAGTTGAGCACTTGCGCTCGAAGGTGTTTGATGCTTCACTTTCACTTGAAGCGAATAAGGCTTTGATTCGCCAACTATATTTACCAACGCAAGCCAAAGCGTCCTTTAGCATTAATGATTTTTACGGTATTCTTACTTTCAAGATCATTCCGTGTCATTGGGGAAAAGAAAACAAAGGGATTGGGGGTGGAAGAAAGTACAGCAATACATAACTGCACGTATTAATAAATGACCTCAAAATTTGCTCGCAAACATAGGATCCCATCTCCATATTTGAAAATTAGGACATTATTTCAAACAATAAGAGAAGGCGAAACTGTTTTTCTGCTAAAATTATCAAATATTTTCTTCCTTATTCAGTGATTTCGAAAGAAAATACAGATTCACTGAGCCATGCACATACAAATGCTAAACAAATGAACTCCGTAGTAAAATTCAATGAATAAACTAGAAACAAAGAAGAGAATTTTTCATTTACGGCATAAAGGGTGCCGACAGTGAAAAACGAATAAAAAACAGCTTGACTGAACGTTTTACGCCGTTACCCAAAAAAAAACACGCAGATATCTAACTTTTAAATACCCAAAAGCAGATCAGAAGTATACAAATTCTGCAGAATGAGGTATTGGAATAATCCAACGACAGGGACTTCCATCGTTATGAAGTTTAATGAGGTCGCGCATGAAGTAACAGCCAAACCAGGACTGGAAGAACATTTTGGTCTTACGCCCACTTCTCTGCACAGTTTAAAAAAACTGTTGCGTTTTCAATAGCCTGCGAAAACAGCCGTTTCTCCTCGCTCTTCGCCGCTGGGGACGTTTCGCGGGCTACGTCTTCAAGAATCATGTCGGCATAGGGAGGTGGAATATTGGAACATGATCGTCCGAGTGAGCGTAGTCCTAAATAGGACCGTTCTTGATAGTGTCTGACGTTTCGAAAACCTGTGCGGTAGTCATCTTTAGAATCAAACAGAAGGTATATCGACCAACCCCTCGGTAGAGGTCTTAGAACCCACACGAAACGTCTCTAAATTAGAATAAGCAACTCCCCCCCCCCCACCTCCCCTTATAAAACACTTTTGACTGGTTTCATGAATATATTGAACAGTGTCAAAACAAACTCTTACATCATTTTCAACAATTGTTTTTTAAAACCATTTAAGAGAAGAAACAAAAATAGAAAAGTTTCTTCAGGCAATAATTCAATTTAATGGTGGTCTCTTTCCTTCATTATATTTACAAATATTTAGGATGATAGCTTTATTTATTTTCAGGTGACAAACTTTAGCAGCCTTAAGAAAATTAACTTATCAATTACCTCTTCTTAGGTACATTTTTGATAAAAACAAACAAACAAAAACCTAATCAATTCCGCAAAACGATTCGCGGAAAGTTTGAGTGCCTCATTTATGACATTCTGTTAATTTAAGGAAAAAGGCCAACCATGAACACTCAACGGACTCCATTGCAGCGAAATTTTTCACTTAGTTATTTCATTTTCTTTTTGTTCTCTATATTTTAATGTTTTGTTTCACACCTTAGTTTTCTACGTTTACTGATTATCGTTTCTGTTCATTAGCATTACATAATGGCGACATGTCGTTGCAGAAAAGTCATGTTTTTATCGCGATACTTTTAATGCTTTTAAAAATGTTTCTCAATATCTTTCGTTATCAAATTCTGTAACAAAATGACAAGGTCGATATATATTTTAACCAAAGTAAACTGATAATTGAAAACAGAAATCAAACTTTAATTGGTGAAAAACGAACACTTGCTTTACACTCGCGCGGACTCCTCGCGTGTCTAGCCAAAAGTCCAGCTTGGGAGAAAGTTTTGCCGCATTTCTCACAACCGAAAGGTTTTCGTCCCATGTGCGATCGGATGTGATTATTCAGAGTAGTCGCACCCGCAAACGCGCGCAAACAAAAACCGCATTTAAATGGCTTCTTACTTGAATGTGAGATCACATGCGCGCGTAGTTGGGAGGAACTGGAGAAAGAAACGTTGCACTGTCCGCAGTTAAAAGGCTTGCTCGGTTGGCTTGGACACACGTGCATTTGTAAGGCCAGCCGCTGCGCAAAGGTCTTGTGACATTGCTGGCACCGCCACGAAGCCAGTTCGCCCACAGGACTCTTTGCAATTGGCACTTGGCTATTGCCTCCATCACTAACGTCACTCTCAGCGTCGCTCAAGGGAGATGACTGCGGGTCTGTGTGGTTACTCTCGGTTGATGACCTCCTAGGAAAGAAAGCAGTTCTATTCTGCAGAGGCAGCTGTAATGTCGGTTGTAGTTGTTCTTGAGGTAACTGCTCCTGTTGTTGATGCGGTGGAGGGGAGGGTCTCTGTTCCACTGCTATTGGCCTTTGCATCGACCTACTTCTTTGTGTTTGATGCTCTTCTTGCTGCTGCTGTATCAATAGTTGTTGCTGCTGCAGTGGTGAAAGTCTCAGTTCAAATAGAGGTGGTGCCGCTTGCATCGGCCCAGTTGCTAACAAAAAAAAGAACAAAACTTAAGAGAGAAAACTAAAATAAGTATAAGCTACTGGAATTTGGTTAATTTGGCCATGTACATGTGTCTGCTGCCCCTCGTATCTTTATCAAAACCAAGTACGAAGTCTTTCATATTAAAATCATATTTTCGGAACTCCAAAATCACCTATATGTATAGCCTTTACAACTGCCCCATAAAGAATTGATCTTTTTGCGGGTGAGGTGATATAATTTTAAAAACATTCAGTTGTTAAAAAGAGAGACCTTTCATTTGAATCCATCGGCTTACCTTCGACGCCTCGAGTCATGGAAGACAAGTTCTGTAGTCCTGTCGGAATCCCGAAGTGCTGAAGGTATTTTTCATCGTACCATACGAGAAGTTCTTCACCTGCAGCTATATCTTTAAACGAGCGGTAGTAGACGTCGTTCCTGTACTGGAAAACGCAAAGGTTCTGCTCATCTTTGGAGCGTGCGCACTGAATAAAACGCATCCAGCTCGAATGACCAGGGTCTCTACCGTCAATAAAATAACTTAGCTTGTTGCCTTCGAAGATCTGAAAGAAAAACATATTACTGGTACTTAGTTTTTGTCTGAAAATGTGGATACGTGAAATTGTTTACCAATTGCGTCAAACTGAAGTTTCTTTGGCCGAGGAATCTTTAAGTTTCGCAGTGTACACGATTCCAGGGGCCAGGAACATAGATTTCACAATTAATTTTTTATGGATTTTTGGTAGGAACAACAAAAAACAAGGGAGATACATAGAGTGGTGAACTGCTTACCTCCCACATTTGTGAGGTGTCAGTGCCTGGTTCGAGTTCATCAGGCCGAACACGCTTTCCCACAAACGGTCCAATCCACGTTCCCCCTGGGATGTGTTTCCTGGTACAAACTCCAAACTTAGCACCAGGGATACTCGAAACGCATAAACACAATTCGGGCGGAAGTGACTTTAGAGCGTTGCTCTGATGGACATGAGTGTCTTCCATTGATTCATTGCTCAAACCGTGGGAAAATGTTTTCCCTGAAAAAAAAAAAATGGAGTACTTAAGAAATACATTTCATAATTATCTATGCGATTATATAAACAGATTAAACAGATGTTAAAAAGGCAATCGGAAGATAAAATAAAATAGATTCCTCTGTGTGCGGATAATTCATTGAGAAAGTTTTTTGTTAAGATAGATCGTGCTACCTCATTCACACAGTCAAAAGTTTAAAATTGTTTTCCTTATGAACGCTACTTAATGATATTTGAGCACAAACTACAGAACAAGTTTAAATTTATCAGTTTGAATCCTGTGCAAGCGCGGAAATCGGTCACATTTTTGATAATAAATATATTTTTGATCATAAAAAAATTCCACGTTGAAATCAAGTAATCCGCCGATTCGCAAGGATTCACCCAAGGTGAAAAGAACTGACCAATATACCGTCTGAATGACGCAAAGACGCAGGAAAGGGGACTTAAGGAGTTAAAATCCAAAAAATTTCCTGGGGAAGCATGCCCCCTGGCCGACTTGCACCTTTGGTACTCGTTTAGGAAATCGGTCAGTATTTATCCTAGATCCACGCCTGCTATGTAACAGCCACTGTCCAGTTTTCCTTTACAGTTTTTCATCTTTTGACACATGGTTTAATACAATACGTTTAGTTGGTGTGAATGGTGTTCTATTCTGCCCATGTTTACTTGTGGCCTAAGATAACTTACAAAAACAACAACAGAAAATTCTCATTTCATTTGAAGTGGAAATTAGCAAATTTAACCTTTAAATACAAAGACCTTTGCGAGTTACAAAAGATACCAGCGTCTTGATGCTAATGACCGTTCATTTTTGAGCTAGATTTCTTTGCCGCCATACAAATCAATTCTCAAAAGTTACACAATACCTTTGGTTTGACAAAAAAATTGTTCCCCTGTGGATTGAGCAAAAATTTAACCGAATTGTCTGTTTGTTCACTACGTGCGGTGTCTTTTAATAAATTAAATAAGCGAACTAAGTGTTTACTTGAAATCAATAAAGGACTTAAGGTCCCTAGAGTATATTTATTTTAGGTGACCGAGACCTTCGAAAACTTTCAGAACACCTTTATTGGTAACGATCAGTAATACCTGGTAGAAATGTCGGAGATAAATCTTAGTCCTTGTTTTGGTATTGGCGTCGCTGTCTCAAAGAAAGCCCCCCTTTACCAGGGTGTTTGCAGATGGGCTTGGAATTTTTAATGAAAAGTAGGTTTTGTAAAAACAATCTGCCACTCCGAGGGCGTTACCTTGGCCAAGTCGAGTACAAATTCGCGTGTCTTATGCAAATTAATGAACACTGAGTATTCAGTTTAAAAACTAAAGGCTTAAAGAATAAGAAAAGTAAAACACTGAACATTCAGTCTCTTGATGTTGTCGTATTTTCAAAAAGGAACTGCGAAAAAACGAACAGTTCTTCCAGAATTGCCAACGCGCGCGAAAAAGGTGCAGATTTGTGGGTATGTATGAGATCTAAACAGCTTAAGGTTTTGGCACTTTTTTATAGCAGCAACTGGTACGTTGATTATTTTGCACTTTTACCGAAATCAGCTTAGTAGAAGTGGGCACTCAGAAGCATAGAGGGAATTTTTCAATACTTTCCTAACTTTCAAAGTAGTTTCAAAACTCTAAAGCATCCAGACATGAATTTCAAAAGAGCCATGACAATGCACTACGCTGCTTCAGTGCATTAGGTTTTTACACAAGACACGTGACAAGAATCTACTAGGCAAAGATCACGACTTGAATAAAATATGCTTTGTTCCTAAACAATTTTAAAAAACACTGTTCAATATCTACAATGAAACTAAAAAATGCTTTTAACATATAAGCCAAATTGGGAGAAACTTTTGATTATATTTTAGGTCATTTGCAAAGTCATTCACGAAGATTAACACAACTTGATGGAGCAAGAAATTGGACGAATGAAATGAATGAGTTATTTTACGAATGGATTGAAGATGAATAAGAAAGATGTCTGCTAATTCTACAAGCGCTAAAGTAATAAAAACTGTATGTAAAGTTTTCGTGGGCGCTATAAAATTTAAGGAACGGAGTCATATGTTTCGTCTCGAATTGTTAACTCGCTTACGACATCTAAGTGTTTTTATACAGCTTCCTTTTTCTTATCAAACATTTCGGAACTACGGCTCAATTGGCTTACACGTATGCATCTTTAAAACTCCTCCAACTTCCTTCCGTCCTCCTCTTCGTTCACTGTTGCCAATATTTTTAGCGTCTACGAAACCGGGACGGTATCTTCCAAACAAGCAGTCCATCACAGTCTCGGCTGCGAATTGAAGGCGTTTTTCTTCGGGGTTCTTCATGATTGTATGGAAGTTAACCTGAAGACATTAAAATTCAAATTAGATCACGCTTGAAATACTCTACATAAAACTACCTTTTTATATTGACTTGATCTTTGGTGTAACTACGCGTAACAGTCGTAGTTTTAGAACTCGTCTTTCGGATAGCCACACTAACTGATTTTTTTTTTCGCCATACACTGAAGTAAAACAAAGCTCAATTATCACTATCATATAATTCACCCAAATGTAGACAAAGACGTGAAATCTGACCAGTGCAATGAGGCATAGGATAATCATTTATTAAAAATATAAACATCATAAGGTTGATAAGAGAAGCACCGAAAAGAAAATACCAAGGTCTGACACCATTTTATAACCTACATTTTCCACTTAGGTGTGCCGTGAGACATAAGGCCTGATCGGAATGACTTAAAGTTTGGGAATCAAATTTTGCAAAGGCGACACAAAGGTACTACTACAAAAGACGTGATCATTTGTAGCAAGTAAACCATGGGCATTTTTGGCAGTGTCACTGCACATTTTAAATGTTTATTTTTCTTTTTTTTTTCCCAACATGTTGCACTAACTGATTTATAATAAATTGAACAGTTCATTAATTTTTTCTGCTTTAATTTAAATTAACTCACCGACTGATTTTGCTGTCTTCTGGGCATCTTTTCACTGCACATAAACATCGACATGCTTCCTCTGTACCTTTCCTGCTGACTGGTAGACGTCTTGCGGCGAGATAAGCTATTTACTAACAATCATCTGCTAGCAACCAAAGGCTTTCTAGAGTGATCTAGAATCAATGATCTAGTGTACTCTAGAATCAATGATCATCATTTGTTCGCACATGGCATTGAGCCTTGTTAAGTCAAAGCTACTGATTGGATAATCACAATAATTCAATTTCGGCTGACTGATTTTCTATTATTTCGAGTCTTTAAAAATCAGAAGAATTTACATTAACCCGAACACAATTGAAAAAGATTAATTGCCCGTGTATAGTGACTTGCGTGTTTTAACATCATTTTGGCCCGCATGACAGACTATTTTACAAGTTCTTAATAGTATCTTTTTCAAAAAATTTAACTAACGCAAAAAGGGATGGTGAAGACAAAGAATTCTAAGAAAGTTTATCCATGACTGAAAAATTCATTCAGCATTTACGAGTTATACAATTAAGCTTTACTTTTTCTGGAGTAAGGTTTTAAAGACAGACCAAATTATTCAGTTCTAAGGGCTTTGCATTCCACAACTGACAGACAAGTATACAAAGCTCCAGTGGTTTTTAGACTTTTAAATCAGTTTCTTTCTCTTATAGCGGACGGTGCTCAATGAAGGGTGAAAAGGGCGAGTGGTCACGTGCGAAGCGTGCGAGCCTTAAACGGCTCGCCCCAGTCTCCCTTTTTATCGCCCCTTCAGACCTTTTGTTTCACGAGCGTTCTCGTATTCATGCCCAACGCAGTCTAAAGTATCCCAACGAAATGGCCCGCGTTCAAATCCTGGAGGCAAAACTATATGAGAGTAGTTGGTTCTGGTGCCTAGCCAAAGATGTTCTTCTACAAGGATACCAGATTTTCCTACCCCTACAAAAAACACCAACATTTCAAATCCCATTCGATCTTAATTACTATTTACTCATTTATTATTTATCAATGATAATTATGGTTGCGACAAGTACTTATGTCAGTTTACTATTGAGAAATGATGTCCGTTCCGATAAAAAGGAAATACGAGTAACCACATTCAAACATGTTTATAATTTTTTTTATTGATTTTATCAGGACATCAAGACAGGTGCATAATTATTCTATTAGGAAACTGGTTGAAATTTAAAGAATACTCTATTTACACGGTATAAAACCTTGAGTGTTTCACGTTAAAAAGGATGTCAAACAGACATGCGCAGTTTATGGGGACGGCGTATTTGCAGCAAAAAAAAAACAACAACAATTACAGTGAGCTTCACCTAAATGAGGAAATCAAACGACAATCACGACCATACTTCTTCAGACCGTTCACAGTCCTCTATTTTCCCGTAAGATCGTCGAGATGGAGCGCTATGCGTTACGGGCTGTCATCTTGCATGAGTGTCAAAACTACTTAGCGGGCGGGGGGCGGTTTGGGAGGAAGCGAGAAAAACAGTTTCTCGCCCCCCTCCCCCGAGAGCTACATGTATAATCCCCGACGCCCGCCCCTTCGGTACATTTGAAAATCAAGATGGCCGCCATCGCTAAGACGCGCAATATCTCCACGATCTCACGGAAAAATAGGGACTGCGAACGGTCTAATAATTCTTTAAGTGCGTGCACTGAAGGAAAAACAATAAAAACACAATAACATTTCCCTGCGACATTTTCTGCTTAATGTTGCCACCACATTTCCGTGTATCACTCTGCCAGCAGCGCCTTTCTTTTCCTTGCTCGATTTTGGCGTACTCGAGAAAGACTCGGCATGAAACAAGTAAGATCTTTGTTGAGCACGCGCGGCATGTTGCGAGGATACAGTTTCGAACCCAGGCCTAATAGCAATGCGCTTGGTACAATAAACCCTCTCCCGCAAACGGTCTTTGAGTTTCGTCACGCGTTCCTTCCGGTAGAGGGTTGCGTGACGAGCCAAAAGTACGTCTGCATAGATTTGTACGTCCAAATGGCACGAAACGTTATCTCCACAAAAGTTCCCGCTTTTACGACTTCATTCTCGCCAACATGATGTTCCGGGCAAAATGGGTGAGACTCACTCACCAACACATCTCCACACTCAAAACAAAATGAACAAAAATAAAAAAGTAAATTCGAGGCAAATTCAGAGAAAACACACAATGAAGAATTAGCGAGTGAAGGCCACTGTTTCGCCATGTGTTATCAGTACATGGGTAGATATTGCGAAAAAGTACTCTTTACTCATCGGGTGTGTAACACCCTACCTCCTCTGCTCTTTAATATTATAGCGTCTCTTTACTTTCTTCCTTCCCTCCCTACCCTCGAAAAAACATACCTTGTGTCACGACCCCCTGCTGGCTATGGCGTCTCGTATTTGCTTATCCAATTCAACTATTATACGATCATCAGTAGTGTACACACCAGTGTGTAACAAAGTGTCTCTTTCTTCGATCAGCTTAGCGATTCTACTATCGACATCCTCTTCGTCATCTTCAACAACAGACGTTAGCCCTGATGAACGTTTAACAGTTCTTCTTTGTGAAGAGTTCATTATAGGTGGCACGCCTGGGTTTTCTTGCCCTTCAGCTGGTACTTGATTCAGGCGGGTTTTCGCTTCTTCTTGTTGTTTCAGTCTGCGGTAGGAACAAAGGAAATCAGAAATAAGTCATATTGAAAGGTGCACAGAATTCGCCACTTCAGAAACGCGAAGGGAACTAAAGCCAAAATGTGTTCCCCAATTGTTTCTGGGATGGTTAAAGGAGATGCGCCGGTCAGCTATTGGTCATTTTTTCCTCTGTCCCTAGCAACAATCCCAGAAGTCTTTACGAAAGTTTACTCGGCCAGGTTTCTTTCTCGTGTTTTAAGTGGCGAACTGAGCATCATGAACTCATAGCTCAAGGTAAATGTCAAGCGCGGGAAAACGCATGTGACCAAGTCGCGAATAACACCGGCCCTCTGATTGGCTGAGAGCCTAAAGTTTCGGCCAATCGCAAAGCTCTGACGTCTGCGAGCTGCTACCCCACCCACCAACCCAAACAACTTTTGTTCTGTACTAAAGGAGAAAGTCACACCCAGTTCCACTGGAAGCATATATGCTTCTGGTTCCACCAAGTTATATGATGTACACAGTAAGGAACCGTTCATAGTATAATGGGCCAAGGAGGTAGAGGACCCAGATTTCGAGAATAGTTACTGGAAGTCCTACTCGTCGTTTCTCGTTCCGAGTAAAGCAATTCACTTTGCACACCTTCGTCGTGTTGCATAAAGGTGTTCCGTGAAACAAGGCGCTCAACTTCTTGTTGTGGTTTAGATTGCTGTTAAAATAGTATGGGACGTCGACGACGTTTATGCTTTTTTTTGAAATTATTTGTTTAGGAACACTAACGGCTCACCTGGAAAGCTCAAGTTTTATTTCCTCCAGCTCCTCCTTTTCTGATTTTACAACCTAACAATAAAAAGAGAATCAAACACGTCTTTAATGAGACTGGAGGACGAATACGACGGATAAATTATAATGCTTATAACAGTGATAACTGACAAACTGAAGAAAGGGGGGAGGAAACTCCTGTTCACAAAGACCTCTCTTTTCCAGTGGACATTTGTTTCTTTGATTCTTTTTTACAAGCGATAAAAAAAATAAGTAAAACTTGAAATGTACAGGAGACCAAACTTTACCTCTTTTTCTTCAGCGGCAAGATAGCGCAGGCGCATGTGTTCGAGCTCCTGTTCCTGTTTCTTGAGCCGCGCTCGGGCAGCGGTCTGTTCCTGCTGTTTCATTCGTGCCAGTTCCCTTAGCGCTCGACCCCACTGTTGTTTATAGTGAATCTTCGACTTGTTCGCAGTTTCTAACTTGCGCTCAAGTTCTGCCTGTATGGGTGGGGACAAATTGTACATTACTGACAGAACACATAAAGTAGGTAACAATTTCCAACAGACATATAATCAAAGAGATAAGAATGAATTGTAGAGAAAAAGCAGTAAGGGTTGCTACGGTCTAGCGGCTAAAGATTACATGAATCCCAGCTCTGCGCGACCCTGAGAATTCAAGATGTTGAAATGGGAGTTAAATTTTGTCGACTAGGACTGAAGACAAGGCCACAGCGTATTCATTCGAGGCAGACTCGCTGAGCCAACACTTCATAGCAAGACTGGTGTCCCTATGCCCATATTTGATTTTGCAAAAAATAATTTAGGAGTGTCATCAGTTTCAGTATGACCTTCCGGGGGGAGGTGTGTAGTCCTGAATAGGACTGTCGTTGACGGTGATTAAACATTTCGACAGCCTGTGCGGTAGTAATCTTAAAAGTCAAATTTAGTCATACTATGTGAATGTATTTAACGCATTCGACTGCTGACCAGCTGGTTAGTCTCCGGCCAGTTGGGATTCTTAACCCTATTAAGTTTGATTTAGGTTATTTGTTTCATGCATTTGCTCGGGCCTACTAGTATTAGTGCTATAAATACTGCCGAGGGTAAATAACGGAATTATTTATTTATTTTATATTTCATAAAGATAGAACACGGTAACCGGAAACAGTAGTCAATCTAGTCCCTTGGAAAGTGGGGGACAAGGGTGTGTGTTAGGCCTGGGCCAAACGTCGAACTTTTCATTGCATGAGACGAACTAAACTCTAACTTGGGTCGACCTAAATAAAGTTAAGATCTTCTGTTGGGTCACACGTCGAACTTAGGACGCATCGAACCAATCAACTAAATCAGACCAAAAAGCAATTTAATAAATTATCATACAAGTTTTTAATCTATTAGTTTAGATTGTCCCATGTGAAGATCGACGTTTGTCCCACAGACGATCTTCGAACGTTTTATCCGTCTGAAGCAGACTCATTCAGACGAACTTAACTGAGCCAGAAGTCGAACTTTTCATGAACTGAACTCAACAAGTTTGGTTCTTCTCATGAAAAGTTCGACGTTTGGCCTAGACCTAAGTTGTTCTCACCTTCTCCATTTTTAGAAGGTTTATTTCAGACTCGAGTTTGACTTCAGGTTTTGTAAGTTGTTGTTCTTTGTACGCCATAAACTCATTCTCTTTCGACTGATACCGCTTTTCGGCTTCGTATACCTGCGAAGTCAAAAGCAAAGTAAATGTCTTTAATATTTATAAGATCGGAATACAACGGTCACAGCCGGAATATGTTCACGACCTACCTGTTCGACGAGTCTCTGCTTTTGTTGCTCCAGATCTTTCACTTTCATCCTTGAAATAAATTATCAACTTCTTTAGTTAATATAGTGTCACTCGTTACCTCGACTTGAGATCACCAACGTCTAACCGGACTCGAAGCTTCTCGCACCCTTTTCCAAAAAATGAGGTATTTATCTGTTTTTCTGATGCATGTTAAGAGGGAAAATGCGTAAGAAATGTGCAGTGAAATAAGGTGAAAACGACCCGGTTAAAGAGATAATCCAAAGGACTTTTCGACGGTGCAAAGCATGTTTCATTCACGTGTCCAGTTGGGACACGACGAGCGACGCAAAACGTTCCGAAGATTGATAAGACGTGTCGCCTGCCCTTCGTTTCCAGCATTTAAAGCCATTCAAAAAGGGTCTTCACGCGCACTGCAAAGATAAAGTTGTCAGCCCGAGTTGCAAACTTACCTCTCCATCTCTACCTGGTGCGAACATTCGTCTTTCATTCTGCGCGCAGCTTCTCTTATCTCGGTCATTTTCCTGTCGTGTTCTCTCTCAAGTTGTTCTCTCATATGCGTCACCTGTCAGTCATCAAAAATGTCGTTATCGTCTCACAAGATCTTAAAGGGGCTATGCACTGCTATTTCAGTTCTATCCCTTAGAAAAGCTAAAGCTTTTTTCGCGTCAATCGAATTCCAAAAATGATGGCCCAGGTTTGTTATTCAACACCATATTTAGGCATTGAAACTGTTTCCTGTTGTCTGTTACAAAGGATGGTAAGGATGGGTATTCAAAAGATTGAAACTAATGCTATGCCTGCATTTTGTGTATGGGTAAAGGCACTAGACAATGACTTCAGCACAGAATGGACCTAAAACAGCAATATCATAGTGACATAGCCCCTTTAAAAGGGCTTGTCTTTTCGGACCGATGTAAAATCCGGGAACGGTAATTTCCGGGACATTCGAGAAACGGGTCCCTTGTTATGCCTTCCAGATAGAGATTTTCATACTACTTTGGCAGACAAACGTGATGAAACTATCAGTTAACAAAACAAAATGGACTGGTTTGTCAGTTAGAACTCGCGCTTTTATTCTTTAGATTTTGGTTTGAATATTTAATTTCGGGCCCGAAAAGTTACCGCGGGACTTTCGAGAAACGGGTCCCTGGGACATAAAGCTGGGATTCTCAAACCCGTATTAAGTGGCTGATTTGCAGGAAAGGCCTATGCTTTAAAGCAGTTTAGTATAAAAGATATCTTGGCATCGTAAATATTGCTACAACATTTGGCGTGTTTGAAGCGAGCTACTATATATTCTGGGGAGTCTGAATCATTCCAAATAGAAGCAGAAACGTGTTTAAGCATTGAGGGAACTAATTAAAAACTGAGAAAACTGCCGACATTTCGCGACGCCACCACTGGTTTTTTCCTCGAAATGACGTCTGAAGAACGACTGCAGACTTCTCATTGGTTGAAGTAAATTTTCCTCACGGAATGACCAATCAGAACAGATGTGGGTCAAGTCTCAGTGGTGGCGTTACGAAATGTCGGTTGTTTTCTCAGGCCATAACGGAACATTGTAAGTGAGTATCACGCTGAACGACACTTTTAATTAATAGACTACTGGTTTAAGTTGAAGGAAAGATTTACAACAGAAGCTGGAATACGGTCAGCAAAGAATGCTAACTGATTGGTAACAAGTTAAAAGAGAAAGCAAGTTTGATATACCTGTGTTTCGTTAATAGTAAGCTGTTTCTCCCTCTTCTCCAGTTCAGCAATGGATTGTTTAAGCTTCCCTTCAAGTCGAGAATACTCCTCGAGCTGGAACAAAAATAATGGCCTTGGTTTCTTGATATAGTTTTTCTTTTGATAGTCCTGCCTTTTTCATGTACGTGTTCTAACGAGTTCTTACGAGCTCCTGGATGTTCTACGATTACCGGCGGTAAATTAGTTTTTCTTTTTCATTTTGAGCGACTGATTTCATAAGTGATATCATCCCTTGTGCAATCTAGATACGTTTTCTAGTTTGTAATAAAATAATATTAAATATCCACTCTAGTCCCCAAACATTTGTTATAGCAAAAGTTGAGAGGCGTTTCTTCCCTATCGCGAAGATTCAGCAAGAGAATAGAAAAATTGTCAAGGGGCCATACCACGATCACGAAGCATCAAATTATAACTTTTAACCATGCAATCCCTAATGTCAAAAAGCGCATTCTCCGCCGAAGGGCCAGTACACCTTTACTTACTACACTGGTCACAACATGGTAGGCAGATAACATTTCTATTTAGCAATGTAACTAGTCCTTGTGCAAGGGCGACGTTATTGTTTTACCTTTTTCTTGACCATAAGCTCACGCTCTTTGTCCCGTTTCTTCCATTCATCAGCCAGCGCTTTCATTTGCGAGTTTTCACGATGTTGCATCTGGTACGTCAAAACAGAAACACCGACTGTCAGTGACCAAGTCAAGGAGCCTGTAGCAAACTCTGCTGAAAAGTTGTGGTTGGTAAACTAACTACTACTTAATAGGTTTACGTATTTTTGGGCGGCACTTTACTCCCTTTACCACCTTTCATAGGACAGTTACACTCAAGTTTACGTTTTCAGCTTTTCAACTTAAACGTTGTACGTAACATCCTTTCTTAGGATAAAACAGTACCCGACCTTGCTTGATTCAGAATTTTCTTTGTTTCCCAGCCTTAATTTTTCAGAGGGAACGAAGGAAATTCTTGTTTAATCCGAGAACAGATTTTCCCTATTACATATACTAATACTTTGAAGCCATTAGAGACCTTAGGATTCCAGGACTACGAGGAAGAGATTTGATTTGCATTTTTTTTTCACATATTCTTAAAAAATAGACACCGGCAAAGCTTCTTTTTCCTGTTTTTTTTTTTTTACCAGAATATTTAACACGGTTATGTTTATTGAAGGAGGTTAAGCCTTCTCCCGATTGCAAAATGATAAAGCTGCTACAAATTAAAACTCCTTGTTTCCACCACTACGACACTCTCGCTAAAACTCGTAGCAGAATGACGACGGCTATCACGTTTTCCCGTCAAAATGACGCGGATTAAAGCACACACACTACTTAGTATTGAGAAAATCTCCTTCTCATAGTCGTCCTCGACCACTTGCCCATCTTTATAATCCAGGTTTAATGACATCATACCTGTGCTTGGAACATTTCTTCCTGTTGTTCTTTCCACAGTTCCAGTTCTAAAGCGGCCTTGTACTCGGCAGTGTCACGTGGGTCAGTACCCGGGGGAGGTTTGGGCTGAGCTGGTGGAACACGCTGCGGCTCGGCCAGGGGAATGGCACTGGAAGCTTGACTACTCTCAAGAGAAGACGACAAACTGTACTAAAGGAAAGCACCAGTGAGAGGATTAGTAGATAGTAAGGTCTTCCGCGATAGTTCCATAGTTCTGTTCTTGATGATAAAAGTATGAAGAGTTACGGGGCTTTACCAGGTATAAAAGTTCGATTCAAATGAAGACTTCTTCGTATTTAGAAAATGAAAGGAAGTAAACATTGGAATTACTTGGTTATCGACTTAATAAGAGTCCCCAAAGTAGTAGTCAATAGCAACGCAGTAGATACTTCAAGTAGGTAACCTTGTTGTATGCTATTAGGCTATTCGTGCCGACACGAATGCTGGTTTGCACGTGACGTCACGGCGGCCATGTTGGTGGTCAAGAACAAAAGCATTTCTCTCCTCTGGAAAGTAAATTATTTTTTCACGTAAATTCTTCGAGAAAAAATTTTTTTTTTTTTACCAACATGGCCGCCTTGTCATGTGGTTGTAAACCAAGAATAGCAAGAACAGATCCGACATGTGACTCTTCACTTTAGAGGTCGGCTTCGCTCCGTTACAGGAATCACGCAGAAATCACCGTTCTCACGTGTGAACAGATGCCCTATCCGGTATGGTGCCGGCGCAAAAGCTATTTAGGTAGTGTGAACACACCCTCACTGTTGTATAGCAAATCCTGCACCCGCTTATATTAAAGCTTTTTATGAAACACCTTTGATGATTTTTGAGTAAAAATCACCCCCATTAAAAAAGCAAGAATTACTTCATTGGCTCCCATGACTTGGTGCAAGTTGACTGGACCCAGGTCCTCCAGGCCAAGAACCACATGCAGCTCACCAATCTTCCTTGGAGGTCTTCAAAATCAAAAGAAAAAAATGTGTTATTAACGGCAGCAAAAGACAAGTATGGAGTCTTGAGATGTTCAGTTGGTGCTCATTCTGGTAAACACTGTTAGACAATTTTGCCAGTTCAATTTCGGAGTCATGCATTCAGCTTGGTCAGCTGTGTGAAAAGTAATTGTCAGGCCTAGTAAATGAGCTACAAAGGTGGGAAAGGAGAGCAACAACGCACGGATTAACCGAGAAAGGTAAGTAGTTGCTCTGAAGGAGGTGCCCATTAGTCAACTGTGTTTGCAATACTATGTACAAGCTTAACTATCAGTGTTGCTGGTAAAAGTTTGAGATTACAAATGTTGTTTCAATTTCAGTTCCTTACACCAACAAGATGCAGGTTAAAGCGATGGCAGGCATCATTTAGCCAACCACAAAGACTCAATGATATGTTTAAGGGTTGGAAACACATTGGTACATTCAGCATTAATATCGTTCTATGGCTTGCAATTCCTTATTAGCAGAGACCTTCTTCTCTAGTATTTGGCGGGCGGGAAGAAAATAGACTTGTCATTTTTTTCATTTTGTCATTACCAGGGAAAAGAGGCATCTGCTCAGCGTTTTTTTGTCATAACATTCCACATCTATCATCGCCTACTTACGTTTAATTACTAGCTCTATCAAATCAAGAACACATCCGAAGCTGAAAGAAAATCCAAGTTGTCAACAAGATGAAAGTAGCTAGAAAAGACGGCTGAATTTAGCCAGGGTTTAAAGTGTTTGACATACTTTTCCGTGGTAAGTACAAATATCCGCTCATTGTAAATTTGCCGATATCCAGTCACTTGACCCTAAAACGGGATCGAAAAAAGCAAAATAGGTAAAGAATAGTTCGTAGAAAAGTGTGCAGAAATTATCTAAAGACGTCAGACTGCCAAGATATCAAGGTTTGTTAACATCTACCTTCACATACCAAGGTGTAAAATTGTAGGGAATATGGAAGGAGAAGTCACGACAAAAACTTACAACCCTGGTCAAAACGTCTTGGGACACTTGGCCAAATTGGGGACAAAGACACACTTTACCAAATTAACTCATATTCTTCCTCTTAAAAAAGCTTGGGGATGTTGTTATAAGGGATATTTCGGCTGTCACCTTCTCTCCCAAGCAGTGGGAGATTGTGTTGAATTAAAACTTGAATGCATAACGTCAACACTGCACCGTGGGAGAAGGGGGGAGGGAAGATGCCTCAATTTGACGAGCTATTGCGTTAGTGTCCCGAGAGTTTTGACCAGGTCTCGGTTGTTAAAAGGCTGAATAGCGCTATCCACAGGATAAATCTCTATCCAGTGGATACTGTAATTAGTTTCCCCAATACTTATCCGCTGAAGAGTGATATATCCTGTAGATAGCGCTATCAAAGGTCTGAACAACCAGGGCCAGCGTTGTAGCTCTCTACAATGCCGGCAGTAATAATTATATTTTGCTTATGAATATTCCACGCTGATTAACTGCTTTCGGGTCTCTCAGGGTGGCTAATAACACAAGTATATCGCTCAAATATAAACACTGGCAGATTATTTTTACCTGTGTTAAGACTTCTACTCTATTAGCAGATAAAACAGAGGCTAATAAAGCAGTTGAAACTCCAATAAGAACGTTCCCAGCCATGCTGTCTTTATGCCACACCTCAATCACAAGAGGAACTCTGACAGGAAAAGTAGGAATCGCACAATTTTGTTAGAAAATTTCAATTAGGGCTAGGTGAAAAAGAAGAATGAATACCCATGAAATCTGTCATCAGTCAAGTGTCAGAAAAACTGTTGACCAGTGACGGCCTTAGTGGCCTCAGCGCCCACTTATCTCCTGTAGCTTAGAGGTAGAGCATCCAAACTTGTTAAGTTAGGCTATAGGTCATAAGCCTGCGTAGCAAGCTTTTCGGTTTGGTTTCGGAGCAAACAAAGACCGAGGAACGGGATTTTTGGTTTTAGCTGCGCGAGAAATGGAACGGGAGCTAAAAAATGAAAGAGGGGGGAGGGGAAGGGGAAGGAAGGAAGGTTTCCTTACCTTTCTTCCCCACCCAATCCCCGCTCTTTTAATCAAGCCATTTTTCGCGTGGTCTTTGTTCTTTGCTCCGAAAACGCGCGGAAACGCTTGCTACGCGGGCTATTAGGTCACAGGCTCGACTCCTACTGACTGAAAAAACATCTTTCTCATGGACAATAGTTTGCCCCAGTTTTGATTTTGGCAAGTTGCCTAAGGTATTAAGAAAAAATTCACTTCATTCAGAGACTCGACGAAGACTGCATACAAGATTTGGGCGCAGTGATTTTTAGGGTCATTTTGGTGGACTAGCGTTAGTTATGATTGGCCTACGACATTCAAGGCAACATTCAAGGCAACTAATCATTAGTAACGCTTGTCTACCCAAACGATCCCACAAATCATTGCGCCAAGAGCGTGTTGTCATAATTTCCCTTAATAGTTAGTGGAGTGGGTAATATTGTTTGTTCCTTTACAAGCTGGAGTGATAGCCTGCGTAGCAGGCGCTTGGAAGTAGTGGGCGAAAGAGAGAACGACCGCGCGCGAGGGAGACTCGCGCTGGGCAGCTAGACCGCTTGGCTGACCAAATCTTAAGACAAGCCAGAAAACAATTTTTAATGTGAAACTCCCGCGCCCGTTTTTTCTTGTGCCCAGTACCTCCAAGCGCCTGATACGCAGGCTACTGGAGTGACTGACTCAGTGACTGAGAAAGTTTGATCTGAGTTTATTAGTTAACATGTACTTGCCCACCTTGTAAGTGTGTCTTGAAGAGAATGTGGAGAAGCTGCAAAGTCAAATGCACAAAAAGACTTGGGAAGAAGGACCTCTGTGTTGCGCTGAACTTGTACTGGCGGACTTGTCATTACCGGAGCAGAGCTACCAAAGAATGGATAAGTATACCTAATAACAAAAGCGCAAAGGTTATTCTACATTCTAGTGACAGCAGGGTGCAATCTTAGGCCCAGTGTCAAACTTTTGATGAGCTAATTAGTAGTTTTGAGAAAGGTTTGAACCCAGAAGTTATTAAATTTTTATAAGTAGGTTGAGCATGATCGTCCGGGTGAACGTAGTCCAGAATAGGACTGCTGTTGATGATCACTGATGTTTCGACAAACTGTGCATTCGTCATCTTCAGAGTCAAAGTAAGCCCTATCACCTCATTTGATGGTACTTAGCTCTGGTTATTGACTTGATTGGTCAAAGTTGCGATGTAATTGGTCGTCTGTCAGGTAAGACGTGATGTTATTGGCTAAGAAGACTCAAAATGTCATCGGTGCATTTTAATCCATCCACTGTCACAGTTTAACAGTCGTTTATTTTGTTAGTCAAATCATCAGTTCTCCCGTCATTCTCTCGTAAATAGTTTGCTAAGGGTTTGTCAGGAAGTCGTTTGTACGGTGCTGAAAACTGTTGACTATGATTCAGATGTGTTTGTCCTACGTTAGTAGTTTTCTCGAGCTATTTCGATAGTGGATCTTTGTACTAGTAATTTGAATCAAAGCTGACCCAAATTAACAAAAGTATGCCTGTTAAACCTGATCCCATTATTAGCCCATACAGTTTGAAATAAATAAGTAAACATTGTAAAATTGCTGTATGTTATAATACTTTATGCATTAGGATTCACCTCTTTTTTCTAGAAACGCTACTGACTTGGGACAGACATCTGCTGTGTTTACTGCGCGTGTAGAGGGAACATCCACTTATAAGCTGCACCCCAAACTTTTGCTAAACCATTGTTTTGTATTAATAATGTAGCACCTGTACCCACATAAGCCACGCCCAAAACTTTGGTCCCCTTTTTCTGAAAAAAAGTAAGGCCGCCTTTGGACAAACTGGTGCCCACTTAGTCTTGGTTTTCACTTTTGTTTAAAAGATCTGTTTCAAGCCACTGCCCACCTAGCATTTTCCCTGCTCTGACATCTGCCTCCAAAATAGACTTGCTAAAAGTCGACCTCTCATAACTCCTTAAAAGTGTGCAAAGCGAACTTCGTTGCACGAGGTCGCACAGCAACTGAGCAAGCGACAAAGTCTCGAAGTCAACTTGTTTTGCCTGAATGGATTTGAATTATATTATATATTCACATGGGGAAAAAATGATTGACATATGCTGTGTTGGGAGCAGCGTGAAATATCACTCACTGTCTAATTGGCCAATAGTGGTGACATCACTGGAAGAATTTTCGACCAGTGAATGTCACGCCAAACAGGTATGAAAAGTCCTTTAAAATGGCATAACCAACCAGGAAAAAAAATAAAGGACTTTTAGAAAGTCTACCTTCTCAGTTTCTGTTATCAACTCACCTAAGATAGCAGTTAACAGGAGAAGAAACCTCAAGATTCGAGATGCTACGCAAATCAATGGAGAAACAGAAATGATGAGCTGATGGTTCTAATGGAAGCCTGGTTCTAAGTGGAGGAATAGTGCTTGGACCTGGTTCTGTAACTTGAGGCGGAGGTGCTGGAGCTGTTGTCTTGGACTTTTTTGGTGGAGAATATTGCTGCTGATGAGGCAAAGAAGAGTGAAGCTGAAGGCTAAAGCTGTGCATTTTAAGAACTAACTGGATGGACAGCATATTGTGATGATCTGCCTTAAAATGTAAGATCTTGAGCCCTTTCAAGACCATGCTTTTACAGTCAAGCCAGGTCAAGGGTACCCCCAAAGATTCCAACAATGAATTAACCCATTCGTTCCTGGAGATTTTGCCCAAAAAAGCGTTTTGAAGCTAGTCGAGTGGTTTTCTGGTCACTGTCGTGCTATAAAGAGCTAAAACTTACCACAAACCGGTTTACAGGTTGTACACTTGGCGGCCTTCTGATCCAGATGCAAAATATCAGCTTGTGAAGTTCGGGCATGCGCAGAAAGCAAAATTTCGACAGTTTTTGGGTTTAAAAGTGACACAGCAGTCTTGACTTTTACTTTTCGCTTTCTCTCCTCCCTTCTATTTTCGCTTTTCTTGCCTCATTTTTTTTTCTCTTGCTGGGCATTTAGTAGACTTCATTTTGGTGGGAAGAGTTTTTAGGAAAGCTTTTAGGATCTTAGGATTAGGTGAAAGGAAAGGTAGGTGGGTAATGGAACACGATTTTCATGGAGATTTTCAGGTCCTTGTCACGTGGTTTTTTGCTTCTTTCTCCGGTGTCCTTGACTGAATTGTGCTCATTCTGGTATGGTTTGAAAGATCTCTTCACTCTGCACAAGTTAGCGAAGAAAGTTGTCCTTGACCGTTAAAACTGATGACGTCACAAAGGGTAGAAAGGATCTGGATCCGCACGGGCGGTTACGGGCGGTTCAGGGGCGAATGGGTTAAAAATAACTATCATTTGAAAGTTAAATCCATTGCAGTTGTAAATTTCAGATTCATCTAGATGCATTCCTGCATGCATAACAAGCAGTGAAGTCACATTCAGGGTAGTTGTGAAATTTCTACTAGCTAAGCTTTCCTGAATTTGATGCAGAAAAGCTTTCGTAAAGAATTCACTGCTCATTATTCTTGCAAGAATGCGGTGGATTTGAATTTGATGCTGCATGGTTGCAGCAAAGACTAACAGATTCAACTCTTGAATAATAAATTCATTAATGGGATCTTCAAGGGTACACTTGACCTGGCTTGACTGTAATACAGTAACATTTGAAGGTAAGTCGACACTTGATTCTTGATCCTTGCATGAATGAAGAATTGAGTTGAGAATCAACAATCGATTCCTGATGACTACTTTTCCATTGATTCTATATACTCAATACTCAATTTCTGAGGGAATCACCAAACTGGAATGGCTTTTGTTAACGTTTTGAGTCACTGACCCTCTACTCTTGATACTTGATTGCTGTGAAAAGTGAAAGCCTTTGATCAAGTCTTAAGCAATATTGTTCTACTTCTCAGGGAAATAATTTGAGGTTGCTTTTATTTTATCAGGCAGTACATGCTTATAACAGGTTTCATGACCTACGGTGCAAAGATTAAAACATGCAGTAACTGTTACCGTTTACCTTTTGAGTTCTAGCATTTACTGCACTTGTTGGATCATGGTGTTCCTCTGCACCATGTGGGGTGCTGGAAAGTGGTCGGGGTGGAGTCTCAGATGGATACCCCATTGGTGCATTTGCATTGGCCTCTTTACTGTCTTTTCTGGGTCGCCCTCTAGGAGGAGAGACTGGTACTGAAACCTGTTTAGGTGATGACTTTTGAGCCACCAAAAGGAAGAAAAATATTACTATTAGGTCATAGTTACTATGACATATTTTTGCCAGTAAGTTGTAGTTTAACCTGCATTGCAGACATAATCTGACCCTGGTTAGTAACGTCTGCGAAGCAATGATGATATCTCCACGTTCTGGTCCCCCAACAGACTCAACAAATTTAAAACCAGAAATGTTTCCAATTTCCCTTTAACCTTACTGGCAACCTGACAATGGCTTTTTAACTAGCCAATCTCGATGCATACTCAAATCTTGGTACACAGATGGGGTCCACGAAACAAGGATTTCTGCACAGCTTGATGTTACTAACCAGGGTCATGTTACATCTGTGACGCAAGATACATGTAGTTGAAGTTCGCTCTTAACTATTACCTGCCCACGCATGTCTCTACCTCCAGCTGGAGATGATCCAGTGGGGACATTCCTTGCGATATCTGGTTGTTCACATCTTAGTGACACAGACACCCCAACCCCAGGTTCAGTGTCCTGTGGTGGTCCTAAATGCTGATGACTGCTACCTGGTGCTAGTAAAGGAAACATTCCTTCTATCACAGCAGGCGTAGCTAGCGTCTCTCGCTCACTTAGAAGTCCTTGGAAAGAAACCACTGCTTTTCCTAAGATTTGATCTCCACTACACAAATGAATCTGAAAAAATTAATAATAACATTGACCAAGTGCGATATTAAAATAACTAAATATAGGCCCAGTTCTTCTTTTTTTTGTTTCTTTGCTTCCAGAAACTATCTAGCTGAAAAAGCTCAACAATGTAAACATTTACTCTCTAGCTACTATAATAGGCACAAATAATAAAGTACTATGTATGCTTTCTTGTAGAGCGGGTGAAGGTGACTCCAAGCTGACAAGCTGACAGCCTCATGCTTGGGTAACAAAGGTCAATGAACAGACCATGCACTTAACTTTTCTTAACCCTTTCTGCCCCAATATCCACATACAAATTCTTCAGACTGATCTCCTTCCAATCCTTGAAAAATTAGTCAACAGAATTTGTCAAAAGATCAAAGTATTTTCCCTTTGGTGATCACTTTATTGATTCTCATAACCTTTGCATTGATATTGTCAGGAGAAAATAAATATTGATGTTGGTCACTCTTGGTACTTACGGGTTAAAACCTCGATCACCACTACCTCTAGACCTCTGGACTCTGCTAAAGCACAGCCTTAAAACTTAGTGAAATGTAAAAAATTAACAAGAAATTAATGATGATCTATTTTTGGAGCCTACCTCTAGTCCAGAATGTTGAGTAAAAAACTCTCTTAGATGATCCACGTTGCTACAAATTCTAACCGAGGCTCTTTCAGCTGGGAAGTTGGGTTGTAGGAGATCATGAAAGACTTCATTTGTCACATCATTTGTGAGTAATGAATAGTAAAAGTAAAATCCACCACCTAAGTTTGGGTCAGTCAAGGTAAACTTTGATGGAATAAGCTGTAACAAGATATTGAAAAATAATGTAGTACTAAATTAATATGTCATGATAATTGAATTGGTGATTGATTATTCCCAACTTGATGAGGTAACTCCGACAAAAATAAATTGATGTTTTAACATAATTAAGGGAGTAATGGATAGAACCAAACTTGAGCTTTGTTGTGATGTGGTTTATTATTTCCATTGTTACCCTCAGGAAAAATGGGAAAGGAGAAAAAGGAAGACCGAGAATGGGAGAAAGATATAGGATGCTTTCAACAAATCAAAATGAAGCGCTGGAAGATTGGAATCAGAGAATTCTAGAGTGTTTCTGAAATGCCCCAATCTCGCTCATCAGAAATAGAAGGTAAAATGTTAAACGGCCTTATTACTAAAAAAAATTGTTATACAAGTGTAATTAAAAACTGTCACTAGTAGGACCATAAGTCATGACTAATCTTTGACTGCTATCTAAAAATTTGCTTTTTACCAACATTTCTAGGAAAGCTATCTTTGCCAAGTTCAAACATTGCTTAGATTTCCTCTTACAAAATTATAGGGAACTGATGAATAGAAAGACATGATATCATATATACTGCACCTTTGCTAAGTTTGAAGCAAGTCCTATGGTGACAGACAAAACAAATATCTGATTGCCATCTTGTTGTGGTCCAATTTCATAATATCCCTGTTCCTCATTCAGTGTAAACTGTATTGTTTGGAATCTTGATGAAGGTCCGGACCGTCTCCCTTTAGAAACAACAAATGGAGAAGAACAAAAATTTATTATTGCACTTGTAACTACACCAATATTTTATTTAAAGTACACATTATTATTCATTAAAAGTATTTCTGTTTCTGATTGGCTCAAATCCCATGGCAAATTGTTCATAGCCAGAAAGGGATGGAAAATCTGGAAACTGACATTAATAGTTACAGCACAATTACATGATGTTTGTAGCAAACACCTCAGGAATTTTCACTTAAGTACCTTCATCGGCTTGCTGTGTTTGTTGTTGTTTGCCAGCAGGAGATTGAGATGGTTGAGTATCATCCTCTAAAGACAGCATCAGCTTTAATTCTGGCTTCAAGCGAGTGTACTTGGTACTTAAAAGCGAATGCCACTGGGCTCTCTGCAACAAAGGCAACTGTGTTATGGAGATCAAAATGTTACCCTTTTTCTACCTTCGTGCCAGAGACTTGAGGGACAAGTAGGAGAGGAGCCTAGGAAGAAGGTGGAACCTTTTTGCCTGACACTTGCCATAAAGACTGACAAGGAATGAGCACTGTCATATTAAAAACAGTAGAAGGCCATTGCTTTTACTAAAAATATTAAAATTACACAACAAAGAAAACAGGTAAAGATTGAAGAGGTGTTCCATGGACTTTGACGTTCCCACTAGTTATTTTCTGAACCCACAAGTTGGACCAAGCTACATGTTTAAACCTACAGCTGCACATGTATGAATACAGAAATGACCAGTCAAATGGAACTTCTTTGGTAGCATTGTCCACTGGTTTTAATTGCATCAAGCATCTTTCAAAAAATACAGTTGAACCTCCATACGCAACTTCATATCATAAGTGACCACAGATCCAAACACCAATGGTTTATCTCTTTGTTCACTGAATGTACTATACGTACACCACTCGAACTATAGGAAGAACTTTCATTGACAATTTGAAACCAGACATATCATAACTTAGAAACTGCATCCAAAATTACGATCCAAAAAGTAGTATGTTGGGGCCTGTCAGAAGAGAACTGCTTCGATGTTCAATTCTTATACGTGACACCTCCCATAAGCAACAACTAAAGTTTTGTATTTTGGGTGGTTGCTTAATGAAGGTTCCACTGTCTGGATTTATGTCCTTGAAATAATGGATTTGGGTACTCTTAGCAGACTGTAGGTATTTTTTCCAGCAAAATATTCATTTTATTTAACAAAAACTCTGTATTATATCTGCCTCCGACACATCACTTTTAAACAAGAAGTCTGAACTTGTCACAAAGTGCCAGCATGAAAACAAATAATCTGTGTGCACAGCCAATCAGAAGAAGCACCTCTCAGCTAACCATCCTTAAATTTAAACTTGACATTTAAAACTGAAATATGCCTTACAGTACTTTTACTGATGATCACCTAATGCACGAAACTCAAGTTACAAGAGAGTGTCTATCTTTAACTCTGTCTTTATAGCTGTACACATGTAAGCATGGGGAACCCCTAGGGTATGTGAAGCATTATTAATCTTCATTGTTTATTTTTAACATTTCATGTTGAAATGCGTATCCTTCAAAGCTTGTTCATGTACAGTTGTACCTCATGCATGTTTGCAAAATAATTACAGATTCCTTAACTAACTTACCGCTGGTTTTTGTTGTGCTGTTCTTAAGTCTAAAATGACATAGCCAACTGGTTCCTTCTGAGAGGTGAGTGTGTCCAGAGCATAACACTGTCAAAAGGCAAACAAAAAAAATTTAAACAAAAAGTAAAATTACAGGGACATATTTTCCACCAATCAAACTTTTACAAATTACCATGACTGTTGTAATGAAAGCTCACAGGGGATCTGTAATGCCCTTGGAAAACCTTATGGATCATACATTTCTGGAAAACTGCCCACCTACCCCTTCTCTAAGTACAAACAAAAACCACAAGGAACTGCAAAGGACCGCAAACGAATATGCCGAAGAACGTAGGATCTATAAAGAGCTGATCAGCAAAAATAAAAATAATGTAGACATATTAAATTCTGCAAGTAGAATACTGCAATGCTGATCGCACTACTTGAAAATTAACTCTGCAAGACATCAACAAGTCACCGAAAGAACTCAAAACAGAGCGGGATCTAGCCATAGACAGCTGTTTCACCCTCTCTTAGACCCTTCTCTAAGCCAACATTAACACTTGCTTCTCACTTAGGACAAAATGTTGCTTTAGGAGCAGTGTGGGTGGGCAGTTTCCCAGAAACGAATAATGATCCAGTCTAATATGAGGGTAACTAGCCAGTGAATATAACAACCATCCCTCTGACATGTAGCTTGTGAGTAGGCTCACTTGTGTGAATTTGGGGAAAATTTTGGCAATGGAGCCATCATCCAGGGAGAAAAAGTAAGCCTGCATGAGGGCTATTAATTTTTTAATTCTCTACATTGGCTGGTGAATGCAGCTATCTAATTATGACAAAAACAAAGACACTGGGCATCAACATTTACACATCAACTTAATGATAAAAAGTGTCGGTTGGCCTGCAATAGTTTTGCTGCATATGAAAATGCAGCGTAGTCCAATTTATATTTTTTCTATCATGGTCACTATCATGCTCTGGAGGATTCTTGATTTGGGCTAAGCAAATTCAGTAGCCTATTTTTGTCACTTGTCTCAAACTGACAGGTCCTGAAAGTGGTCTGTTTCATGCATAATTGACCCATGTAGATAACGCTTTGGGAGGATTCTTAATTCTTATTTTTGCTGCTTGTTGAGATGAAGATGGTCTGTTTCATGCATATTATTTCTGTGTGATTTTTGTTTCTAACAAGGATTTCACCTCTGATGCAGTTTAGCATAACCTCTCCATGGGCAATTACTTCTTGTCATTTTTGTTTACACTTGCATTTCTCCTATCGGTTAGTTTCTTGACACCTTGAAAGGAGCTAAACTCAAAAATCAATAGCCTACAAAAAGGCTCACTTTTCCTTGCCAGATGGCACCTCTGCCGCCAAAATTATTGCCAAATTTGCACTAGTGACCCTGCTTGCAGGTTACTGTCTCTTCTTGCTGGTCACTAGGGATGTTTTTCAGAAGAGAAAGCTGCATGTTATGTATGCGGTTGTTACGTATAGAACCTGGTTAGGAGCTCTGATTGGTTAACATAGTAATTAAACTCAGTTATCAAACTCTGGGGACACTGGGTGCTGCTTAAGAACAGCCAAGTCTAAGGAAATCCAAGAATATCATAGGGATAATCAAATAAAAAAGTTGTTCTTTAGTGCACTTTTTAAGTGCTGGTCTTAAACACTGAAGGCGATGTGGCATTGTATTTAGGGAGTAGCAAAGTAAATACCAGAATGACTGGTCCCTTGGGAAAACCAGTTATTTTCAATACCCTTGGGACAAGTCATCAAGGGTTAGGCCACATGTTTGCACACAAGAAAAACTTGCTCATATACACGTGGCTTTCATTTGTCTTACCTGGATTTTGATAGGTGTCCTCTGCAAACGATGTTGGTGGAGAGATTTCTTGCTTAACTCCCAGGCAAGTTCAGTTGTAAACTCGGGGCTTTCCACATGATCAATGGGATCAGTGACTAATGTTTCACCATCAAACTTTGTTTCTACTATGATCTTGTGTCGGAGTCGTTTGGGGAATCTTCGCCCTGGATGTTTCAGAAGTTTATCAATAACAAATAAAAACCAAATCTTAAGCTTCTGTTAATGACGTGAAAATGAAATTCAGAATAAAATGGTTTCATTTGATTCTCAATTTCTTTTCTTTCCTAGTCCTAATTACTTTATATGATCATGAACAGTTAGGGAAAGGAGACAAAGGAAATTGAGACTCAAACTAGGTTAAAACACTTTTTAACCTGAACTTCAATTGAACTACAAAATTTAATAAGCCTAACTTAACTGAGCAATACAAAGTCAAAATATCTGTAATTTTTGTCGGTTCCTCCATCTTCAAATTTTAGAGGTCAGAAAATTTTTAATCTCTGTACTTCTTAAAAACAACCATTACGGGTTCCATAACCATAGTGATGTAGAGTGCTAGCATGAATCATAAATCTACACAAGTCGACCCGGGTCCAAATTAACATGAACATGGATGAAGGTTGAATGTATGTTTTTCAGGCTAGACGTACCTTCCAGTACAGAGACAACCACCAAAATCGCCTCGCTCAACCCCATATGGAACTTGTTAACTGCTCACAAGGCTATCCTCTTGTTAGAGGTAGAAAAACGCTGAGAGGAACGAGCATTCAAATCCGATCACTAAGTCCGCCATTTTTCAAATTTCACAGTTACTACGTCATGTACTCTGCACTGGAACGATACCTTTCCTTAAAAATGCGAAGTCTTTTTCGGTAACACGTACACTTTTTGTCAACCAAAAAACAAATTTTCACTTTTATTTAATCCACAACATCATTTTTTAAGGCTCAATTTTCTTAAAACACTTTTTTCAGTTTCTCTCGACAAACGCCCTCCCTTGGCTTCCCCTGACAGTCACTTGACTCCGACGATTTAGCTAGAGCCAGTCTTCACCCGGTTCAAAGAGCAACTTCCAACATGGTGGACGACCTTATCGGTGTTGAATTGTCAATCTTCTTGATCTTGTGTACACAGAGGTGACAGCGACGCTTTCTTGCCGACGAAAATGATTTAATTCAAGGAGTGGCGACGAATCAAATGATAGAATTTTGTTTTTCTCAACCTTCGTGCTGCTATCCCGTTAGACAATTCTTATGCAAATGAACTCATTACTTGAATTGTACCGATTAGCTGTCTTCACTTAGCAACATCCGCCTAAAACTAATCGTGCAGTTTACGTAGAAAAACAAGATTCTTTGGCGAGGAGATAGACTGTAAATGGTGAAAATGCATAAACGAGATGAATGATCGTTTAAACAGAGCCAGGAAAAGCTAATTTCAAGAAAAGATCAACCAGCTTAGCGCTTGATGGGAAGGAGACGGCGCGTGTGAATTGGGCGGCCAGCTGTTCTGTTTATAAAAAGTTTACCTTATACAACTGGAAAGCTAGCAGGATAGCCTTATCATCGCCGATTTATATTATTTTTAATAGCCGACGGTAGCAAACTCACGAAAAGCGCGCGGAGCTATTGATTACCGAATTGGATCATCTTGTGCGAGTGACCCTAATTGATTTTCATTGAAGTTCTTATATTGCGACCGTCCGTTTTCTAGGTATACAGCCGTTTATATACTGATCAAGGACGTAATTAATTTATAATCAACCATGGCTCACAAAGGGGATCGCGACCTTGATATCAAAGCAAAGCTTTCTCGCAAGATTGCAGAACTCACGATGGTTATACACTTGTTGTTCACAAGGAATCATGAGCGAGAGCTGGAAATGGAAGCATTAAAAACTGCATACGAACATGAGATCAGTTTAATACTTGAGGAAGCTAAAGGAAAAATTTCGTGGTTGGAGGGACAATTGGATGACCTGGAAAAATTTCGTGTTTTACTCGACTTGAAAAACACAGAAAACGAGAAAGACAAACAGCAAATTAAAGATCTACAAAACAAGGAAGCAGAATTGAATTTACTGTTAGCAAACAAGGATCAGCTTTTAACGATGGCTGAAAAACAAATTGTGGAATTGAAAGAAAAACTTACTGACAAGTTAGCTTCTGGAGACGAACAAGTTGCCCTTTTGAAAACTGAATTAGAGAATGTTAAGAAAGATAACAGTAACTTGAAAGATCAACTCAAGGCAAAAGCAGACAAAACAAAAAAGCTTAAAAGCCAGGTTGAAAGTCTTCAATCCAAAGTGAAAACATTGGAGGAAGAGTTGCGGGATGCTTTAGAGAAAAAACAAAGACTTGAAAATAGTGTCAATGGACTGCAAGGTGATTGGCAGGATGAAATTGATAACCTCAGTCGCAGAATTGCCGAATACACCAAACAGCAACAAGAAGACCAAACAAGAGTAGAAAAATTGGAATGGAAAAATAAACAGTTGATTCAGCAAGTGAAAGAGTTGGAGGATGACAAAAGACATCTTGAACTTAAAATTCAACAATATGTCGATGAGAGGAATAAAAAGAAAGAGGCCAAGAGATCTCCAAGGCCTGTTGCTAAGGGCAGCCCTGAGGTTCCACGGACAACGCCTGCATTTGATGTAAGTGTTACAGGTCAAAATTAAATTCAGGTTGAAGTTTTTCAACAGCTAGGTTGATTCTCAATTTCTTTGTCTCCTAGCCCTAATTTATGAATAATTAGGGCTAGGTTAAAAAATTTAAATCTGAATTTAATTTTGACCTGCAACATAAGCAACATTTAGACCTATTTGAGAAATTACTGTTACTCCATACAGTAGTAAGGAATTTGTGATCAAGGGTTTAAGTGACTTTTGATGCGAACAAATACTGAGCAATTTGGAAAAAGTATCTTTTTGATTATCAAAAATCACTGAGGGCTTTTCTCCACGCACCCCTTTAATTCTACACTTATCCTGCACCTATCAATGTCAACCCTTTAAGCCCCAAGGTCCACATACAAATTCTCCCGACTGATCTCCATACATTTCTTTTAAGAAAAGTTGAGAGAATTTGATAAAAGATCAAAGCCTTCTGGTCGAGTTTCTAGTATAGCTGGTCTACTAACCTTTACTCTTGATGATCTGCTGATGTTGTTAGGAGAAAATTGATGTTGGTCACTCTTGGGACCTAAAGGGTTAAGCCCTAGGGATGGTGAAGCTGTAAGGGGGTTGTCTGGGCTGCAGACTTAATCTAACCAGCTTTCGTTACTTTTAGGGAACTGTAGCTTTATAGAAGAAAAAAGTTACTGAATGCATGAGCAAAGTGACAAGTTTATGCGACAATGTGATGAATGTATACGTCAAATGTAGAACGAGAAAAAAAAAAATATGAATCTATTTTAGTTACTTTCTGTATTATTCTCGCCTGAATCTACAGTAAATTGACTAAAATCCACAAAATTACAAAGAAATGTCCCAACTGCAACATTCATGGTCGTGGCTAAAAGATGTTTTCAAGAATGACCAGTACTTGCACTTTATTTGTTCTTTGTTGTCGAAAAAATGACATCATTTGTTGTCGTTTTAAACTCACCATTTTGCTCGCACACTTACTTGTTTTTCTCTCTAAAGCTACAGTTCCCTTAAAGTAACGAAAACCATCTAATCCCATATTAGTAACATCTGCAAAGCAGTACCAAGATCCTTGTTCTTGGCCCCCAACCGACTCACAAATTATCAGAAAATGCATTTCAAATTTTCCTTCAACCTGATTACCAAATCGACAGTGGCATTTTTAATAGACAAATCATGGCATGTAATCAAGCCCTGGTACATAGCCTGTTCCAGGCGTTCAGATAGTGGGGAGCAGTGCGAAGTAAAAAGGAGCGCGAAAAAATAAAAGCGAGGGAGGAGGAGAGGTGAGAGAGTTCCCTCACCTCTCTACCCAGTCTCCCTCTACTTTTCATCGCTTTCTTTATTTCGCACCGTTCTCCACTATCTGAACGCTTGGAACAGGCTACCTGGTACATGGGTGGAGGCTCAGAACAAGGATTTTGGCGTTGGTTCGCAAACAAACCTAACTAGGCCTGGGTTGTTCAAACGTTGGATAGCGCTATCACTATCCAGTGGATAACACAATTGTTTCTGGTAATACTTATTTGCTGCATAGTGATTTATCCTGTGGGTAGTGCTATCCAGCTTTTGAAAAACCGGGGCCAGAGGTTTAGTTCTGTCTATGGTCTAGGCTAGGGAAGGGGATGCCCCTGGGGAATTTGAGAACTACAGTGAGGTCATAGTCAATGTAACTAATGCATAGGAAATGATACACCCTAGGGTCAATCATAGTTTGTACAATCTGTAAAGGTGTTGAATTTTAGTATTCATCTTGAAAAGTCGTTGAATTCAGTCAAGGTCCTTTAGTAAAAGTTTAAAAAATGCTGAAAACAGGGAAACTTGGAAAAAATGCAGTTAGATATTTAATATTATTTGACCATGTGTTTCAGAGAGATGATGAATTGGAGCGCCTAAGAAGGGAAGTGCAGCGTTACCGACTGGAACTGACCAACAGGGAGTCGTCATTTAACAGAATGTTTACTGATCATCACCCTGTGATAGTGGATGGCAAACCAAGGAAAACCTCTTCTGGGTTGATGACTGATTCAGTGAGTAGCTTTACTAAGGGACATTGTTATCAAGAATTTTTTCCAGCAAAAAAGTCATTTGTGAGGCCCTGCCAGGGTAAATTCCGACAAGCGACATGGCCCAAAAAGTAGTGACAGTGCGTAAAATGAAATCGCGACAAGAGACAACCTTCCTTGGCCAAATTGCGATAATGATGGCAAAGCCGACAATAAGCAACAAGCATTTGTAAAAACCGACACAAGACCTTTCAAAATCCAGACAGGCGACATGGGACCCCCCCCTTCCCCCCCTGGCAGGGCCTCATTTGTGTTAATTAGAACTTGAGCATTTCAAGTGTAAACATCATAATAATACTACAAACTCATGAAGTACCCCCACCTTCCCTGGTCTGGGTGAAGAATTCACCTTTCGTACATCTAGTTATTTTATATTATCTTGCTTTCACCACTTTAAAGTCTTCTTTTGATTATAAGTAACCCCATTGGCCCTTTATGTAGGATTATGTAATGAGGCAAAATGGGTGCAAGGCAAGAAACTAGTTTTGTCATTTTGTCAAGACTGCCTCAGACTTCATCATGATAACCTTTGAAAATCCTTCAATTAAATTAACTTATTTCAAAATTTATTTTCATTTTTTTTTAATTAATTAAAATTATTATTTTTTGCCTTTGTAGTCTTTCCCAAATCTGAGTGGTGTTCATGTACGGAAAAGAAATCCACATTTGCCGGCACTTGGGGAACAGAGGATAAGCACCAGTGCACAACCTCCATACCATGGATTCTAAGAAGACAACCAAAATTTTACATATTCGACATAATTTTACTTATTCTTCGAAAGAACGACTTACTTCATATTTTCATTTACTTATATTATCTGTACCAGTACTCAAAAAGATCCAAATAATATTATTAATGAAGATTTTAAAAGTAGGCAGCAGTGTGAGGTCAAATAGATGTCTGCATACTGCTGGTACAGTGTTGTTACTGTCTTCTAAAAAAATTTTTTTCTTGCCACAACTTCCACAGACCCTTCTCCAATTTGTCATAGACAGCATGTTAAATAAGTTATGGTAAAGACAGTGAGAGCAAAATGAAGAGAAACAGAGTGGTGCCTTTCTTGTCATGCTGTTCCTGGAAACTGCGCTCAAACAGGTAATTTGCAGAAAGCCTTGGCAAAGCTGTCAAAGATATCTTCCAAGAAGTGGGGAATTTTGGACCATTCATGTTTCTCTCTCCTTTACAAACAGATTAAACAAATTTCAACATTGTTTCAGTCTGCAAAATATACCCCACAGTACTACCCCACACAGGCACATTGCTTTATTAGGTATGATTGCAGCCTTATCAAGGGATTTCTCTTTGCCACCAATTTCAATAACAAGAGTAGTCAGTGGACAAAGTTGGCATTTTCAAGGCAGCTTTAATTAATTGCCTCTGGTCAAGGGTATTGATACATCTTGAGCTGAGTTAAGAAAACATTACGCCAGAGTGCAAATTTATGTACCAAAATATTTACTGTAGAAAGGGTGTTATATTATTGTATTTTACATAGGTGTACAAAATTATAAATAATTATTTATTGTAGTCTCAATTACGTTTATATTATTTTGTTTGACAATGATAGATATTTACATTTCTAGTCTTTCCATCTCTTGGATGTACAAAGTACTGGTATACCGGTTAATGAATGATAGTTTAGAGTCATCTGATACGTTACAAAAGTGTGTTACCCTCTAAGAAATCAACTTTACCTACAGTCATTTTCAAACAACTTCATATACATATCTTACAAGAGAAAATTAAAATACCATTAATGTCATCTGTCAGATCTACTTCTTGATTTTCTTGTCCCTTTGCCTGCTTTGAAATCTGCTGTCTGCAATCCACAAAAAGGTTTCTTCTTGTCCAAGTTATCTGTACAGCTACAAAATAAGAAGTTAGTTAAGTGAAATTGATTATTACAGTGGAACCCCGTTAATGCGACCACCGTTGGGCCATAAAATCCTGGTCGTAATAATGAGGTGGTCGAATTAACGGGGTCTTCAAAATAATAAAATGACTCAATGGTTTTAACATTTGGTTTGAAAGAATATGGCCGTAATAACGAGGTGGTCTTATAAACAGGGTGGTGGTAAGGAGGGGTTCCACTGTAGTACTGATCACAGATGACAAGTTCTCAAAGACAGGATGAGTTACTTTCCATAAAGGACACAACTGCTCAGACAGCTCAGACATAATTTTTTTTATGCTGACGTCCATTCTTACTGTTAACATGTTGATAAGTAAAGAGGGCATGTCTTGTTGTCCTCTAATGCACAACATTACATTACATTACATTACATTACATTACATTACATTACAACCACCAGCAACTTCCTTCAAGTTTTATAGAAAGTACATTCTGTATCTTAAAAGATAATCCACCTTGCAATTTTCTCCTGAACTTGCTCCATATCCTTCTCCATTGTATCTATTTCCTGAGGAATAAAAAACTTGTGTAAATGAAAACAATGCATTAACCCAATCTGCCATTTAACACAATGTTACCTGATGTCCTAGTGTTAGATCCCAAATTATTGTTTCAGCCTACTAAAATGATTCAAATCTGATCTAGATGATGTGAGATTAATTGACAATAGTTCAGTTTCGAGTTCACTATGACGGCTGAATAAAAGAAGTGAAGACACATTCTTTACAGGCTTATCCTCCAGCTGAGGTAAATATATTCACAAATTCCAATGAGAAAAAGAGCCTTACTTGCCTGAATTTGTGAATAATTTACTCTATGTTGAGACCAACCCTGTATGAATGTGTCGTTTATTTTTTCTGTATTCAGTGGTAATTTTTAATTCGAAACTGGACCACTGCCTGCCCCTTAAAAAGGCAGTAGTTAAGGCCCTGTCCACACACATCCAGGTATTGTTCATTATACAACCAGCGCATGCATTTCTTTGCTGCTAAAAAATTTGCACTAAGTCTCTAACCCTTAAAAAACAGAGTGTACCGCTGTAGCATCATTGCTGTCACAAAGGGCCGGGGGCCGGGGATTTCCCCTGGCTTTTTTGTAGGAAACAAAAGGAAAATTAGACCAAAAGGACTCCTTCAAGGGCTCTTCAGTTCCCCACCTACTAACTGCATAAACCCGGCAACTTGAAATCTTAGTGACAGCCCTGAACATTGTACATTAAAAATGTTATTATCCCTATGACACTTGGTGTATGACTTGTATAGGTCATTGAGAAAGGGAAAAGATCTATGGTTCAGGGATCCACAAGGGAGTTAGCAGATAAAGAATTTGATCCTGTGAAATGTGCTGTGAAAATTTTAACTTAAAATGTGATTTGAGAAGCATCATGTGAAATTCATGCTTACCCTGTGAAACGCCCAGTGACATGTTAGTAGTGAATCTTATTAACTTTACAATACCATGTGAAACCTCAGTCAACCATGAGAAAATACAGTCAACCCTGTGAAATTGCAGTCAACAATGTGAAACTTGCGTGTGATAATTATAAACTAGGCTAGTCCACAAGGCCAGCCCCTGTTTCCCCAAGAATGCTACCTTAATGGCGTTAATAAAGTATTACTTGATACCTCTTGTAAAATTTCTTCTTTTGCCTCCATTTCTTTTACTTCATCTTCGTATTTATTATCTGGCATCATTCCACCCTGTGATAAAAAACAGGACAACATGCTAGATAAAATATACATGTATAATTAAAATGAACCCAGATGGCAGTGACTTGGAAAGCAGAAAACCTGTGAATTGCTGTGAATGTAGAGCTTATGTGCATGATATATCCTTGATAAGTTAAAACTCATGGTATCAAGGGCTCTGCACCTGGTATTATTCCTTCTATTACTGCCATTATAAATTCTTCTTTTAGTACCACCTGCACCTTTCCTAGAGATTGGAAAATTGCTGAAGTGTCACCAACCTTGAAAGAGGGTGATTTTGAAGAACCAGGCAACAATAGACCAATTTCTTTGTTACCTATCTTGTCTAAGGTGTGCGAAAAGGCAGTCCTGAATCAGCTAACACCTTACCTAACTAAAAACAAAAGACTAGCGGTGGAACAGAGTGGAAATAAAAAGTGCACTCCACTGAAACTTCTCTTATTGCCTCTACGGACACTATACTTGAGGCAGTCGACAAGAAAGAGCTAACAGCTAAATCGTCTATCTGGATATGAGCAAAGCATTCGATAGCATTAATCACAGCAGTCTCCTGGTTTAACAGCTACTTATCCAAACATTTCAAGTGGTTCGCATTAATGCTGCGCTGTCTGAAGCTCTACCAGTGGTGTGTGGAGTGTCTCAAGGTAGCATGCTCAGAGCCTTGTTATTTAGTATCTACATAAACGACCTGTCAGCAGCCAGTGAGACGTGCTCAAGTGCGTGTTACATTGACGACACAAAACTAATTCTCTCCTTCACCGTAGAGGAATCTCACACCACTGCTGTTAAAAACAATGATGACCTACAACTAATGCGTGATTGGTGCTTTGAGAACTATCTCCTATTGAACCCGGATGACACAAAGCTCATGGTGTTCGGCAGTCCACAAACGATTTGTAAACCACTAAGCTTTAAGCTTTCCTGGGCAAGGAACGTTTACTTAGTAAAATACAGACTCCGTTAAAGGCCTGTGACAACTTTCGCACAAGAGGCAGCGCTGAACAGAACCGCAGTGTGTTAACTGTTGTTGGCACAGCAAGAACTGCGTCGGCTTTGGATTTTCCAGGTAAATGATTTAATTCGAGCTGATTCTTGTTGTTAAACCTCTGAAACTACTCAGAAAGAACACATCAGTGCATGTTTTTGTCCTTCCACTGATCACCGGTGCTCCAACGCAATTGTTGCTTTCAACATGTGGCACCATCACTTATTCCTGTATTATCTACATTAGTACTACTCTGAAATAACACAAGTGAATTTCCCAAATTAATACACATGAACAATTTACTTCAGAAAACCTATCACAACTGATTTACCAGTGAGCAGATATTTTCGAACCAATTTTACAATATTTTAACATCATTTTAAGCAAGACGTAACCTTTTCTATTCTTTTGGTTTCACTTAAGCCCAACTAACATTTTTAACAGTTATTTAGTCCGCAGTTTTGGTGTGTGAAGTTCTCAGATTTGATCGGCTTAAAAACAATAGGCATTCCTGGCATATTTTAGGTGTTCATGGTTTTCCCAGTGGCACTATAAAGAGTAATTCGCCACCCATGATATTAATTAAATTGCCTCCCATGGATGTCTGCAGTCAATGTTCAGATCATGATTAAATGAAATATATTGATCAGCTAACCTGTTGTTTTCTCTTTCTACAATGCATCCTCACATTCATAACTACTCTGTCCCTTATCAGCTTCCGTTTTGTTTGGTAGGCTTCATATAACACTTTGACATCTTGGTGATCTCTTGAATTTAAAAAAAGATAAAAAAAAATCAGCAGGGTCCACTAAGACCTCATTGAAAACTTTTCTCCATACCAGTGGATAGGGGAATTGGGTGGGGAGCGGAATAGCCAGCTTATACCTTCTAATCTGAGATGGCATCACTGAGTTTAAAAGGTAATAGATGGCATCCCCTTCACTTTTTATCTGAGAGGGGGGGGTGGGGCATCGGCAAAACCAGGATCGGCTCACTCCGATTGGATCAGATTTTGGATTTAATAAGATTGCAGATTGGATCACACTGGCGGTTCGTTTGACACCAAATCGTCACTATTCTCAGGGGTTGTCAAAAGTGGGTGGCCGCTGGCGAAAATCGCGGCCTACTTGGCTAGTATCGGTCAGCTACTCTGCTTAGCATTTCTTTACGGATGGCTTTTTAAAATAAGATATCTCTAGACTGGCTGCTTACTTTGACAACTCAGCTGTCTCCTTCAAAACTTTCTGACAACCCTGCTATTGTACCTTTCTTACTCATATTCCCACAATTTCTTAATTCATTGTCTTCTCTGAAAAAGGAACTTTTCAATTTAGTCTCAGTGAATTACAAGACCACTTCACAAGAAATGGAAAGAAACACATAATCAGTGCAACAAGATACTCATGGGCTATGTCATGTGAACAAGACTATTTTTGGGATTGAAATCTTATGAAGTTATGCAAAATAAAATTCCTAGTGCAGTAAAAACTAACTCTTTGCGATTTTAAAGCTAGAGGTGAGCTTTAACCCTGGTGATACGTGAGAAACAATGTTTTTTATTAGTGAGACAGGCAGCTCGCAAGGAAAAATCCAAGTCCTCCCAACAGGAGTTGAACCTATAATTTACTAGTTACTACAGACAACTCTCTCGTAAGCAACTACTCTTGGTGCATGACAAAGTGGTGCAGCATGCAAAACAAGTCGTGTACGATAGCCCAGGGCTTGTGGATTTTGTCATAGGGCATCTCGGTTGATATATTGACTGATACATTGGTCGAGTGTCGGTCGATATGTCGACTGGTATATCTACTGAGGGGTGTACAAATTACACAATATCCGAGAAATTTAAGTAGTGGTCGCTTATAAAAGAGTTTTTGAAAAAGTATTTGACTGAGAAACAAAACTGTTACTTTGAAAGTGGTCGCTTACAGGAGGTGGTTGCTTACAAGAAGTGGTCGCATGAGGGAGTTGACCGTTGTACAGATGCATATGGACTGGTTCAACTCCCATTGGGAGAACTCTGATTTTTTCATTCCAAGCCACCTGTGTTGCTAATTTAAAAAGATCAGTTCTCATAAGAATTCTTCTGCACTAAAAGTGGAAATAACAGTCTGATCCGATCCGCAATCCAATCCAATCTGGAATCCGATCCAATCCAAGAGATCCGACCCTTGTTTTGTTGAAGGCCAGCAAGAAGAACAAGGGGAAAAAATTTGCGTTAGAGTTGTCTGCGAGGCAGAGGTTTCCAAGCCCCAGCGGAACACGACATCCAAATATTTCCAAGTAACCCCGCCACGTACAACCACGGAGCGGGTGAAGTGGGATGATTTTGGCGCGTATTATTTTGCAATTTTGGAGCGCACGCATTTCGAACTACTTCGTGTTTTTCTCTCCCTAGATTGTTTTCTAAGAATCATTGGCGGTGCTAACAACATTACTCAGGCGATATCTTCCTCAGAATCCACTGAGAACTTTTTAAATGTGTCCTGTGGCGAGCTAATTCGATGCCGTGATGAAGAATAAAGTAACTTACTTGCAATCAAAACCCGCCACTAGCCTTAAGTTTCAAACTCACCGATATTTTCTAGGAAAGAAATCCTTGAATTCGTCTAACGAGTAGCTGTTACTGACCTCTTCACTAAGCAGAGAATCAGTAAGAAGCTTTCTGTACTCACGCTCAGGAAAAGCCGCCATTTTGAAGGGCGCCAAATATCCAACCTACCCACTACCCCTGATCTGAGGAAAGCATAGGCACGCATTACGTGTCTGACGAGTATCAGTTTGCTGAATTTTAAGCATTTTCAATTTTTACGGATAAAGACGAAGATCACTTTTTCAGTTAGTTCCCAAGTCATCACACAAGACAAGACATTATTGAGTTATGCAATGGTCAGGTTAAAACAGCAGCCATTAATCAAGTCTAAAACAACTCTTTTCAACCCCATTATATTATTAAAATGGGCAGGGTCAAGTGCTAGCTTGTCAAAAAAGTTTGAAAAATTCTGTCAAGCCCATCCAGAGCTTTTTGAAAAGCTGAGAAAAATTCAGTAGAAGAGAGGGAATTCAGGAGGAAATCTCAGGCAACTGCCATTTGCTATTCATTATATTAAATATAGTGTAAATTGGGAGAATGTTGATGCCCAGGCTTAAAAAAGGATTTTCATGCAGGGTCAACCAAGAAATCACAGTTTTCAAAAGTCATTTCATTGTGCTGATGATCCACATAAATAATAATAGGAGATTTGGTACAACCTACACTGGAGATAAAAAAAGTATTCATCTGAAAGTCTCCAAATATGTTTTTCTATATCCCATAAAATAGGACCAAAGGTATTACTGCTAAAGCTGTACTGCAGTTTTAATAATATTTTTTAGTACACACCAACTATTTACATGATCTTATCTCTAAAAGATTATTTACAACAACTTTTTTTCCTACATGTATGTACAGCAAAATTAACCCTTTAAGCACCAAGATCCACATACAAATTCTCCAGAAAAATCTCCATACATTTCTTTTAAAAACAGTTAAGAGAATTTGGTTTAAGATCAAAGCATTCCCCCTTTGGTAATCAATTTAGTAATTATTCTCATAACCTTTACCCTTAATGATCTCCTGATGTGGTTAGGAAAATTGGTCACTTTTGGGACCTAAAGGGGTAATTAAGTCCAAATAATAAACTAAAACCTGTGATTAAGGTGAATGTCAGTATAATTTCAGATAAAGCAGATTTGATAAAAAAAACGTAGGCAAATTTTGTAGATGCGATACACCATTAAACATTATTACAACTGGGTCTCTTGATAGTTTTGTTACACATCCTCAACTACCATCATTGAGACAAAGTCTTTGTAAAACACTATTCCTTTATCTGGATCAACTGCTGCAGATAACATTTCCTCCATTTCTTCTTGAGTAAAGGGTTCACCTGTTAAAAAAAGACAGCTAATTATTGGACTCAGAATGTCAGAACATATTTTGTAACAATCATACATCAAGGCAGAATAATATGCTGATACAAATGCATAAAAGTAGTAACAGAAAAAGAATTAATGGGGAAATTGAGACCAAAATCCATGTTACTTTCACACAATGTTAATTTCCTATAATAATATTATTAAGGCATGCACTAATAACAGTAGTAATGAAATCAATTCATGAATGTAAGCCAAGCCTTTCTATTAAAAACAGTGAATGAGCACTTAGTGGCTGCATGTCTCTGAGAGATACACCTTATAACGAAAGAAAGTTCATGGCATTTACCACACTAACTACTAAGTCAGCCACAGCCGAGCCTTGAGAAAAGGAACGATAATGAGGGGAGGAACAAATAAAATTATGACCTTCTTCACTCATATATTTTGTCAGTTCTTCTGTAGTAAGGTATCCTTTATTTTCCTGATCTAGAACCTCAAATGCTTTCATTATTTGATCTTCAGGTGCTGGTTTGTACCTTAAAACAAAAACAAAAAGGAAGCAAGATGGATTTAAGTCAGCAGCATGCTCATATAGACATTTCTACTTTCTGAAACCCCAGCCTGTTTTTTCAAGCAGCCGACTCACCTTCCCCGCCTTTTTTTCCACCTTTTTAGCAAAGTAACAGGTGCTTGTTATGTTTTCATTTTTTTATGAGAATTATGAGGATCTCTTCTGACTATGTTGCCACTATTTATTAGCAGCTATTAAGAAGTCCCCATCTGGCTGCCAATGTTCACAAACTTTTACTCTGAATTTCAAGTTACAGGGATGACCAAATAGGGGCAAAAATCAAAACCAAAAAATGTCCTTAGGGCTTCAAATAAAACCAAAAAAATGCCTGGGCAAAAATTGCAGAATTTCCAAGCCATAAAAATGTCCTGACAACATCAAATAATATAACTATCACAAATCCTCAGATTGTTTTGAATACCCCAAAAAATCCCTACTTTAATCAAGCTCCAAAAAAAATATATACTCTTGCAAAAATCCTGAAATAAAAAATTTCAACCCCCCCCCCCCCCCCCCCCCCCAAAAAAATCCTTCCCTCATCCCTGTCACTTAAAATCTGGAGTACCCCCCTGGGCGGTAGCCTGGTGTAGATGCTATACACTGGCTTTTTTCCCTGTATCCACGGCTGTCATTATGCACCTATCAAATGAATGTAAATCCCGTGGGGGGGGGGGAGTGCGGGCAAGGGGAGGGGATTTGATGCCTGAGACTATCCCCGCTGTCGGGCTTTTGATGGTGTGAAGCGACCCCGGGGTCGGGACATTTGACTTTGACCGACAGAAGCCTGGTATCAATTCAGAAGCAGTTACCAAGTCCGTCCCTCGAGGCTTCCTGAAAGTCATGTTGTTGGAGAAAGGTATGAAGTTTTCATTTGTTTTAATCGCCATAATACTTTAAACTGTCATCTAAACTTCAAGTTCCCATCTGATTGTAAAACTCGATTGAAATCGAATTCCATCATGAAAGGATTTTTTATGGGTCACTGATCCGACCTGTTCCGACATGTTGAGCAGATGTCATAAAGCATTTTACGTTTTATTAATATTATATAGCACGGTCAATCTTCCTGGAGTGATTTTGTTGTTCAAGATAAGAGATGCTAGTGGAGAGAGAAAATACTTAATTACAGCGAGTAATTTAATGGAGCTTCCGTTAACCGTAAATAAAAGTAGTAACAACGTGTTTGAAATGTTCTTTTATTCGTTTTATATAGTATTACAGTATAGCATTTTTTGTTTAGATTTTTTCCCCTGGGGTGGGGGCTTTTTTGACGCTTTTGATTGACCTTTCGTTTCCCACCCTGGGGAATTTGATCGAAAAATTTTAAAATTTGTCAAATCCCCACCCCCTTGCCCGCACCCCCCCACGGGGTTTACATTGATAGGTGCATTAGTAACCGGCTTCTGCAGTTAAATCAGCCGGCTATTCCAAGTTTGAAAACAATTCAAACATAACAAATATGGAAGATTTTGTTGAATAAAATATGACTGGCTATTTTCCCCAAGAGACCAGCCACTTACAGCCCTGTTAAATTGCACCCCTCTTTTCACACAGCATTTATAATACTTTATCCCTAGATTTAGGCCATGAAAAAATCTTTAAAGAGAACTGATAAAAAACTGGGCTAATTTTCCTTTCTAGTTTAAAAGCCATAAACAAATTTAAAGTAAACCAACACTTGTCACAAATTTGCCTCACCTTCTTTCCAAAAGTATTTTTAACATAGCTGGTTCAAATTTTTCAAATCTTATATAACCTGTTGGTTCTTCCTCCTCTACCTAAAATTGAAAAAAAATTTCAGTCCTCACACAATTTCACAGTTTAACCCTATTAAACCCTATTATGGCTCAGTCAATTCCAAGTGTGCCCATGCCCCCCCTGGACATTTGTGGGTATGGGTACGCTTGGAATTGACTGAGCCATAACCAAATAAAATATAAACATTTCTCCAGTTCAAAACAAGCCATATTAATTACCTCTGCCAGAATATCGTGAAGCTCTCCTTCTGTAGGGCAACACTTCAAGGATCTTACAATGGTTCCAACTTCCCTAAACCACAACCACAAATTACGGTATTTTATGAGCAACTAGAGAGAATTTTCCTAGCACAGCTGTTGGAAGATGAAACCTCAGCAGAAACTTTACCGTACCTAACATCAACAGTCTTGTTAGATTCGTGGTCAAATATGTCAAAAGCATCTGCAATCGTCTTTTGCAACTCAGCAGCAGAAGAGTCAGATGATTCAGCCGCCGGTTTCTCGGGTTCACTGCTTGGATTTGGTGAACTTGTGTCCGCCATTTTGATTTCTTCCTTGGTTGCCAAGATACCGTAGATTGAGCCCGCGCTTAGTTTAGTGGGAGGTGGTTATCGCAAAATGAATGCGCGATCCATAGAAATCGGTTTGCGCTTTTGCGCAGGACAGTCAATGTAAATACTGATGAAAATTAGCGCTTACAAAATGGTTAGTGGTAAATGATTTCACCGTCTGTGAATTTTTTCTGTAATCCTTTGCTTCATGATATTTATTTTCTTGTTTAAGGGAGACCTCTTGAAGGAATTGCCTTCGTTTAACAGGAGTAACTTTTCAAAATACTGTGCCGATGCAGGTACCAAAGTTTCGGTAGGTTGAAAATTAACCCATTTCGTCTTTGGATTTGATAAAATTATCCTTCTTAATTTGGCTGCTTATCTCTCTTTATCTCTACTAAGGGTCGCATCTAGGCATTGATTTGATACGTGCATAGAAAATTTTCAGAAATCATCACTTTTGCCAACAAAGACACGTTTTAAAACTTATATTCCTGGCGTATAAGAACGTAATTACTTAAGCTTAACTTCTCCCTGTCCAAGTGCCTTTTATAACTCGTTATTTTGTTTAACATCCGTATTATTGGCAGAAACTTAACCTGGAGTATGTAGATCGTTTTTTTTCCTCCGGAATGTTCTTGTGAATTTTTTTTCTCGAGATCGTAGGAAGGTTGTCTGTCCAGCTATCACGTTTGCACAAGAAATGTGCTTTATGCATAAATTTAACTTATTATTCATTAAACTATTCCCCCGATTCTGATTGGCTTAAAATAAGACGTATAATTCATCATAACCAGCTACTGATGACCAAATTTGGAAGAATTTAGCGTTTAATAAACCGATGACGTCAAAAGTGCAGCCGTCTTGTTAATGCACTGTTAACCGAGAAGACCTGGGTACGATGTTGAGTTGTTTTGGTTGTAAAAACAAAAAATGGCAGACATTTTACTCGTTTCAAAAGTAAGACGTAGGGGAAATAATAGCAAAAAACATGGCAAGAACAGCAAGAAGACAACTTTAAGGGTGACATCTGCTATTTGGAGAATATTTGCGGAGCTGAACAACCCTGAACATGCACCAGCGAAGATGAACTTAACATCGATGGAGGTAAGCATGTTTTAGCAATGTTTTTAAACTAGGAATTATTTTGAATGAATAATAAAACAATTATTGAATTCGGCTTTCGTATCATATGAAGAATTATGGAGATCTCGGAGGATAACACCCTCCTTGATTTTCATAATTCTTCATAAGATACTCAGCCTCATTGTTAATTAATTTGCTTTTTTGTGTGTGTTGGCAGAATCGCAGACCCGTTGTCTATCTGCCGACAAAAGACGACGGAACGTCTGAACAAGGTAATTATTCACAATAAGTAAAAAGAACTTTTTATGTTACAAAAAGCTCAGATTTATACTGTAAGTAATCCAGACAAACAGGCTTAGTTTAAGCAAAAGAAAACTTTTTTGTGTTTGCATATCCTGATATAAACACAGGAGGGTATTGGAAGAATTTGCTATGCAAACACAAGAGGAAGTCCAGGGCTTGCAGAACTTTCAAGAGCAGCCCCTAAAATGCTTACATCAGGCTATGAAAAAACGGCAAAAAATTCTCTATTGCTTTTACAAAGTAACTTTCCCGAGAAAAAGAAGCAAAACTCTTTGTTGCAAATAACATTATGATAGCCTGCGTGGCAGACATTAAAAGAGGTTGAGGATCAGTAGGAAGGAAAAGGGGAGGCCTGCTATAACAACCCCCTTTGAGTTTATTTCTGTGGCTGCTGGCCACTGAAAATTTCTGATTGGCTGAGCTATAAATATGAGTATCTTAATCGCCATGCATTAAGTGAGAATCAATGTTGATACAGGTATCAAAGGAAACATGATCCACTGACCTAAGCACAAGCACATAACCCCAAAATGTCTTAATTCTCCTTATCTGCTTAGAACCATGCCGGGGGTTTTTATACAGCCAATCAGGACCTTGGAATTTTTTGCCCAAATATGGAATCAAAGAATTAGATGCATCTCTGTCTCTGTTCTTCAGTTACTGTGCTTAGCAAACCTCTCAATGACATCCATAACTCAAATAGTACACCCTGAGCCTTTTACAATGTTTAAATATTGACAAAGAAATGTTTCCATTTGCTTACTGGTAGTAGGGCATTGACAAGTGTGTTGTCATGCGTGTGCACTGTGACAAGTACAAAATCATTTTTTTGCAAAGACTCTTTGAAAAAAATCTTCTCATTCAATAAGTAGCTTTTGGTCTCAATCGACAATGTGAGCTGTTAAACATTCCATGTTTCAACCTTTCATGTTATCATGTAAATAGTTACTATAACTGTTGGTCATTTCTCTTAATGTTAATATGAAAACCTCTGAAAAATATGAGGAAGAAAACACTGAAGTCACCTTGAAATTGACAAGTGCTGCTAGCAGCTTGCCGCTCATTTTCATAAATATATTGCGCCAGGCCCATAACATAGTTACCATTTTTGTTTGGAGGAATTCAATCTTGGCCATTTTGAGGGGAATGATGTTTTGATTTTGGTGGAATTTGGCCTCAGGAATCTGTAATTCCCTTTTCCAGCACATTGTTTACATCGCGATACATGGAAAAGTGAAAAGTGCTTGGTCACGTAGTGACAGTTGACATTTGGGAACCTGGTGGGCAGCATGCAACAACACAAGTTCTTATGGCGGGAACTCCCTCTTCCTTTTCCCTTTTGCACTTTTTCCCCCTCCACTTAATTGTGCAAAACACTCAAACTACCATATTCCCTTGAATAATAGCCGTCCCTCGATTAATTGCATCCCTCAAACGGAAATATTTAAAATAATCGCCTCCCTCAAATAATCGCCCCCCCCCAACCCATCTCGCCTGTTGCTTGAAGTACAGTCTGATCCAGCAGAATTGATCAGTGACAATTTATGCTCTAACGCCAAGGATATTGACATTGAAAATTAATCAAGGAACCAAATTTGGAACTCTTAAAAAGCCCATATTCAGTTCATTTGATGTGATCATTTTCTGATTTAATGGGATGATAAAACAAAACATTTAGGGCACAACTTCCAGTGACCAATATTTGAAATAATTGCCTCCCTCAAATCATAGCCTTCCCTCGGATAATTACCCCCTTTATGAGCAAAAAAAATATTAATCACTTCCAGCTATTATTCGAGGAAATATGATTTATTTTAAAAATAAATTCTAGTCTAAAAAGGTCTCAGACTTTTTTAGTATTGTAGCTTTAGACTGTACCGCACGGTCTTCATCAGGTTCTGACTCAGATTCAGACTTTTTCAAATTTAAATTTCATTTTACCTGGTAATGAATGAGCATTGTTCATGAAAAGATATATTGATCTAGTTGTTTACCTTCTCTATTGCAGCTATTGTTACTGACAAAGGAAATATTTTGTTAAGATACCTTCATCAGCAGTGGGAGGTAAAGGTAAGCAAATGTCTCAGGGCAGATCTTACCATTCCTATAGCAGGTTAATAGTGTTCAAGGAGGGGCAGGGGAGCTTGAAACAAAGTTGCTTCTCCCCAAGGTCCAAACCCTTACCCTTAATACTTCAACAAAATTTAACTCTTTTATATCCCCTCAAAAGGCATCAGAGAAGATAAATGTTGATTAACATCCAAGTCATTAATTATTTGACTCATTATTCTTGTGAATTATCTCTATAGTAAAATACTTCATTGGTTCAGCTATCAAGAAACTTTAAAGACCCCTTAGTTATATCTAACTCTTTTCTATTTCTCCAAGTACTCCTACATTGTAGCTCGTGACATGTAACTAAACACAATGAAGTAACTCAGCCAACACAGTCATCTATTGTGTTTTAAAAATGTGACCAGTCCAACACAATAACCCAAAATGGTTAATATTTAAGCTCTGACGAGGACAGCATAAAACAAAAAGACCATGAGGTTTATTTTGGCTATTTCTTTTGACAACTATAACTATAAGAATAAGTTATACCACAACCTAGAACGCTAATGTTATTATTGTTACACTACAACTCCCCAAATGGTTAATTTTATAAGAAATGTTTCATTGATCAGTTCAGAGCAGTTGGTTTCGTTTTATTTCATGTAATGTACTGATACTTTAATTTCCATTTATTGCCAGAACACACAGTCAGGTAAAAAGCGTGACGTTGGAAGTGTGGATCTCCCAGAGTCTGCAGAGCCATCAAGAAAAGCAAAACGCCTTGATCATGAAGATTATAGCCCACCAGATTAACGAGCTTCCAGTCTTGACAGAATTATTATGATGTATTTTTTTTCTTTTTGTTAAAAAATGACATTTTCCAGAGGGTGTGGTTTAGTGATCACCATAATTTATAATTCCATTCTTGCTTTTAACATGGACATCACATCTCTTGATTAAGATGTAATCTAAGAGTATGCATGCCTAATATTTATTTCAGTGCAGTCTTTAAGTAAAAGAAACCTTTTTTAAAGTAGATGCAGACAAATGACTGACTATAATGGCAAGCTGTTCAAACTAGCAGTAAAGGTCTAGGCTGCTAGACAGTCAGTACTTTGTGCCTGTTTAGTGAAATGTGGCAAAAGTTGAAAGCCAAAATCAACCAGGGCAATTTTTAGCTTCACATAGGCCTTTCATTCCTCTCTTAGCACATGTGGAGGGACATTGAATATTTCACAGTCTTAATTAAGGCTGATTTTCACTAGCGATAGAGTCAGAGTCATAGTCAGTAGCGTAGAACTTTACAATCTAGTGATAACAGTGTTCTGATCCCGCTTACAACTCCGTCATTTACAATCAAGTGAAAACTGGGTTGTCACAGTTGCAAGCAGAAGCAGAAGAAATAAACCAATCACAAAGTGTGGGAAGGTGCATTGTGATTGTTGTGTCCTTCCCCTTCTGCTTCCTACTCCGGCAATCTGGTTTTCACTAGTTAAGATCATGAACGGAACACAAGTGACGGAGTTGTAAGAAAATGGAAATGTTCG